GTCCGACTAAAGTTGTATGAAGCTGTATTGTTAGTTGATATAACTTGGTATCGTTGATTTGATACCAGGCATGTAATGCATAATCAAATAACTAGAAGCTATACGACTAGTAAATGTAACTTTGAAGGACTTTTGTTGTAATTCCTATTGGTATCGATTTATGTCTATCTCTAATACAATTTGATTCACATGCTGCCCTCCAATATCGCTACCCTATACGATCACATAACATGCCTGTTTGCCCGTGGCTAGAACATATACCATGATGTACTATGGTATTTATGTTTTGCAGCTACAGAGCGAGGCTAGTCTCTTCAAGCTACTTTATAATAACAAGCGGTCGAATTTAACCCCATCCACCATGGCATTGATTTCTTCCTCGCCTAATCGCGACAGGGGAACTTTCATTCGCCCATCAAGATTGTGTTAACCATCCGAAATACAATGAGATTGCCCCTTGTTCTCATTCGGATATCCGATGTTCTGGAAGGGGTTGATAAATTGTATGTTTGTTCTTGAACCAGGGAGGGATTTACAGCCAGTCGCCCGCAAGCCTCATGATATGAAACCATGCTCTTACACAACGGCTTAAGAGTTCGAGACCATACTCATTGTAGCTTAATACTCACGAGTATTAAACGGCAGGAAACGGAACGAAAGACAGCCGGTACACATCATTTACCTTTGCCATGGTTCAACTCGGCAAGGCTTGGTACCGGGCTGACCATACCATGCCATGACAACGGTAATGAAGGGTCCAAGTTCAGATGAAGCCAAACGTTGAATGACGAGTAAGCACGTAATAATATTTATACGATTATCATTGAATATTGCAGCGTCTCAGTGTCAATTAGAAACGATCGATCGCAATTGCAATTGGTCGATCCCAGGTTGAAAAGCTAAAATGAGCTTTGACATGGAGAATGTAATTGGCCTACATATTACAAGTTTATGCGATAAATGTCTGATCTGACCTACTGAGCGCTAGAAATTAGTATTTCGGAAATTTCAACAGGGAAGAAGAATGTCAAATCTCCGAGAGTGACGTGCACTTGAGTGCTTTCCTTCCCGAGGGAACAATAGCAAGTAGTACATTGCAGTATAGTATATTGTTAGAAACAGGGAAAGCAAATAAGGAATATGCGATGACGAGGACTAGCAGAGTGTGGTTGGCCATACACAAACGGGTACGTATTGCATTGCACTCAGACTTGATAAACCCGGCCCGGCAACGAATGAGGAGGAATGGCACTCAGTCTCAACCACGTAGCACAAATATATAATTTATGCGAGGCATTGCTATGATCGTAGATATGAAGAGGCTTAGTGGAATAGATTAATCTACAAGGTCATAGCATGAGAGTGGGATGAAACATGACGATAGATTGAGAGGCGCATCACTCTATTCGTAAGCTTGAACCAAAAAAAGCTGCGACTGAACAACACTGATTGGTGTGGCAAGTGTATGTGCGTGTACAAAGGCTATGTGTGTTGGCAATTGTGGCGAGTAACTGACAAGAAAGCAATTGTGTTGTACGAGTGACTGGTAGAACCAAGGGACCTGCATCTGCAGGGTCTAGGCCTACACCTGATTAACCTACCGGTCAGTACATGACCTAATAATAAGGGGACACGCGATACAGGCAAAAAAAAAAAGGGAGGTGGAAGTTGATGTGACGAGAATCGAGTTTAACAAGGGCCAGCCGAGACTGAGAGCCGCTTCAAGCGGGGGACCCCCCCTGGTCAAGATATCTCTTCTGGATCAGTTGCTGTTGTTAGGGCCGGGGTAGCTTCAGCAAAAATATCTAAAAGGCGGATTGTTTGTTGGTGAGCTAAATTGCTGGATAATTTCACGATCAAGACACAGACATATGGCGAACACGATCAGTTCACGAGGGCGGGGACACGAATCGTAAGTCATAAAGAGTAAGAGTCCTGCATATGAATATGAGAGGATTCGCAGGAATTTAGATTGTATGAACGGGCAACGGAAATGATTCCATCGTGGCCAAGACACCAAAGAGTGTGATAGGTACATATGCACTGCACTGCACTGCACTGTAGACGGGCGCTAGTAACGTCTTGTTTCTTTTGGTGTGATGCAGCGACTTTATGGATGCATCCAATACGTTGATCAAGGCACCTATTCACACTAATGTCATTGGAGTCTGGAGAAATAGAGTGAATGAATGAATCGCTAGCAGACCCAACGGCAATAGGAAGAGAAAAGAACCCGATATCCACCACGGTAGGTAGGTACGTATGTCTGTTGTTGGATCATGTTGCGGTCAAGACAGGAGGAGGATCACGACAAGAAGCGAGGCATTTTAGTGAAGCGAGGTAGATCGTTTGCACTACGAACTGCTCTGCTCTGTCATGTTGTACCCTAATTACTAACTTTATATGTCAGTATTAGGTGGTTAGACGAAATATCTAATAGTGCCAAGCGAATGCACAACAAACTCAAGCTTCAAGAAGCTCCCCCTGCACACACAGCACACAGCTCGTAGATCCATCGCTCATTCCCCTCTCCCAATGGATGGGAGGCCAGCGTCGAAATTGGTCACTCTTTGTGTGTGCGCGTGTGTGTTCTGACCGGCTGCAGGCCCAAGGGTCGGTCTCACTCTTCTGTGCCAGAGTGAAGAGCCAGAAACAGATTCTCGCCGACAAGAACCTTGAATCTCAACCATCTAACCCATGTCGATAGCATCACAGACCAGATGACAGACGGTGAATATTAAGGTATGGGGCCCAGTACCGGTACCTGACGAGAGGCTGGGAGATTGCGCGCTGGCCAAGGTAGAGTTTTGTACCCTGGCTCTGCCGTTGGGGCCATGGATTGTTCTGTATCCATACGGATACATGTACGTTACCTACGTTAGGGTACTCCACTGAATTAGCGGACAGCGCCGAGTCAAGTCAAGTCGTTCGTTGAATCCATTGGGGAAATGCTGCGAGGGCACAGACGGAGTTTGTAGGTATGCGGATCAACCAGTGACCAGTTTGACGAGAGAGATGAACATCGAGATATATCTGTCATGCGAGGATTCATCTGTTAGAGATTCTGCAATAACTACACTGATTTGGGCTCACCGATAGGTTTACATACGTCAATGGCTACTATGTGCTGCATGTGTCAAGTGTTTTTTTCTTTCACATTGTCCAGGTGATGGCACCGAGGCAATAAACTTTTTATACATCACGTCTCTTTTGACCCACGACTCGAGCGGTAACCAGGATTGGACACGATAATTGCTGTCGCTTTTTCATAAAAATTAAAGAAAGGATAAAACGTCTGGGACTCGCAGGGGCTCAAGGGGAAAAAGAGAAACCATCAGACCTAAAGTTACAAGAGAGATTCATGGGATACGGATATCCGTACATGATACTCTTTACTCAAGTAGACTTGGACTACATAAAGTCTAAACTATGCACAGTGTATCGAAGGTCTTGGCACAACTTTTATCACCTTTAAGTCTTGACAGATGACAGGTGCTTCACCAAAATGCTGTACAGTACATAACTCCAAAGGTGGCTGAACTGGTTTACGGATACTCCTATTCGAGGTACCTTGCTAGCCTCAAGTGAATGTACCTCCTACTGCATCCGGCTGGTCATCTCCCTAGAAGCGGACTGGCCTAGACCCTCTGGAAGCCCAGGTCGAATGTCGGTTGCTGGTTGGCGTACGGGCGTTGTTAGTGCTAGGCCCTGGCCCCTTGGAGCGGGCGCCCAGGGTAGGCTCGCTTGTTCCATTCTGTAGCGCTATCATCCATGCTTAGTACCTCCTTGGAGGTACCTAGGTTACCTGCCCGCCTTGTGGCCGGGGACCGGGGCTGTTCCCTAGCAGTCTAGTGGAGTTGGGACCGCTGATTTGATTTCTGAGGTGCGTCCATGGCCTGGCATGGCCTGGGCTTTTTTCTCTCCCCATTGCTGGGTATGCTAATGCTGTGCTAATAGTAATGCTATGCTGTGCTGTGCTGTACTCTACTTTGCTTTGGCTGTGCTGAGAACTGAGGTGAGGTGCAGCCAGCCCATGGAACAGTGCTGCAGGTGAAGTGGGCTCTCCATTCTCTCACCCACTCCCACTCCCGTCCTGGTCGGGTCTTCTCTTCCACTGCTTCTCTTTCCCCTTTCCAAACTTGATCTCCCCATCAACGTTACCGACATCGTCTTGCTTGCTCTCGCTCTCTCTTGGGGCGTCCCCCTTCGATCGACTCTCCCTCCGAATCGACTCGACTTTAATCGATAGCCCTATGAGCTGCCTTTTCCCTATTGCTTTTTGGCATCTCTTCTGTTAATTCTGGTGAGTGAAATTGGCTTTTTTGCGTTTACTCGACCCGGTTCCGACCACGGCACTGTGTAGTGGTGGTCTGCCTGTTCAGCTGTGTGTTGTGGTTCGGTCGTCTCTCCCCGACAAGAAGGGAGCTCCCCAAGCGTGGATATCCAGCAACCTGACCTGATCTGATCTGATCTACTTCGGAATCCTGCTCTCGATCAATACACTCAAATCTTCTTCAACTTCGCAAATCCTACCGGCGACAATACAACGTTCGACTGCTGGATTGACTCGTTGCGACGCGTGAAATCGACCTCTTTCCCTTCGCAAACAGGGGGCTGCCATACTGAAGCTGCGGCTGGCGGCTGCGTCCTCGGGTTAGAACTGTCTCTTTTGCCGCGCCTCCAATCAAGACCCCAGCACCTAGAAAAGCGACCCAACTTGGCCAATCTGTCCGTCGCCTCATCTTGTGGTCTTGTCCAACCGCGAACAGCGCCACTTCTTTTGTTTCTCATCTACCTAATTTCTTGCCTTTTATGCCTGCAGTACCAAACATTTCATCAAGTCTCGTCAATACTGACGCTTTGTGCACACTTACAGGCATCGATTTGTTTAAACCGTTTCGATTCCAAACACGACATACGCCTTCATCGCGACGACCATACTTCCCGTATTTGTCTAAATATTTTGTAACGGTGGTCCTCAGTCCGCCTACGCCGCCGAAATGGCTTCATCATCATCCAACGTCGTAGGCGTTCACTACCGAGTTGGTAAGAAGATCGGAGAGGGTTCTTTTGGTGTCATCTTTGAGGGTACCAATCTACTCAACAACCAGCAAGTTGCTATCAAATTCGTTAGTTTCCGAATTGCCCAATATTTCTCCCTAGCTATTCGACTGGCCATACTAACATCCGACCAGGAACCTCGCAAGAGTGATGCTCCTCAATTGCGCGACGAGTACCGAACATACAAGATCCTTGTCGGCTGCCGTAAGATATCCGTATTCAAACAACGTGTGCGGCTTTGTGTTAACAAGCAATTTAGCTGGTATTCCCAATGTTTACTACTTTGGCCAGGAAGGACTTCACAACATCCTGGTGATCGACCTCCTTGGCCCTTCACTGGAGGATCTTTTCGATCACTGTGGCAGAAGATTTTCCATCAAGACAGTTGTCATGGTCGCCAAGCAGATGCTCTCAAGGGTCCAGACCATCCACGAGAAGAACCTGATCTATCGCGACATCAAGCCCGATAACTTCTTGATCGGCCGTCCAGGCACCAAAGCCTCTAGTGTAATCCATGTTGTCGACTTCGGCATGGCCAAGCAGTATCGTGACCCGAAGACGAAGCAACATATTCCTTACCGCGAGCGGAAATCACTTTCTGGAACCGCCCGATATATGAGTATCAACACTCACTTGGGTCGTGAGCAGTCCCGCCGAGATGATCTCGAAGCTCTGGGTCACGTTTTCTTGTATTTCCTTCGTGGTGGTCTCCCCTGGCAAGGCTTGAAGGCTGCTACCAACAAGCAGAAGTATGAGAAGATCGGCGAGAAGAAGCAGACCACTATCATCAAGGACCTGTGCGAGGGCTTCCCCGAGGAGTTCTCCAAGTACTTGACTTACGTCCGAAACCTTGGCTTCGAGGACACTCCCGACTACGACTACCTTCGCGAGCTTTTCACACAGGCCCTCAAGAATACCGGCGAGGTCGAGGATGGCGAGTACGACTGGATGAAGATCTCCAAGGATTCGGGAAAGGGATGGGACTCGAAGAACCACAGCAACGCCTACCTCCACAACCCAAATGTTCGCCCTGGGCCTTCCCAGATGGAGCTGCACAGCGGCCACCGTCCCGGGAATACCACCTCTCACCAACAAGCACAAAACCTTACTGTCGGCCGTTTAAACGCCGCGCAACCCCCTCCTCCCTCTCCGATCAAGCAGATGGGCAAGCAGAGAGATCGGCCAAGCGCCCCCGGCGCATTGTCAGCACAGAGGGGGAGCGGGGTTGGGGGTCTCCGGGACATGGCCACGCCCACTGGCTCGACTCAGGCCCAGTTCCAGAACAGCGCCCAGAACCTGCCCCAGCAGCCGAGGACCTCCCAGCAAGGCCCGGCGACCCAGCCTACCCAAGCTAGCGGTCAACAGGCTAACCCTCAGCCTAGTGGTTTCCAGAAGCTCATGAAGACCCTGTGCTGTGGTTAAACTCATCTCGACCAATGGTTAAGACTTTTCTTTGTTTCTTCATTGCTGCGGCGTTGTGCTTCAGGATCTGTATACGACGACAGACCAATTTTTGAGGAGGGTCGCCCCCATTTGTTCAAAACGGGAGATCGATGGGGATTGATACGCCTAGCGGATGCTTGGGCTATCTCGCAAATAGATGTGTTTGCGGATGGCTGGGTATAGCCTACCTCAGCGGAGTTGTTCGGGCCACAAACCTGTTCTTGAGCTGCTCGCTTTAGCGTCTTGCTCACCGGAAAAAAAACAACCATGTTTAACCTCGATCCCCATCATCTCGGTACTTTAGACCCCTTCCGCTAGTCATCCCTTTACCAGTCGATATTTTTGCATGACCGCCCGAGAGGGGAAGCAGATTTGGTTTGGGATTACGGCAAAGGGCTTTCCTTTCTCATGTCTGACAACCATCACGAAATTATACTAAAGCCTCGTTTAATCTTCACCGCAGCGCAGCACGGCGCAAGGAGACGGTGTAGGGCAGCATTTTGGGTCTGGTTGGGTGTTTCTTTTTTCTATTTCTTATGACGCTGTCCATAATATCTGTGTAATCACTGAGCAAGACCAACGCTATTATTGGGCTACCTGAAAATGCCCAGTCTTGCCTGGTGTTGATGGAGCGAGCCGTTAGCGTGGGGATGAAGTTTGCAAGTTTGGTGATTTGTTGTGAATGAAGATAGAGCACTATAGGGAGTTCTCGTTTTGGCAATTTTTAATGGGAAAAGAAAACGGCGTTGCCATTTTTATCATAGTCGTCCTCCCCGTTCCATCTTTGCATGCATATATATATATAGGTCCATCGATATGAAATAAACATCGTCATGTATTTGTAATATTACACGGCTCCTAATCAACGACAGAGTGATTCGGTCTTAAACCTACTGCCAAACAAATCCCTTTTTACTCTTTTCTTGGTACGCAATTCCATCAACACCCGGCTCAATGGATAACTTCATGACTGTACTTGTATCGTTAAAAAACAAACGATTGATTCATGGATTATCTAGGTCAGCTTCTGCTTGATGAAGAATGATCGGAGATGCGAAAGTTGCCAAGTGCAAGTGATGCCAAGCACAATGAGCTGAATAACGATCCATCGAATAACACGGGCGTTGGTAGACTCAGACTGATCTCGGAACTCGGCCTCTCGCTCCTACATATCTTGTGGTTAGTCTAAAGTTCTTTTCAGTCATGCTGGGGTACGTATAGCACTTACACGCTGGAAAACCTGCTCTCTTCGGATATCAGCCAGGCGGGCGTTGAGGTCCTTAACACGGGAAGTAATATCCTGAATCTTGCCCTTGTCGCTGCTCTCAATCTGGTTGGTCTCGCCGATCACGAGGTCGAGTGTGAGCTTGATGCCGCCATTGGGGTTCTTGGCAGAGAGCCATGAGGTACGGCCGGAGCTAGATGATGGGGTGAAGCAGATCTTGTGGTCGCCAGCATCGGCAGCGGAGAAGGTGAAACGGCCGGAGGATAGACCGCGCTGAGAGACAACACGGTGGTCATTGTCGAAGATTTCCTACTACTTGTTAGCGAAGGGTTCACTTGTGGACAGCTGTTCAAGCCAAACTTACGTCGACGTTGATGTAGATGCTGATTCCGTCGTGCTTGACCCAGGCTGATACTCGTTCGTCCCACTCCTCGGCAGTGTAGTGTCCGACAACAAGCGTATCCTTGGGAAGCTCCTCGTAGAAACACTTGGGAGTTGTGCCGTCAATGAAGAAGTGCAGCGCATTGACAGCAGCGCTGAACGATAGAACGGGAAGGAGGAATTTCATGATGGCGATTGTTTTTGCGCAAACCAAATTGGCGCAATTGGACGATTCGGCTTATTTTCGAAGAGGAGAAACCTTTGTCGTTGTATAAAAACAAAGTCGTATATGTGTAGTCAACGGTAGCTGTCCCCCTTTGGCTCTGGCTTTGGCGTTGGCGCCGGCGAAGCTGCCACGTTCAAAGATCGGCTTGTCAGGGGGTTCAGAAGTGTCACGTGGAGATAACGATTTCTAAATCCTGGAGAAGCGGCGCATCTTTAGTTACTTCATCCAAAACCATCCTCCCAGATTTTGACGCGTCAAACGAGACCACCGGTTCGAATACGACGAGAAAGAACGATGAGCGAAATAGTGACTGTTTGAATATAAATAGAACAGCAAGTGCCCAATTTTGATGGGTTTGGTGATGAAATCTCGGATTTAAAGGTTCCTTGGACCAAACAACCTCACCTCACCAACGACACACACCAACCATGACTTCTTCCGACGTTCGCGATGTTCTCAACTTGGGGGATGGAACTGCTGGCCCCCGGCCAAGCAAGAAGCAAAAACTTGCCGCGCCTAGACCAAATTTGAAGGGTCTGGCGCGTGAAGTACAAAACCTTGGCGGCGACAACCCTATTGCCATAGTCCCTGAAGTCACACATTTCAAGAAGCGACGATTTACGAGCCGGAAACCTGCTGCGAAATGGGAAATGCGACCTTTCAAAATCTCGGCGCGCGCCGACTCGAACTTGACTTTGCGACACTGGAGGAGAAAGGATGAGAAGCTAGAGGGAAACTACGAATCACAAGAACAAACGAGTCAAGGAGACCAACCACAACCACCAAAGGAGCTTGAGGATTCCGCCTTTGCAAAATACAATGTGCAGGTTTCGGTACCACAGTACAGCGAGGGACAGTATCAACAGTCGCTACAACATGCTGACTGGACTAAGGAGGAGACGGATTATTTGCTGGAGCTAGCACAAGATTTTGACCTTCGATGGCCTTTGATATGGGATCGCTACGAATGGAACCCTCCAGCCACCAACGGGGAGGCTGATGATGACGGCGACGAGAGTAAGGCTATCGTGCCTGCAACAAGGTCGCGGACCCTGGAAGATCTCAAAGCACGGTATTATGAAGTCGCATCCAAAATGATGGCAGCGCAGAAGCCTGTGCAGTACATGACACAACCGGAGTTCTCTCTACATGAGCTCATGGCACACTTCAACCCTCAACAGGAGAAGTTGAGAAAGGAGTTTGCACTGAACGCATTGACACGATCACGCGAGGAAGCACGCGAAGAAGAGTCGCTCTTGCTCGAGATTAAGCGCATCCTAGCACGCAGCGAACGATTCAACGACGAGCGTCGTGAGTTGTACAACCGTCTTGACTATCCTCGATCGGACACGGACATCAATGCCTTCAAATCCTCTGCCGGTCTACAGAATCTCTTGCAGAACCTGATGACTGCTGACAAGACCAAGAAGCGTAAATCGCTAATGCCTGGCGATGCCAATAGTCCTGCTGGTACGGTGCCCCCGCAAACTGCAGCCGCTGCTTCTGCTGCTGCTACAGCCGCCGCCGCCCAAGAGGCTGGAAGACGTGAAAGCACAGCTGCATCTACTGGCCCCCGTGAATCTACTGGGCCTGCTCCTACTCCGGCAGCTGCAAACAATAAGAAAGGCCAACAACAGCAACAAGAGCGACGTAAGCTTACAACGCAAGAGGAGTTGTTATATGGTGTCACCCATCACGACCGACTGGGCTCTGGACCAACTTTCCGGACCGAGAAAATCAACAAGTTGTTCTCGCACAAGTCGAACCAGCAGCAGATGCGCATCACGAATGTTCTCAACGAACTGGACGTACCTAATAAACTCATTATGCCTACTGCAGCGACTACGCATCAATACGAACAGCTTCTTGCCGCAGTTAACAGTTTGCTTGATGCCCGTAAGGTCTCGGACAAGCTTGATCAGGAGATCAAGACGGAACAGGCAAAGAAGGCCGAACGACAAAAAGCTATGGTACCCCCTGAATCCGAGTCAACAGCAGAAAATGACAAGACCGACCAAGAAAAGAAGGAAGGGGATGACGCAGAAGCTCCCGCCGCCGCTGCTACTGTTGAAACAAGCAAGGAGGAAACAAACGGTGGCGCCACATCGGCGGCCGAAGATGCGAGCAAGGGTGCTTCGGAAACACCAGGCCTCACCTCTGAGGCCCTGGACGCCTCAACTGAGGAAGCCGAACAGAACACTGTCGACAAAGACGAACGCCCCGGCAGCAGCGGTGCACCACACAAGCGAAGTGCAAGTGTTCTAAGCAGTGTCAGTGACAAGAACAATAAACGACAGAAGAAGTAGGATTTTGGATGGTACCCTTCAAGTACCACAGTACATCGCTCTACGCGCCAGTGTCTTGCTGCACGTAACTAACTTTAGTAACGTTCCTGCAGGAACACAGGGATCTTTGAACCAGCATGGTGACAAGATCTGCCAGGCCCGGTAGTTGTTGGTTCGAGATCTGCTATACGCATGGACCGGGCTTTGGCGAGACAGGGTATCTCATGAGCTTGATGTGTGGTCAAGATATATATGGCTGTTGGGAGTGGGAGATCATACATATAACGTCTTCTGAAACATATCATAACGTGTTGAAGCGCCGTTAGTGGGGACCTCTGTGTGACTGTTCAAAGCTTTGCATTAGTAGCAGCTAAGACTTCCAACCCCCTGGGAAGTGGAGTAGGGTGTTGAAGGACATGGGCGTTTCGAACCCGCGGGGCAAAGAAGGAAAAGGGAATTCCCTCATCTTTGAGCGTGCAGCAGTGTTGTCATTGAGTGAGCGCCGTTGATGCAACCGGGGATGCCGGCGAACAGAGCACCCAACGAGGGATGCAGTGGGCGCTAGGAAGCGTCTTGGATACAAGGGATGACGTTGCGTTAAAGAACCTGCAGCTCATCAGCGGCTGCAGCGAGGCTATCTCTTATTATAGCAACATGTTCCTAAAATTATAAACGCATCTCCCCTGAGGACGATCCATACCCCCTAGTTCATGAAGACCCCTAGATGCCAACGTTGCTGGGAACAAGCAAGGGGTGTAGGTCATCCAACACCTCGGGCCCGTTCGACCTACATCCAACGTGCTTATTACCAACCCTCGAATTGCCTAAACCGGCCCTGGGGCGCCAATCGAGTGGTTCGGATCGGTCGAGATAGCGCTGCCACTCCTTCGGAACTTGCATCTTTGGCGCCTGAGAGCTTCAAGACGGGGCGTGGCTCTTGTAATGGAGAGTGCGCATGGTGCCCAGATCACAGGAAACTTAGAGAGAACCGGCGCTTCGGGAGGGAGATGAAGTCATATCGAAGTCTGTTCTGAGCGAGACGCCCAGTGACATAGCTGCACGATGACAAGCGAAGGGTATGGATGCATGTCGTAGTCGGCGTCTATGAGTTAACAATAGAACAAACCCACTGCTCTCCAACCTGCAAGAAAGATGATATGCATCAATATACCTGAACCCAAAATAGAGATTCACCCTTGTTAAGCGCCAAGATCATGGCCATTCTGGAATAGCTATGCGATGAGGACATGCGATGCAAGGCCGGCGCTTAGCTGGCGGCTAGATGTAAACATCGGAAGCATCATTGGACATAGGCCCTACAGATCTAGCATCAGTATCTTTGATGTATTTTTAGATGAAACAACAGTGGTATATTTAGAAACATGTTTTTCAAAATATATTATAACGTCCCCACGAGAGATATCCTTGTAGTGTTGAGGCTCTTCGATGTGACGTTTGTTGCATCTGGTAGAGCGCCTTATGATTGGCTGACCGTCGCAACTTCGCGAATCGACCATATCAATACCCATGGTGCAACATGCTTTGATGATGGGATTTCTGTTAAATAACAGGAGCCCTCCGAATACGAACTTATAGTTGCGGTATATTATAGGTCTAATATGTACGTTCACAATTGTGATTATACCCATGCATGATCGGACATGAAGTCGAGATTCGACATGTACGCCGCAAAGACACCAGTAACAGTCTAACAGCATTAGACTAACCAGTACGAAGTGGCGAGACCAGCTTCAGTATTACCCAAACTGTTGTCTCTTCTCTCCAGCCAGGTTTCACAGCGAATGGATTGATGCTTTCGGGCATAAGGCGACAACAACAGTGTGCACCCTCTCACTACGCCAGCAACCAACGCAATGCCTAAATGCATCTTATTTCACATGCGCCGCCGCGGCGTACAATATAAGGACGGCAATGGCGATGGGTATCTGATGCATGATCCTGACAGGGTGGGGGGGGNGAGGGGGAGGGGGGGGGGTAACAAGCAAGGAGTCAATACGAAGGAGCACAACTCGACCAACAACTGGCCACCAACAACCCATTCGAGGCTGTTTACAACCATGCCATTGCAATACTACTTGCCAGGTTCGGTTTCGATGGTTTCTTGAACCCTCAGAATATGGTACAAGCTATCGGTGGTCGCCATGCGACGTTCGATAAAGCTATATCCTTCAATGACACTTGGCGTTGTACGCTGACGGTGTTCTGGAAGTGTTTGCCCCAGAACAACGAAGCAATTTGAATTTATGGTCACGACCTGTTGGGACTAACAAGGTCAAGCTGCGTAGAAGTTGACTTGAAGGAACCTTTGGGCACGCTGGAACTTGGCGAGCCAGGATCCACCTCGACAGTCTCATGGACTTGGACAAAATTTAACAGGTAGTTATGTCAAGCACAAACTTACCGTTGCTTGTCATGTTCTGTGTCAGTGAGCATGAGGGATGCGACTGCCATGTAATGTGCAATGATCGCCAGCCATGCTATTTTTGCAGTCACAGGTTGAGTGCTTTATCCACAGGGGTAGTATTCGGACCCGCAACACGGAATAATTCTTCCAATCCAAACTTTGTTTCTAATTTATCATGCTGATCAGATACTGTTCGGGTTATTGAGAAGAAGTGTCTCGTTAGGTTTGAATCTTGCGCGTGCTTGCGACTTCGAAGAGGATTTGCACAATAAGACCTAGAACGACACCCTTGTCGAGTTTGACAAAAACCCCTAGTCAGTGGAATGAGGTGAGTGATATCCACCATTTGAATTGACTCTCCGCTTCCCCGCGCTTTTGCGTGCGTTAGAAGCTGCAGAGCCATTATCGCGAGGTTGTAGTCAATGCAGCGGTGTGCCTTTGGGTCCGAAAGTGCAGTAATATAGACCGGACTATTACCTGCGCGGCCATGGATTTGCGAATGGAGGCGCTGGAACCATATCAGTATTGTCTTAGGCTTTCAGCTATCTGATGTGATAGCTGTGAATCACGGCGAACAAAGCCCCCTGTCCCAGCAAATAGCCAATCGCGGTTGGTAACTCGACAGCCCTCATCACAACTTGACAAAGACCGCTAACAGCGGTGTCTGGAGGAAAAAAGACGGCACGAAAGTTGAGACGCCCAACAGACCAAGTGATGAAGGTACATAGTAGCAAGTCAAAGAATGTCGAGGACAGCTCAAGTCTAACTCGGAAGCGATGAGCTTGCAACAAACATAGACAAGGAATGTTTTTGATAACATTGCCCAATAATGTTCCACTAGAGGAGTCGAAGGACGAAAATAGGAACACCAGCGATAAATCAGCCAATGACTTCTATTATAACTTAGACGTCATGCCCGTTGCTGTGAAAAAGCGAAATTCTCTTAAGTGGACTGAACGAGCCCCTTATTACCAAGACCAGGCTGTTTCGTAATTGAACCTGTAGGTGTTATGTGCTTGAATGCACGTTGGGGATGATCTTCCGCACATAAATTATTTTGAGTAGGCCACTCAGCCTCGGCAGAAGCTAGGCTTGGAGGATCAAGCTGAACAACCTGAAATGGTCCTCATGATCAGTGCCTTCCTGAGTAATAGAGTGTTGAATGAGGCCGCCAATTCAGGGATGCTTCAGACCTCCCCACACGAGCGCAACACAAGAGATTCGGGCGAGACGCGCGCCAGCCTCAAGTCTTATGCCAGTGATAACCAGGGATATCGAGGCCGACAGTCAATGACTGTGTATGCTCGACTTGGTCTATTGCGTGTCTCGCTAGATTTTTTTTTTAGCTCTAGCATTTGCTCAAGCGCTACGATATTCTAAACGCCCCAAGTGGAGGGAAAGTATCTGAACTCGAGTCAAAGTCCAATATTGGGCTCTGAGTCCAGACTAGTGTCTAGACACAGCCGCGGACAACAGGCGAGTAACACGAGACAGTGGTCTTAGCGTGTTAGACGCGGCGTCAATGGATTCTGTCTCGTCTGAGGTGCCTGAACATCCACATCCTGGTGGAGGTCCTAAAGTACAGATTTTGATTGGTTGTTGGGGCGAGAAGGGCACACAGTACCACACCCGCTGACATGCGGTGGACGGTAGATGAACGGCCTGTGGTTGGCTGCTGGAGTACCGGTCGCTTTTTGGAGCCGGTGTCGTTTAGAAGTGCAGCCCTGTACCGTGTTGTGACAAGAAGTCCAACGAATTTCTCACTTGGACATGATGAGATCTGACTACTAAGTCTAAGATTTGATGTAGTATACTTGAAGTGAAAACTGCGATAAGATGGATAAGACATGGACGCGATGATGAGCTGATGATTCAAAGTTGACAAGTGGGTACAACAGCAAGAGCAAGTCTAGGCTCAATTTCAATGAGGAAAGGTGCATTGGTGCACGGGTGCAGCGCCGCGGCAAGAGCGAGTGGGGCGCCTATATTCTCCACCCAATCGTACCGCAGGGAAGGGGCCGACGAAGGCTCAAAGCTAACCTTGAAAACACTAGTGCAATTTCCAAGTTAGGTTGGCAGTTCGTCGTTGTTTGAGACGGTACTGCACAAGAAAAGCAGGTGCGAACACTCCCAGCAACTCACAATATTGTTGATTGTCAGAAGGCGAGTTGGAAGTTAGAGAAGATGCGTGGGATAAGGTTGTTGTTACTAAGCCTTATGTAATAGATCCAGGTAAACAAGAGACGCTCCTAATGGCCGGGCTGGTTTCAACCACAATGAAGAAAGAATAATGGCCATCCAGATAGCCTACGTCTTTTCTTTGCACCATCTCTATAATAATATGCGGTATAGCGATGCTGTGGAGACCTCAATCGATGTCAACTGTTTAGTTTGCAGGCTCCGAGTGAAAGAGGCACAAACAGACAATCTCATGTAGTAGCCAGATACTTGGTTGACAAAAAGACATCATTTTGAAGTAACAAATGGAGCGTGGTTCCAATAAAATTTGACAGACGGCTACCCAGACTAGGTAGGTTGTCATCAATAGAGATTGCGACCCTGAAGAAGAAACGAGATGCGCCAAGCTGATTGATTGAACGACAGCTATTGTGGCCTATGAAGGATCCAGACGAAGGATTAGTAGCCTTCGGTTAAGGTTGTTTAGAGAGTCGCGCGACTGGGCAGGCGTCAGTTACAGGTGTCTAACACGGAGACGGAGGTTCATCCTGCGCCGGTTTTTCTTTTCTGATACATAACTTGAAGACATGCAAGGATTGCTCATTGGATCCGGGATTGTTGGCTCCAAGGACGATCATGCTGCGGGTACTGTACACGTTGGAGGTTACAGGTTATTACCGCGCGAGGATGAAGATGTATGGTCATGTGTCATAAATCGTACGTATGTGAGGTCAGGTCAAGTCAAGTGCTGTCGGTGATTAACCGGCTGCAGCTGTCATTCCTTGATTCGAACAGGACAGATAAGTTTTGGTAGCATCAACGGTGGTGGTGATGAAGTAGAAGCGAAGGCTTGTGAAAGGTATATCTTCAGTTTGCGCCAAGAGGCAGAAATACATAGAGTACTCTATAACCACATTCCTCCTAGGGGTGTTGCTTTCGCGGCACAGCTTCGTAAATGTCATTGTCGCGGGTGAGATAGACGAGATGACTCAGACAGTTGAAACAACAACTACATACAGGCTGGTATGGTGCATTTAAAATACTTGGGTGGTAGTTACGTGTCGTTCAGATCTCAACGTTAAAGTCAATCGACACAATATTGAGGCAGAGTTAGTTGGTTTTGACGAGATGCTTGTGCCTTGAATCTCACACGAAGCGGCTCATGCAATCGCCATCAAAAGGTGCTGTACTGACTGATTGTTACTTGAGCTCCAGCCTGAAGACCGCGGCAGAGCAGCGGTCCGTGATCCGCACATCACTCAAAGAGGGCTGGTTAAAATGACACCCATCTTTTCAACAACCCTTCCCCTGTCAGTTCTCGACTCGAGAATCCCGCGTCGAAAGAGGTACCATTGTCAAGCTAGGGACCGCTCCTTATGGGCCGCGCGACTGGCTGCAAGCAAAGACGCCCAGTGAAGGTTGGCCGCGCCAGAGTGACCAAGAATGTGGGAGAGCGCAAGGCAGCGCCAGAGCAGAATCTTTTAATGAGGGGGAGACTCCTAAGCGAAACGCCAGCGTCAGCACCAGAGCCAGTTACAGTAAAGAACAGAGAGCATTGAGGTAGTGACGGAGGGTTTCCGTCCCTTTTTAATGCCTGGGTACCAATTTTTAGCAGTTGCTTTATGGGCCTACTCCAGTTATTAATTACAGTATGGACGTTTTATCCATCGATGGGATCCGTTATATACCATTCATCTTGACCGCACTTTACAATAGGCCCCAATCATTCACTGTCAGAGTATGTGGTTTATCTATCTGGACGTGCAATCGCAGCCGGGCAATGACGTGATATAATCGATCACAGGTAGCGGTTGTCGTCTGCCTGTGTCACCGACTTGTTATGCAGAGTCTTCAACCTGGCGTTGTAATGTTGTTGAGGTTGATGAGAGTTTGTTCAATCCCGTAAGAGCAGGGACAGGGGCATGCTCTGCAACCTTGGGTATGCACTTTACTTGAACTGTAATTCCAGCACAGGTACCTTGAGGTTGCGCAAAGGTACTTGTCGGCTCGGAGGTACCGCACCTCGTAGCCGAGTGACGCCGTGTGAAGCGCCACGCCGCCGCGAGTTTGGAGGACTGAGAGTAGATAGGCAGTAGGTCAGAAAGGCATGCAGGTTGTTAATATTTAGAGTTGGTATTATCGGAGGCATTATTGGTTCACCATCATTCCGCAAGAGCGCTATTGACCATCTAGACAGCCTGTCTACTTCTCCGTTCGTTTCCAACTACTGCATCGTCCGGAACCGAGATGCGAAAATATCTGCGTATCACGATATGGAATTGGAGCTACAACACTGGTCCACTCCGTCATCTCACGCGCATACCTAACGATGGGAAAGCTACCTAGCTTAGCTTCATCTCCAAGGCGCTGTTGGGATTGAGATCATGGCTATACGACCGCCATAGCCATGGATGGATGTCTATCATCGCAACTTGCAGGGACACACCAGAAACAGAAACGGAACCAACAACACCAACCGCGCGCCCCGTCCGCTCGCCTACACCTGCAGTACAGCACCCACCTTTCTTGGATCAGTTTCCAAGTTCAAGGGTCCCCTGGCCCCCAAGCTCTTGATTAATACATTCACCCCTAGAGAATATGCAGGCGAGGATGGATTACCTTACAGTACAACGCTGTTCTGTTTCGAAGTCTCTGAGACTCATATCGAATTGATTTGCCTACTGTACTGCATCCGTCGTCCGTACATCGCTCACATCATTCCCTTGATGAATGGATGGGTCGGACTCCCGCAGCTCTGCTTGATTGTTGAACTGATTTGGGTGGTCTACACGAGCTGAAACAACTTGAGCGCTTCTGGTGTTACTAAATCGTCTGCCTGACGGGTAGAGATAGTTGGAGGTGGACTAAGGAACTGCTTGTTAGCTTGTACTCGTCTAGTACCTTACCTTATCTGGGTGTTTCTAGCTGTTGTTCCTTCCATGTCATTCACTGCCGCCGCTGTCTCTCTCTTAGCTCTTTCTTAGCTTGTTGTTGACTTGATCTCACTTGATCCTTGGTGAGCCTCGTGGGTTCCTTCCTCGTACAGTACCTCTGGACCCTTACTGGGGCTCTCTTTCATATCCATTCTCTCCTTCCTCGGGCTCTTCTCTCCCGTTCCTTTCCTGCATTGCATATTGTTCCTTCCCGGCACACCCTCACTTCATCTTGGATCTCGCTCTAATCTCGATCCTTGGTTTTTCCTTCCTCTCCATCCTCTTCCTACCTACCCAGTCTCTACCCTCCCACCAGGAAGGACCCCCTCCCACTCTCCCTGTCCCGTCAGGCCTGACTGATCTGAGCTCCCCGCCACGAACACCCCTAGCCAATATTTTTTTCGCCCATTACAGACGCACTTTGACTTAATCGCGCGTCAAAACCTACCGACGCCCCAAGCGCGGCGACTTTCATCATTTCCAAACCACAACCACCCGACTTTTCGCTACTCGGAGGGCAATCGCGCCCCCAATTGAACTCCTTTACCTTCATCTTTTATATGCGAGCTCGCATCTCATAGAGGTTTTCGGGGTATTTGTTTAGTCGACTTGCATTCGTTTTTATCTTGGCTACAGGTGCCAGGTGGGATTTCAACCTCACTCAGTCTAATTCTCAGAGACGAATCGCGAGAGACATTGCAGTCTAGTTACTGTTTCACATTCTCACAGCGAGCATCGTATCACCTCATCTCATCTCGTTGCACCGGAGCTCACGTCCTTTGGCTTTGAATTCCATCATCATTCAATCATATCAAAACCTTCTGCCACCGACGCCTTGGATCATTGATTCAATCATAGCGATAAGCATCAACTTTCGTTGATTATCTAGCATCGTGGACGTCAATTTGGCTGGGCTCTGCTCATTTTCATTGCGTTGCTTGTTCTACTGCGCCACAGATTCTTGCTACCTGGGTAAAGCTCGATATTCCTTACGTTCTCACCCTAACGGCATCATCAACTCGAGTTCAGAGCATCTTGTTACGTGATTCATACACATCTACTCAATCGCACACCCCTAATCGTTTATCGCGACTGTTCGCGGAATACCCGGAGTGAGCTCGACTGTGCTTCGCTTGAGCGACTCTGGGAGTTGCTCTGAGCCCGCCCGGTTCAAGGCTTGACTGCGCGATTCCTTGACGTTTCTCCCGACTCACCCAACTCTCATCTTGTGTGCCATCACTCGCTATCTTAGTCGGGCCAATATGTCAAGTTTTACGGCCCTCAACGGGGGCTCACCCCGGACTTCAGATCCGCCTGCTGTGACCATCGAGAAAACTTCGGCCATAGACGAACGCGCACACAGCACAACTACGTCTCAACCTCCACCTACACCAGAAGTGCCGTCAAATCAAGTTCCAGCACAAAGTACGGAGCGTCCATCCTTTCAGTCACCTGGCTATCCTGATGCAGAGGGCTCTCATAAGAGAAAGCGGTCTGATTCCGTCGAGATACGACGGGAACAGGTCATACACGTCCATACACCGGAATCCGCTCACCCGCAACATGATTCGCGTGAGGTTTATGGAACACCCTCGAGAGATTACCGCTCATATGGCGATGAGCACCGGGACAAGGAAGCTTGGTATCCGCATCGCGAAGAACGTAGCTATGACTCCCAGCAGAATTCTGCAACTACCCCGCATGGTCAAACAGAAGAGCAGATTGGTGATGCACTTCGCAGAGCTACTGGCCAGATGGACCACGGGGACTACTCTAACGCCAGTCCTGATGGCGATGATCATTCCATTATATGTGGTGGCCAGTACTCGTCTGACCCGAGGCGCGACGCTTTTATGCAACACGATTCTAAGAAACGCAAGAGAAATTTCAGCAACCGGACCAAGACAGGATGCCTCACTTGTCGCAGGCGTAAGAAGAAGTGTGATGAACAAAAGCCTGAGTGTAAGCCACATTCAGATTATGTTAACTGTCTACGCATGTCACTAATATTTCCTCAGGTGGAAACTGTCTTCGTGGCAGTTTTATCTGCACAGGCTATCCACCTCAGCGTGGACCAGGATGGCAGAAGCCCGACAATAAAGCTGCAGCAGTTCCTCTCGAGTCCAAAGACCCGACATATGTTCCACCAGGAGCTTACGGGATGCCTCAGCAAAGCCCTTACGGTAACCAACCGGTGAAGCGCGAACCCCTGCCGCCTTATCGTGGCCAGGCCCTTCGAATTGACCCCCCACAAGGCCGCCCTTTGGTGACCGATGACGACCGGCCAACCGCATCAACAATACCCAGCGCGTCTGTTGCGAGCCCCGAGAATAAACTCTCTGCTTTACCTTACACTCCAGCAAACGTGTTTCCAACTCCTGTCAGCGCAAACCCTCAACCGCCGCCACCACCGTTTGGAGACAGAATGGCCAAGGAATACCAACGCGTGCCTCCGCTGCATGACCTTAGCAGGACAGAACCCGATTCTACTCATCTTGGGAACCAGCTCCCGCAGATCAACATTCTTCATCCTACAAGAACAAACAGTCCTGCACCTCCTCCGCCTGCACCAACATCCAATGCTCAAGTAGCCGCCCAGTTGGCTTTGTCTCATTCACAGTTCCCCCAGAGACGGACCCAAAAGGAGGAGATGCTTTCAGGGCGTCACTTCTATCCTTTCGATAAGGAACTTTGTCTGGAGCGTGAGCGTTGCTCAGCTGCTGTCTGGAGATTCAACAACCTCAACGGCATATCTCCTGAAGAACGTGCTCGTTTATTCCGTGAAATCTTACAGCCTCGTGACCCCGTTCGAGTTTCTCCTACCGAAGCCTCTCCGATCACCAATGTCGGCCGTGTGGGCAGAAGTGTCGCTGTCGAAACACCTTTTGCTTGTGATTACGGCTATAACATCACAATTGGCCACCAGGTTACTATCGGGCGCAACTGTACAATCAACGACGTGTGCGAGGTAAAGGTTGGTGACAACTGTGTGATTGGTCCAAATGTCAGCATTTTCACGGCAGGGCTACCCGTCGATCCCAAGAAACGCCAGGGTACCCAAGGTCCCCAAGCAGGCAAACCTGTTATCATTGAACAAGATTGCTGGATCGGCGGAGGTGCCATCATTCTGCCTGGAAGAACAATTGGCAAAGGCAGCACTGTCGGTGCTGGATCAATTGTCACGAAGGTATTTTGCGTAAAACTTTTGCTGAAGAACCTATACTAATTCATGGCTCAGGATGTTCCTCCTTTTACGATTGTAGCAGGAAATCCTGCAAGGGTTTTGCGCGGCATCGCCTCTTAATTTTGCTACATGGCATTGCATTTTCCTCGTCTTCTGAACACGATACTTGGAAGTATTAATGTGTTTAAGTCTTCACTTTTGAGTGGCTAATCGGCCATACGAGTTCACAAAAATGCTCAACGATTATGAAAAGGATCTAAGCGTCACGAAAGCCTCAGCGATGTATCTTGTCGGTTGAATTTATTTTGATTTTGGTTTTGTTTGATTTGATTCTAAGGGTCGTTCTATACCGAGAGGGTTACTATTGGCATCTAATAAGAGGGCGGTGAAAAGCAATTCTAATGGGAGGCGCTAGAAGACTTATTGTGTGGGTTTACCGGCCGTCTTGGGAGGCAGAAAGCCTCATAGGAGACGAATTGACAGGTGAATATGACGAACTGGGATGGTGGTATTGCTTGTTGTTGTTGTTGTTGTTGTTGTTGTTGTTGTTGTTGTTTTCTTGTGTTGCATGCGCTACGATTTATGAGAGATAAACAAAGCCAGGTCGAGGCCTGCAGGAAGATATCCATTCATGTTATCAATTATTATTATTAGCGTGTCACATTCTGTTCAAGCCTGTGTACTTCTTAATACCCATCAGTTCGTTTTGCGGTAATTTTTGGTGGATGAGTCCTTTTTTGCTTGCGGTTGTGATGATGCGACCCCTTATTTGACCAGTCGCGTCGACAACAAATACACAACCTGCAGTCATCCTTAGCCTGGCCGCCCGGTCGCTAGAGTAATGTTAAGGATGTCCGCATCTGCGGCCTCGTATGCAGCCCTAGAGTTGACCGATTGACATCTTACTGCGTGTTAGTGGGCTGTTGAAGGAACGGGCCTACACCGATAAAACTGACCCAGTCGAAGCCCTCGGTCGGGCCAAAGATGGTATTCAGAGGAAGAAACTCCTCATAATCTCCAGAGTAATTCATATCTGGCATAGTGAAGTCTGTAATCTCATCACATATAGTCGGTTCGATGTAGGGATATGCCGTATTGACTAGCTCCTGAGCTCCCGAGTCGGACATATAGCTCAGTGACGTAGCAACTCGGTCGAGTGTTGCACGAATAACCCTCGATCCATATAGTGCGTCCTTGGAGTGAGCTCCACGCTCTTTCCAGACTTTGTGAGCACACTCTAGTATCCGGGCGTGTTGTAGATGCACCTGCGGGCTAGAGGATTTTAGTAATACACATAAGAAGCACAACCGTGAAGCCTACGTTATGTCGGTCGACCCCAACAGATCCAGGCAAAGGACCATGGCTGCAACTAAAAAGTCATGCAGTGTAAGGCTCGAGAGTAAAAAGCGATCCTCGTGCATGCGGCCACCGTCTCGGGTCTCATGTTCGAACTCGAGGTGGAGTTCAATAACTCGAAGAGCTGTGGCGCGGCAGAGTTCTCGGGATGCTCGATAGCGTTCCTGGTTCTTTTCGGAGCGAAGATAGGGGCGATGGAGCACACAAATAGTCTTAAGGTATGATATCTCTATGATGAGTCGATGCATGATGGTGTAGCCTGGGACATCCAATGGAGTGGAGGCAATGGGGCGGATACGGAAGCATTCAGGCACGGTGTTGTGGTATGATTCTAACTCAGCCTGAAGTGCCATCGTCTCTTCATATAGTGGCGACTCGATCCGGAGAACGTGCCGTAGGGCACGGCGTAGAAGACGGCAGAGGTGGGATTTGGTCTGCCAAGCCAGCATAGGAGTAGGCTCTGTGGGAGGACGAGACTCAGGTACCTCAGTGTCTTCATCGAAGTCATCGTCTGATAGATTTCTCGGATGCCCAGCGTCACAAACTTCTTGATACACCATAGGGGGCATGCCCAGTTGGAATGAGAAAAGTAAATCAGAAGTCTGAACCATAAACCACGTCCGCCGACGCATCTCAGCCTCAAACTGTGTAATTGTAGGTGACACTCTGGCTGCGTCGAGATGGTAGCCTCTGCGCTGTGCAAGACGGACGGTAAGCGAGTACAGAGACCATATTGTAGCGTCTGAATCTTTTTTGGTAACATTGCGCGAATGAGCGTACATCATGAGTGCCTCGACAGAATACGGTTTGGCCTTAAGGTACTCCCCTGTGACAAGACATTGAGCTGACCGTTGTATGTAAAACTTTGGTTCCTGAACAGATTCTAGACAAGGGCTTTGTGCTTTTGAGATCATAGCGCCAAGACCCAACACAGAGAATAAGATACTTAACCATAGGAAGTTAGGGTTGTGAGAGTCGGACCAGAGAAGCTCGTAACGTCTCCAGAAATGTCTCTCGTGAATGAAAGGAATAGCGATAAATTTGGAGTTGAAATATGTCCTGACAAGAGCATCGGCATCTTGACGAGGCGGTAAGCTGTTGCGAACTTCAGTGATCGTGATGGGTAATATTCCTCCAATTACGATGTCTGGAGTAGGAGGTAGAACCTCAGACTCGTCGCCATGATCAGACTCATCTTCAGTGTGAAGAACATTCTGAATATCGTGGATACCCTTGAAGACGGCCTCCCATGATGTCTCTCCATGATACATGGCATCTGACCCTTCTTCTATTCCTCGAGGAGAAAGCCCACTTGTGCTCATTCCTGTACTAGCGCTGGTAAAAGCACCCGAAGATTCTGACGCTGCTGCGAGGCGCATCACGATTTCTTCAAGCTTGGCCACTTTGAGTTGCATCTCTTGCTTTCCTCCAGAAGCACTCACATCGCCGTAGACACAAGTGTTCGGGTCGCCTCGCTTGTGACAGGCACTGCAAGAGGGCTTTGACCGATCACATTTCGACTTGCGTTTCTGGCATATCGTGCAAGAGACAGGCTTTCGATTGCGGGTAACTTTGTGAGTGTCGGTGGCTCGGAAGACACCAGTAAGATGCTTTATGCCAGGGCCAGGCATGATCCATTGACCGATTGGCGCAACGATTGTCCGAAGAGTAGAGTCAGAGTCCTGGACCCTGTTGGAACTGTCGGTGGTTGCTGCTGGTGACAATAATAAGTTGCTGGTCTTTATTTCGTGGGGTTTAGTTGATGAGCGATGCAAGTCTCTTCAAGCGAAATTGATTTGTTCTGAGAATGAGATGAAGGAGAAGCTAAAAAGTGAGTGAGCGTAGGTTCTCATGAGGATGTCAAATTGACCGAGTTAACCTAGACCGAACCCTCAACCTGATGTGAAGCCACAACGAGCCTCGTCGGATTCGCCTGTTCCTTGGTGCGAAATGAGAGTGAGTGTGAGCCCTTGACCAATAAAAAGATAATAATGAAAAATAGCCCCGATAAGTCCGGCGTGGGGAAGTTAACCGGACTTTTGGATCATTTGAATTGTCTCAGCTATGAAAGCTCATCTTGAACCACTTGCATACGTAAATATTCATGTACGAATCATTTAAATGCTTTATAATACATAGGCGATTCCTAACTCCTCATTCACTGTCATACATGACCCAATTTTCATGTTTATCCAAAACCCCAGACACAATATCCAATTCTATAATATGCGTTGGTGATACACGCAGCGATCGTTTCCGCTGCCAAAGCCCATACATATCTTGTCTGTTCCTACCATGCTACATTTACTGGGGCTGGTGCTCTTCCAGCCTCTTCCTGTTTTCATCAATGATCTTTTCCATCGTTTCCAATGCCCGAGTCTGATCTTTCAGCTTGGCAAATGCCTTGAATGTGTGCATGTCTGGCTTGTATCCAGCTGCCTCGAGGTCCTGTAGTGTGCCAACTGTCTGAGACAGGTCTTGCATCGCAGCGTAGCCCTTAACAAGTGTGTTCCAAGTGACGATATTGGGTTCCAGGTTGTGTTCCTGCAAAGCTTGTCGAACTTGCTCTGCCAGTATTACTTCCCTTCGCATGAGAAGCCCATGAAGAAGAATGCTGAAAGTGAATAAATTCGGTGGCGGGTGAACAGGAAAGTTTTCACCCAAGACTTCCTCTTGCGTGCCGTCTTCAGGCGTCTTGGCGATTAGCGAATCGCGAAGCATATCTCCAAATACTTGCAGCGCTGGGCGAAGAAGAACCTTTCGCTCAAGCATGACCAGAATTAGTGTATCGTGAATGATGCTTCCCTGTTCCTTGACCAGCTGTTGAGCCAAATTCCTCTCAGTCCCACGCTCCTCTAAGCGTGATTTGAACCAAGTGTAGAAAGACATCAAGTCGTAAGGTCGGTGCAGGGTCTTGATGTATCCTCGCATCATAATTGCTAGTGTCTGCATGTTGGGTTTCTGTAGAGGGCCAGCACTGCTGTCAAAGAATTCGTTCGCAACAGGAAGAATGGTGCTCCTGAATTCCCATTGTATCTGCGGGTTGAACATGAACTTTTCACTGGTGTCCATGTTTTCTTGACCGAGAAGCAGGGGTAAAGTGTCGGGCAAAAGCCATTGTAGAGGCTCTAGGTCGAATTTCTTGGCGTAGATACGAAGCAAAGGCCCAAAGATGGGGACAACATATGGTGCTGGAAACCTCTTGTCTCGGCTTTCCATCTCTGCAAAGTAGAAGATGGAATGCAGCGTGTTATTAAGCACGTCCACGTGCGGTACTTTTGCAGCTCGAGCAACATCCAGAGCTCGCCGTACATTAGACGCTTTGAGGCTGCTTTTGGCCCCCCTGAACACAGTAGTATAACATCGACTGTCAAGCTCAGCGCCGTTCTCCGCCAGCAATAATGGAAGCCGAACAGCTTCTTCAATATCACCTTGCAGGCAAAGAGACGAGATTAGAGCTGTGAAACTGACCAAGTTGGGGGAAAATCCGTGTTCTAGGAAATACTCCATAGCACGTTGAGGTGAAAAGGCACCCTGCGAGTCGGACCATGAGTGTGCTGTTGGTTGAATATGTAATAATGTAGTGATGACACTCGCGATGGACGGCGAGTTCAAGTCATGGCCTTCATCTGCGATGTTCCGTAGAATCTGGAAAGCTTGTTCTTTGTGCTCATGGCTACGCGCAAGCTTGTCGGCAAACTTCAAAAGCGTATTCCGGTGCAACCTGGTTCCCGACCGCTGTAAGATTTGAAAGATCTCTGTCGTTTGCTCAATCGGCAACTTTGCAGCAAGAAGGCCTAGGGTGCTTTGACGGAATGGCACATGACCAGATGGGATGTCCTCGATCAGTTTGGCAAAGAGTTCTAGCACCTCGTCGGCTTTTGTAACACGATCGCGCATTACTTTGATACCTTTAAGATCCAGAGCCGAGATGCAAAATTGAGCAACGCCGGCCATTGCGTAACCAGGCGGTAAAGGATCCAAGGTAGCCTCGAGAACTTGGATCGCCTTATCCGGGCGTGAGGAAAGTGTCGACAGCATTACACGAGGCCATCTCTTCTCCCGAGATTCAACGTCAAGTTCGTGCCAGGCATTCCCCATATCCGAGGGGCTTTCCAGTTCGAAAAGGAATTTCCCGTCGTCCAGCCATGATGATGATTTTGGTTTAGTCCGAGCTACAATTGAATCCAAGTTTGTATGCCAGAAGTTGAATTGCTTTTTTACAGCGACCAGTTCATCGCCGGAGTATTGATGACGCAGATATCCCCATTGATCGTATCTTTCCCTCCGTTTCTTCTCTTTTTCTTTTTCCTTTTGACGATATTCAGCAGCTTTTCGAATAGATTCTGGATCGCGAGGCGATCTATTCTGGTAGAAGCGTGCGCCTGGTGAATCATTCGAGGGGCTTGTGCTTCTTGTCTTTGTCTCTTGTTCATAATTGCGTCCATGAGAACTGCGATCGCCTTGTTCATGCCTTCGTTGCGAGCCAGACCATGTCTGAGAACCCTGCGTATCTTCGACTATAGTGGTATTGGAGGGGTTCGGAGCTGCTTTACGTAGCCGCAATTGTGATAATATCTGAGTGCCTTCTTCTGGGTATGACGAGTGTGCTTCAAGATGATATGATCGAGTGAATATGGTTCGGTTCCTCGTTGTATTCTGTCGTAATGCGAGAAATGCTGCTCTTCGTGTCCATGTCTGCGCCGTCACAGAGGACTCGAGCCTCGTGCAGGCTCGCAGCATGAGAGCCACTGGCATATCCTCCGGGTCGGCGTTAACTTGAGGTCAGCCACCTGCATAATGATCGCTAAGTGAATAGCGGTCGTTTCGCCGTCTCTCGTTGGAGTTGAAAGTTAATGAATGTAAAAATTCCAAATCTCCATTTGCCGAAGTCGCTCATGTCGACTCTATAATTTTAGCCCACCTCAATTCTTGCGCTTAACCTCAAGGCAGGCTCTAACTTCACTACAGCCCGACCCCTGCCGGCGGGTTGTTTTTAGTGGCTCTCGCATCAATTAGGTGTGCCTACCTGTACATCGGAGGTGACGCGCTAGCTTCTAGAACTCCATCTCGAATTTACATTTTACACCCCTCCAGTGTTGAAGCTTCATCATATCGCAATTGGTTCAGTCCTGTACCAACCTCGCACTCTTTACGCGCTTGTATCGTACTTTTAATATTCCCTCATCATGTCTTCATCGCACGCTAGCCTTAGCGCTGCTTCGGACGACCGAAAAGCCAGACTCGCAAAGCTCAAGAACCTCAAGCGCAAACAGCCAGCAGATGAAATCGTTGCGCCTGAATCAGAGCGAGCCGCATCCCCTCCCACAGAACCAGATGTATCACGGTTACATTTGTCTGGCCGCAACTACGATCCCGAGACAAGAGGTCCCAAACTAGGCTTCGAACAAGATCCAAGCCTCAACCTTGAAGCCCCAACCCTTGAAGAGCAGGCTGCCGAAGTCGAGGCCGAGATAAAGAAAAAGGCGGCAGAGGAAGCTCAGGACGACAAGGGTGTCGATCTATTCAAACTACAACCGAAGAAGCCAAACTGGGATCTGAAGAGGGAACTCGATAAGAAGATGGAAGTCCTCAACGTCCGAACAGACAATGCCATCGCGCGTTTGGTACGCGATCGCATTACTGGTGCGCAAAAAGCGGCCAAAAAGGACAAGGCAGTTGACGACGCCCAAGGCACTGGTGAAGCGACTGGTATGGATGGCGTGGCACTGGTGGAAGGCCTGAGGGTCAGGGAAAAGGAGGATGAGGAAGAGGAGCGTCGCGAAAGGGAGGAGGAAGCTGCACTCGGCGCATAAAACAGTCCAGCATTTTTGCTGTACGTTGGATCTTTTTTTCATCGTCCTATGTATTACGTTTTCGGGGTTTCCGGCGCCCTGGGCTGTCATGATAACTATTACAATTATACCCAACAATCATCTCCCACCCTGCTTCATAGCCTTGGTCATGGCTAATCGTTGGCTGAAAGGGCTCAAACTTCGCTCTCGGGCATTCTCGTGATGACGGCCTCCGTGGCCGTTTTTCTTTCCATCAAATCCTCCGCGTGGTGCTGGCCTCTCACGGTCATGTCGAGTATCGGACGGACCAGGCCTCTCACCATATCTTCCTCCGGGCCCCGGCGACCTTGAACCTTGGGCACGCTGGCCTTTGTATCCATCTGGACTCCGTGACCCTGACAAGTCTCTTCTCGATTGCTTCGTAGACGTAGTTTCTCGACCTGCAGGCAGAGGATCGCGAGATCGATAGTGATTACGGTGATCATAGTCTTCTGGAGAACGATCATCGCCAGACATAGATTGCCTGCGTTTAGACTCGACACGGGGGCTTCGGCTGCGATCCGAGCTAAAACTTCGACTTCGGCTTCGAATGTCACCTCGGCCTCGTGAGTTGTCAGAATGAGAACTTCTTCCTCGTGCACGAGGTGATCCAACTCTATCTCTACCAGGCGACGGAGACCTCGAAGCACTAGTAGAAATAGTAGACACAGAATGGGAAGAAACAGATCTATGCCGCTTTGCAGTTGACTTGATCAGCTCATCATCTCTCTCCTCCCGCTCGCGCTTGCGTGCGCGTTCAGCATCTACCTTAGCCAGCTCTGCATCAGCAACACCTTCCCTAGAACAACATTAGCAAAAGCAAACCATCAATCTCGATTCAACGTACTTCTTTTCCAGAGGGTTCAGGGTCTCGTTTGTAAGCTTGGGCACGAGCTTGGGATTTCGCAACTGCTGAGATCGTGATGGGCGCGACACATACGGACGCTCCTGTGCCGTTGCTTTACATTCATAAGAGTAGTGACGTTCTAAGAAAGTCAGTATTGGTGCGACTGGAAGAAAAGATGGAAAACATATCTCGTTTTAGACATTTCTGACACTGGACATTGGCAGGCGTTGACCGCGATGGACCGCCACGGCCTCTGTAATTAAACATCGAGAACTGAAGGAGCCTATCTGTTCAAGCTCAATTCTGGTTTATCCGTAACAAGGATGTGAAAATAGAGAGACTATTTGGCTCGGCCTGATGATTGAGCAGAGTTTGGTAAAGATTATCGTGAGAATCCTTTGATAATACCTGCAGGTACCTTAGTAGTCTTAACTCAAGAGTTACAGGATGATTCTTGGCTTTGGTCTGTTCACGTGACTACAGGATAACCTACAGGACCGAGTACGTACCACATCTGATATTCAACTGCTGTTTTCCATTTTGGATGAGCAATGTGTTGGGCCGCGTGTATGTCAATCTACTTAGACATAATACTACGAGAACAAATGCTGAGTTCGGGTTTGAAATATATGGTAAACACTTATGGTCGAGTTGTGCTTGGTACAACGGAGATGTATGGGTCACTGACAAGATGAAGGGAACTTTCCGTGTACAAAATCTCACAACTGTCGTTTGAAACCAACAGTACCGTTTATTAATGCATTGAATATGTTTAAAACGATTAATACAGAGCAAGGATAGGTAGTAATGATCCAATCTCGGCTGTGTTTGAATACTTAAATAAAGGTAAGGAGAAGGAGAAAACGATGTAGAGACCAGATTTGGTCCTATTCTATATGTACTCTACTACCTACTTGTATGTATATATGGCAGCAAGGTAAAGTTGAGATTGAGATTGATCCTCCAAATAAATGTCTTACCATGTTTCAACAGGTTACTGGCAGAAAACAGGGTGCTGCACAGTGCTGCGCAGCATCTGAAAGTAGCTGTGACTGGATCATTAAATCAACAATAGGTAAAGATAGAAATAGATCATCGTAAGAAATTCTTCCATGTCCTGTCACGGAATGCTTTAGCCACCTTTTGTCTTGTGCTTTTGAAATTGCCTTTTTCTGTATAAGTAAGACAATCAGCAATGATATTTCGCTAGGTACATGATACTAAAAGCATACAGATACCCGACGACTTCTTTTAGGTAGTGACCTTCAATTTGAGTCCCTATCCGTACCTTTTTCGCTTTGAGGTGACCGCCTGCCGTTTTTTCTTTATGATCTTTTTGATTTTGGGTACCTAGGCCTAGTCTCCTGCAATTTTAGTGGCTCGGGCGACCCCCCCCACTGTGTGCCCTGCCGTGCCGCTCGCTCCACAGGGCCCAAGTAAAGTACCAGACAGTAAAGTGAAGTGATAACCCAGGGCAGGCGGGTAGGCAAAGTGATGGTGCACGTCCTTGTGACAACCTCCTCCTGGTTCCCCTCCAAAACCTTGACTAACCAACTACGTCCATCCCGCCCATCAGCAACATTACATCGCATCGCCTTGTTCTCTGCTTTGCTGAGCTGAGCTGTGCGCCTTGGGGTCGTCTTTTCGTCAAGAATCAGCTGCTGTTGTTTCTTCTTGTCTTTCGCCCTCTAAACATACGCCTGACCTCCGACCTGGGCGTTACCTGAGGTTCATTCTCAACTTCCACCCCCGATTTCGACACCGTCTCACTTTGACCAAAAAAAAAAAGAGGCCGCCTCTCTGTGTTGGAGATTGGGTAGCAACAGGACCTTGGACAATTCGATCAGATTCATCTGGTGAACAATGTATCTTACGACACGACGATGAGCACCGAGACTCCGTTTTCCTTCTGCTGGTCCGCTTCCATCGAATTCGCTTCTTGATTTTGCTCGATACTGTCCTTTCTGTTCCCGCCATCACAGCTGCAGTCTCAGCCGCAGCCTCAATTCCAGCTTGAAGCTGCAGCCTCATACCGTACTGGTCAACCGCCGCCCTCACCCTCCTGTCTCAAACATCATTAAAATACCCACCACTTACGGTATTGTATTGGCTTCGTAGCCTTAATCGGAATCCATCATGGCTCCTGCCCAGGTGTCTCCTGATCTTCCTAAACCCTCGTTCGCCAAGGTAAAATTTACCCCGTATTCATCCCCTCTATAAGTGGTTCTTTGTCGAAGGAACCATGTCCATTTATCGACTGGCGCTAACTCACGCTGTTTGACAGGTCGCTGCCTCTGTTTCCAAGGATTCTGCATCATCTGCAAATCGACAGATAGCCATTCCGCCTGAAGAAGTATCCATGGGCTCGAAAACACCTATATCTACGGGTCCTGTAATTGCGAATGGGCGATCTGCCAAAGCACCGGCTATAAACACACCTTCGCCGCAACCTGGAACCACTGCCAGTCCGGCCGAGCATAGAAGCGGTGTAGACGACTTTGCAGGATCCCTGAATGATTTGAGCCTCCGAGAGAAAACACCTAGTCTTGTCGTCAATGGCAGCGGACCCTTGGCGCCCGAACGACCTGCGGTTATCGTTGGTAGAGATAGCGGGTCTGACGATTCTCAGAGGGCTGATTCAAGCTCCGAACTCGGCACCAAGCCTCCCAGTCTGGATGGAAAGAGCATCACATCAGGCACAACATTTGCGCTTGACGAGAAAGAATCGCTAAGACCTGACGATAGCGCGAGTGTTAAAGCCGCCGCAGAAGATGATGATGCTTTTTCTATTCGTGGTTCACTTGTTGCTGGCTCTCGCATCGGGTCCGAGGTAGCTGCTCGCGCCCGAGGCATTCCCCTGGGCGATATTCCAGAGCGCAGGTTACCACAACAAACTCCAGGTGTTGCAGCTCAAGGGGTCTTAACTCCACAAAGTTCTTCGTCCGAACAACCCGCTAGTGCCCCTCTAGGTGCAACTGGTTCCTCAGATGCGCTTGGTGTCATTTATAGGCAGGCACCAGATGAAAAGCTTCTTGAGGCCATGGCATCGCCCAAAGATAGGTTGTTTCTTCTCAGACTGGAGAAACAAGTGATTGATTTTGTCCAGGATTCCAAGTATGTCTGTCTGCTTCGTTTGCTATCACTTATACTGACTATCTCTTAGGGAACCGTATATGGACCTCCCGCCGTCCAACTCATTCTGTAGGATGCTCACGCACAAGCTGGCTGATTACTACCACATGACACACTCTTTTGAGCCTCATGTAGGATCTGTACGCATTTTCAGGACACCCTTTTGTCGGGTCCCTACCTCGCTGGCACTCATCAACCCGAGTCCTAGTGCACCGAGCAGCAGCACTCCTCCTCCTGCCGTTCTGCCCAAGAAGATCATGCGACGTGGTCAAGATAGTGAGGGCGGCCCAAGCGCAGGTCCCTCTAAACCAGCCTCCGAGAATGGTAGCGACGCCAAGGATAAGCCCGCAGCCAACCAGAAGTATGTCTATCTTCACAAACTGCCGTCAATTCGCTGTACTGACCATCACAAGGTTGACCAGAGAGGAGCGAGAGGAGCTTTACAAGCTAGCTCGAGAGCGCATTTTCGGCAGCTCAGAAGAGAGTATCGCAGGTATGTGATTCTAAGGCCTCAGCCTTGAAAGCTATCTGACTAGGATTGTAGAAGATGGCGATAACGGAATTTCGAGAGCCAGTTCGGTATCAGCAAAGGATAAATCAAATGCTGGAAAGAGAGGCAAACCTAGCAAGCAGCGACGTGATGATTCCGATAGCTTTGATTCGCGACACCACTACACCCCATACTGGGGACCTCAGCAGCAGACTTGGGTGCCTCAACCACAGTATATGCCACCCCCAAACCCTCAATATGGTGCTCAAGCGCCACCAGGCGCAGCATATCAGGGCCAGATGGGCCCAGTCTATACCCAACAAGGCCCTGGCTATCCCTCAATGCCCGGAATGCCTCCAAGCCAGCCATATCCTCAGTACTCTGTGCCTCCGGTATGTTTCATTCAACGGTAGTTTATTGACCATAGCTAACTTGCAATGCCAGTACCCCCCTCAAGCCAGCCAGCAACGATACCCGCCCGGTGGAAGTCCTATGACAAACTATGGTGCTCCAGTACCCCCAGCAGGATCGCAGCAACCGGTATGGCAACCAGGTTTTGCCCCTCCTGCGCAATTACAGCAGAGAGGAGGAACTCCGACTGGCCCTCAAGGGCATATGGGTATTCCTTACGCTTTTGGACAGCTCCCAGCAAACATTAATCCTCATGACCCTAAGAGTCAACACCCAATTCCTGGGAGCTACAACCGCAACCACGCCTTCAACCCTAAGACACAGTCGTTTGTGCCTGGTAGTGGTATGGCTCCCGTCCCGCCACCCCAGCCGCCATTCACCGCCCCTGGATCGCATCACGGTAGCCCTCAGGTTGGATCACCGCATCTAGCTTATCCTGGCGCGTACCAACAGCCGATACCTCAGCCTTATGGGGGTGGATACGGCATGGCGAGGCAGGGGTCCAGCAGCTCTATGCCTGCGTATCACTCTCCTCGCGTTGCTCATGTCGCGCCACCTGTGATGCCACAAAACCCCCAACACATGGCTCCTCAAGCTCACCCTCATCACCTCCCAGCTTACAATATCCCCAACCGACCTAACATCCCACAAGGGCCTAGCCAACCTTACTCGCATCTGCCAACATACGGCAACCCGGCAACTTTACCCCAGAAGCCGGATACTGGAATTTAACGTTAAAAAAGGAGGGAAGCATGATATGGTGTTCACAGATTGGGAGACCCATTAAGGCGTACACGGCATGTTTAACATCTTGGCGTTATCGGTGGATAGGATGGACGACATGAATTTGTAGGCCACGGCCCAATTTACTAGACGAGTTCAATACCACTTTGACATAATTCTTCTCGGTAGGTGTAAATTAAGCCAGGGGTTAGGAGACAAAGAAAAAAGAAAGACAGTTTATGACGATTGAATTCAATTCTATGGCCGGGAGTGCCGGAATTTTCATGCCTACCACAACGCCATGTTTTTATTGAAACAATAACCCATGCTTCATCTCACATGCATGCCAGGGGGAATATCCTATCGGGACGTGACCTTCTTGTAACCTGGACTCCAATATCTAGTTCTCAGCTCTTGTTTTCATCGTACTTCCTTACTCAGTGGGCTCGCGAGGTTCCCTTGGCTCACGAGGCTCACGGGGCTCACGCTGTTGACCACCACCTCGGCCGCCGCCTCGTCCACCACGCTTGCCTCCCCGTCCGCCACCCTTCTCCTCTGACTTGCCCTCACCCTCCTTCTCGCCACCGCCCAAGTTGGCTGTCGCCAATCGCTGAGACAGATCGATCTGAGTGCGGATAGTGTTGGCCAAGTAGCTGACCATGAGGACATCCTGGATGTGGTTGTTGAAGTCGTGCTCGATTTGTGAAGGGTCGACCTTGGGAGCCAAGGACAGAGCGTTGAGAAGGTATTGGCCGACAATGTTGTTGGGCTCCTCGTCTTCATCAAGAACACCGTTGATCCACTCACTTGCTCGGTCAAGAAGGCCAATAGTCTGCTCGACAGATCGTCCAAGGCCCTCGATATCGGAGACGAGAGGGGCTGTTCGGGACTCGGAATCCTTTGCGCTGGCGATGGCCTCGAGAGCACTTCGGTCGGCGTCGCCGTAGAGGATCTTGTGAGGGACTTGGATGAAGAGGCAGCTGTCGGCAGCACGCTCAGCGTTGACAGCAACGGGAGCGCTGATGTAGCATCGAGACTGAATATCCTCGCCAGGCTCGGTAGAGATGGTCATGTGAATGGCGGGGTGGGGGAAAGTGCCGGTGTCAGGGCTGCCGAAGAAGTTCTGGATGAGGGCGCTGAAGCTGTTAAGCTCGTGAGAGGTGGTGTACCAGCCGAGGAGGGACTCGCCGCGGTTGGCCTTGAGAGTCAAAGCAAGCATGTTCTTCTGGTACTCAACATCGACCTCGACCTGGTCCTCCTCCTCGGTGTGGGGGATGGCAAAGCATGAGCGGACCTCGACTTCGGTGCCATCTTCAGATCGGGTGCCAACAAGAGCGCCGATGACTCGGGTGGATTGGGTATCTCGGATGTCTCGTCGGACGGCGTGGTCGAGGATGGAAAGGACAGCCTATGGGGAAAAAGAGAAAAATGTTAGTCAAAAAAGTTTCTTTGACGAAGCCCTCGAAAATCAAAACACCATGACAGTCGAGGTGAGAGGGGTCTCGCAGTAACCGTACCTGAGGCTGGATGTTGACAGTGAGCGGGGCAAGGTTAGTCTGGAGGCCGACGGTATTGGGCGCCAAAGGCCTCGCCAGGTGGATGAAGCTCTCAGAAGCAGCAGCGGCCATACTGGGCAACTTGGAGCTGGATATATTAAGAGAAGATGTAGATGATGTATGCGGAGAAATGGGTGAGGCCGGGCCGGGTCTTCTGATCTTTCTCGCGAAGCCGTTCTAAATTTCGCCGATTTTGAAGAATTGCAGGTTTGGCGGGACGGCTGGGGTTGTGCGCGCTAAGATTAGAGAGATAAGACTCCATTTTGTGGCGCACTGGTGGAATACCCCACCATGCTGTGGCTTCCCTACACAAGGCTGAAGGTAGCCTTATAACTTTTTTTTTACAACTTTTTGACGGCGAGAACCATTTTGAAACAACCAATACCACAGATTCGTTGTGGACTTACTATACGCTATACTTCTCTAATCGAATCGAAGCAATGCCGCCACGTGGAAGAGGAGGAAATTTCAGAGGTCGAGGCGGTCGTGGTAGGGGAAGAGGTGGCCGAGGAGGCAAAGCGACAAGCCGATTTGGACCTAATCGACGATTTGACGGCGCTCGACTTGCAGACAACGCTGGGTAAGTTAGAATGTAGCAATAGCTAATTGTGCGATGTGAGCTGTTCACTGACTATGTATTATTCAGATCAGAAAGCTCTGGTTCAGAATCAGAATCTGCGCCCGAAGACGCAGTGATGGAGGACATCGAGTCCGAGTCCGAGGACGACGACGAACAGACAGCATCTTCAAAGCCATATATGACTCTATTACAAAGTTTCAATGAAGAAAAAAGCACCCCCAGTTCCAAGCGACGAAAGCTGGATCACAAGGAACCGACTCAATCTCAATCTGATGAAGATTCCTCTTCCGACGAGGAAGGCCAAGAAGGCCAAGACAACGAAGAAAAGGACATTGACCGTGCTGAAGATGAACCTGAGGACCAAGTTGAGGAGCAAGTCGACGACGATGACGATTCAGAGGATGAGGAAAACCCAACTGATCCTTTTGATGTGCACTTCGCGCACCCCGACGACGACATTATCGCAAAGAGAGTCAAGTCAGTACAAGAGGGAAATTGGGCAACAAAGCGAGCGATACTACAAACCTTGAGGGCGACTGCCACGTATCCAGCTTCTGATGCAGGATCTGAAGTACCGAAACCTATTGCTGGGCTCGATGGATTGCAGCTCAAGCAGAAGCTCAAGGAGATTTCTTCTCGCAAAATCGGTGAGCTCAGCGCTGTTCAGCGCAATATGAGCCCGCTTCTTTTTAACTATAACGATGTCTTATTTTGTGATCGTACAGTAAAGAACTCGGACTCGTTGCGAGAATTGACGTGCCTTCATGCGCTCAACCACGTCTTCAAGTGAGTTTCCGCACCCATACTTCGGCTATTGAGAACCACCTGCTAATAAAAAAAAAATAAGGACTCGAGACCGCGTAATCAAGAACAACTACAAGCTGGCCAAGGAAGGCCAAGACACCGATTTGGAACTTCGAGATCAAGGTTTCACTCGACCAAAGGTTCTCTTCCTTCTGCCCACACGCAACTCTTGTCTTCGCATGGTCAACATGATCCGTGATTTGTGCGAGCCAGATCAGCAGGAAAACCGAAAGCGGTTTGACGATGGGTACGTGGATAAGGAGGCCAGGTTTGGCGCAGACAGACCAGCCGACTTTAAGGACCTCTTTGAGGGAAGCGACGATGACATGTTCCGTCTTGGCATGAAGTTTACTCGCAAGACGATCAAGTACTTTTCGCAATTCTACAACTCAGATATCCTCTTCGCCAGTCCTCTAGGCCTGCGAATGGCCATTGGTTCCGAGGAGGACAAGAAGCTCGATTTTGACTTCCTAAGCTCAATCGAGATGGTTGTTGTAGATCAAGCCGACGCTCTTCTCATGCAAAATTGGGAACATGTTGAGTTTATCTTTGAGCACCTGAACATCCAGCCTAAGGACGCTCATGGCTGTGATTTCAGCCGTGTACGAAATTGGTATCTGGAAGATTGGGCAAAGTTCTTCAGGCAAACAATCATTTTGTCTGCCTTTAACACTCCCGAGCTGTCCGAGCTGCTTCGGTTACATTGTCACAACTGGGCTGGAAAGGTTCGACTGCAACCTGAGTATCCTGGCACGTTATCACAACTCGGGGTCAAGGCAAAACAGACTTTTTCACGGTTCCAGTCCAAGTCGGTTGACAAAGACCCTGAGGCTAGGTTCGAGTATTTCACTTCTGCTATCATCCCTTCGCTTGCCAAACGAGCAAAGGATGCCACAGGTACTCTTATTTTCGTCCCCTCATATCTCGACTTTGTCCGCGTGCGCAACTACTTTGCGACATCAAGTGCTGTGGAGAACGTCACCTTTGGTGCGATCTCTGAGTACACGGATGTCCCAGAGGCATCTCGGGCGCGCTCACATTTCCTCAGCGGTCGTCACCGAGTGCTACTCTACACAGAGCGAGCACACCACTTCCGACGATACCAATTCCGTGGCGTGCAGCGGGTCATCTTCTACGGCTTACCCGACAATCCCATATTTTATACTGAGATTGCAGGCGGATATTTAAGCAAGAGTGAGCAGGATCTAAGGCTCGAGCCTGGCCAGGGAACCGCCAAGGTTGTGTTCTCCAAGTACGATGTGATGAAGTTGGAGCGAATCGTGGGCTCCAAGAGAGTTGGCAAGATGATCCAGGATCGCGGCGATACCTTTGAGTTTCTTTAGATGCGTCTTACTTCAGGAGTATATCGGAAAAGTTGGTATATAGCTTGAGCAAAAGGTTCAAGATTTAATTCAAAGATCAAAAGATTAGATGAAACCCGTCATGCCATGATACAGTAATTGATACAGTTTTTGTGCAGAGCTTGGCCCTCCTCATAATATGGTACACCTCGTTTCAATGACGAGTTCTTTTATTGCGACCTCTTCTTCACTGACTCTGGGACAATCCCTGCGGCCATCTCCCTTGCCTTCTCAGAGTTCTGGTCAGCCGTCTGTTCAGCCTCAGCCTCAGCTAAACTGCTCTCGTCCTTTTGTGGCACGGTCTCATCATTAGCCTTGAGAACCATAAACCTTCGCACCATCTCTTCGAAGGGTTCTTCGCCGCGGAACTGGGTGACCTTCTTGATGTTCGTCCTTGTGACGGGTGTGTGGTTCATTCCGAGCATACGGTCACGGGCAACGGTCTTGGCTGTCATCATAAAGCGCGAGTCTTTGGGGCCGTCGACGAATTCGAGGATAGCGCTCTCGCCCTGGTCGTAGGTGTTCTTGGACTCGGTGCGGACGACACGAGTGTAGCCGCCCTCTCGATCCAAATATCGTGTTTTTAGCTCGCCTAGTAGCTTGGGTAGAAGTGTGTGCGGTGTCTGCAAGGAACTGTTAACACAGTGGTCTTTTATGAATTGTTGATTTGACATACGTATAGGATACCCTGTGCTGATCTTCGGGCAGGTTCATTGTCCCTCTTGGCCAATGTGATGAGCTTCTCCGCCATGCGCTGGGCTTCCTTGGCCTTGGCATAGGTTGTGTGTATTTGTTCGTGTTGGACGAGTTGAGTTACGAGACCGCGCAGCAGCGCCATACGGGCTGCTGAGTTACGGCTCAGATGCCGATATTTGACAGTACCACCAGCCATTATGTCGGAGTTTTAAAATCGTATCAATTGAGGGAGCGATATAGAGGTTTCGAAGGCGGCAGTCGGTTTGGGGAAGGCGGATTTGTTTGTATTTCCTGTCGTTATCGTGCACGTGGGCGCCTCCGATCCGCAAGTCTGCTGTCTTGATCCGACAATTTTTGGTGGAGGGAAATTTTTGGCTCGAGTTTTCGGAGCCGGCTTGTCTTGTCTGCCGAGAGAGCCTCTGCGCTACGTCAACCCACCACCAACAGAACCTATCCAACAGCTTCCTAAAGGGAAAACGATACGCGATACCGGGGCAATTGAGCTCGCGCACGCTATGATACGTTGTATTTGAGCTTCAATCGACCGTCACTCTCAATTTGGTCGTGTTCCCAGACGTCAAGAACCCGGCAAATTACCGCATCGATATCGGCCTACTGGACAAAGCTTTAACAGCATTAAATCATGGGCTTTGCCACCGGCTTTGTACGCAACTCTAAGAGCAAAAATAATTTCCTTGCATGAATTGACGTGCTAACTGGTTTGCCAGACCGGCGGTGTCACGCTCACCCTCTCCCTCGCCTACCTCTCAGTGCTCGCTCACCAGCGCACTCGTGAGCAACAAGGCTCAGCACTTCGCGCCCAAGCTCTCGCTCTCCAAGGCTTGATCGACCCTCTGCCACCGCTGCCGCCACCTACGCGGTCCGAAGTCGCTGCAGCTCAAAGGGCTAAGACTGTTGAGATCGCTAAAGACCGATGGAACACCGAAGTCGAGAACGCAACACGATGGGTGCAGCACACCGATTGGGTCCAAGTACGTGAAGGTCTTGAGGAGACTGCATCACAACTCTGGGCTCGAGCCGTTGGTGCCAGCCCTTCAGAAGTTGCCGACCAGGCTGGACAAAAAGCAAAGGAGGCCAAGCGACGAGCTAAGCCTTTCGTGAAGGAAGAGGCTGCCAAGCTCGGTGACGCCAGTGGAACGGTCGCGGCGGCGGCCAAGAGCGCTTACAAAAAGGCAAAGGCTGAAACCAAGGAGTTTGCCAGCGTTATTCTTGATCACAGCAAGGATAAGGAGAATGTCGATATTGCTCAAGAGGATGGAACTCTTTCCGCACTGACCCCTGTGGAGCGAGCCCTCCAGCAACGATTTAACAAGCCTGAGGACAAGGTGAACAAGACAGTGGAGGACGCACTGAACGAGAGATACAAGCCTATGGACTCTAGGGATAACACACAACTGAGGGGAGTCTAAGGGTATCTAACAAAAATGGATTGGATGATTGGCGATGCGTGAATGGAGAGATGCGAGTTATTTGCTGTACACTGCTACTGTACCACTAGTTCTTTGAGCCATTCAAATAGAAACCAAGCTTGGGAATGCTTGATATGATCAACTGAGCTGCTGTTCAAAGTGAGTTCATATGATAACGGAGCTTATAATCACTCTTAAAAATGAATATATATACGGTAGTTTGATCCTGTCTTGGAATTGTTTTTCTTCGTTATAGCTCATACTCCGAATTATAGTATACCTTGATATATCATACAAACGCCAGTATTAGATAGTCATGACCACCATGTCCGGCGAAGGCTCACAGGCGAGGAGCAGCAGGCACCACAAAAGCGAGCATAGTAAGAGCCGACATAGCAAAAGCCATCACAGCAAGAGTCATGGCAACAGAAGTAGGAGGAGCCGCCATAGTGCTAATGACAGATATCGTCCTCAGAAACCACCTTCGTTTCTTATGCTTCTATGTTGCGCTGATTCTTGGCCTCGCCATAGGAAGATGTCCAGTGGGAAGTCGAGATCGCACGGGCATAAGCACAAGCATAAGCACAAGCATAAGCATAGGAGTTCAAAAAAGCGTTCTCACGGAGTGACTGGATCACAGGTGGCACATTGGGTTGAGTCAGTGCCAACAGATGCACCACCAGTAGATGAGGCGCCGACTGAGGCGCCACCGGCCGAAGAGTCACCAGCTGAGGAACCGCCAGCTCAACCTACAGAAGAAAGGTCACCATCGCCTGTAAAGCCACCTTCAACTAAATCTCACCAAAAGGAATAAATTTATTATTCAAGCAAACAGTGTTTGCATTCAGATAGCTTAGGTAAATGAGTGAGCAATGAACCTCGCACGAGCTGAAGGTATCCACGGAGTGTAGTGATGTGAACCACACCCCTAATATGTATAACCGTGTACCAAATAGATATAAAGGAAGGCACTTTTGAATGCCTCAACAGACTAGGTAGTTGTCAATATATTGATGCACAAGTTCCACTAGGGCCTTGGAAGTGGCTGCCTGAACTATCTATATGCAGCTCACATTCCTTCCAATGAATACCAGATTTCGCTTCATTATTCATCTTGATATATTATCCGGCAAGCAAAAGAGAGCACTAGAATCTTGGCTCGACCGTTGGTGCCCTTCAAAATGGCAAAAATTCTGGTTCCGTCTATGCACTTTTCGAGCAAACTACATCTACACGCTTCGCCGCATCACCCACTGTCAGACTCCAACAACCCCCGCCACGGTGGTATGCATATCAGATACGTATAACTCATAGCTGGAGTTGCCCCCCTGGGAATGTACTCATTCATGTTGAAGATCTTAGACATTCAGGCTCACTGAAAGACCTCCAAATAACGGCTGAGCTGCTCAACTCTCAACCGCATCCGCACAAGATCGTCGTTGCAGGGAATCATGATACTGGTCGATAAGAGCTGATCGTGAGGACAAGGCAGAAAGCGAACAGGCAGAACTGAAATAGGGCAATTACCTTTGTCTCGAACGATGCCGTAACTACCACACGCGCCAATGGTCGGGGATGGAATACATGCGACAGTCCTTTGTCACCCCACCATAGAAATTGGATATTTCAGTATCTTCGGAGCCAAGACGATTGGCCCGGTGCTGCGCCGGAGGATATCGATATTCTTGTCACGGACCGACTTTTGGACATTTCGATCTGATGGGACTTGGCTGCGTCCATTTGCTGAATCAATTATGTCGCATACGCCCTTCTCTGTATGTCTTTGGGTATGTACATGAGGGATATGGCCAGGAATGGGTGGTGTTGGATAAATTACAAGCGGCATATGAACGGACTTTCTCGGAAGGTGGGGTGTTGAATTTGCAGTCTTGAAGGAGATGCTAGTCTCGTTTTGCAGGGCTGAGAGAGTGGTGGGTTTACAACTTGTCAATGCTTCAATTGGGAGGTCTACCGAATGACGAGAGAATGCGGCCTGTGATTGTACTTATATAACGTGTGATTTTTCTCATTCAGGCATGTTCTTATGGTTGATCCTATGTCTTGGGTGAGCCTGCAGTCGAATATTGACTTTAAAATATCCCGTGTCCTGATTGAGGTATCAAGTCCTCTGCCGTCCCCAGAACGTTTCACCACCAAAATATTCAAGGTTGGAACATGGCGGCCAGGAGGGTGTCTTGAATGTGCCGTCATGCGAATACGAACGATGGGAAAGTCAATCCAAGTCCAATCGCAATTGAGCAAAGGACGGGATCTGAACCAGTCCGAGGAGATGCAAAGTTTAATATGGAAGGCCTTAACTTGGTCGACCAAGTCTTCACCGTGGCTTTGGTTCTACAGCAACTTCTCCGGAGGCATTGCCCCCCACTTGGTCCCCGTCTTCGGGACTGGGGACCGGTAGTGGCTGGATAGGCGATGGAAATACTGGCAGGCGAACGAGTAATTAGCAAAGCCGGGGCCGTTATTGGCTTGCGGGGTTGATAGTCTTCCGAGGCTTCTAGTCGATGTCTTACAAACCAATAGGATATAAAAGTGAGAACGAGTTTCAGGGGTTTTTACGAAAAATGCCTCCAGTCCATTATTGTGTTCAGTACCCTGAGATTTGTTTGTTCCAAGGTTCTCTAAGGGTCGCTTAGACCTGGTTCGATGGATGCGATTGCGAGACCGGTAGTCGCCGGCGTTGGCGCAGGGCAACTCCATACTATAGCACCTACAGTCAGTAACGGATACGACTAAGACCGTTGAGGAAATTTTTCAGTGGCGAGCGAAAGCGATTGGCAGTTTCGATGGAGTCGGTTGGCGATTGGGCTTCTAGGATTGGCTGAGCCGCGGACTCTCCGAACATGACCGATTATGCCGTCTGCACATGAGCGGAAAAGAAGTCGCTGACGGGCTCGGGTAGAATATAGCGGCACTCTCATTGGCAATTGCCATTCTTACACTCGATCAAACACCAAATATTTATCATCTTTTACCCTCCCACTCTTAGTCTCCCATCTTCTCTTTCTTCATTCTCCTTCCTCCATCTCATCCGATACCCCCGTTCATTGCCTTGTTGGGTTGTGTTTTGTCTTGTTTCATCTTCCTCGTTCAAAACACTCGCCATTCATCCGACTCATCCCGCTATCGCAAGGGCCCCCCAGTTGAGTTTTTGGCCACCTTAACATTCGCCATATTCGTCGCACCTTGAAACCTTCGCTTCTCGACTTTTCAAAACAAACATTCACGCCTTCGAAACAATTGTAAACACTTCTACCATCATGTCTTTCTCCAGCCTTGTTCAAGACTTGAGCCTCCGCGACGCCAATGGTGCTCGCCGCCCTCAGATTTCCGGTCCCCGCTCGTCCGCTTCTACTCTTGACGACAGAGCTTCGCACGTCTCGAGGGCCATGTCCTATGCCAGTACCGCTGCCACCAGCGTCAGTATCTCCGGCGACATTTCGAGCCAGCTCCATGGTGGATACTTCCACCCTCTGGCCCGCTCATGGCAGGCTGAGCGTCAGCTTACCAAGGTATGCGATACAATTGAACATGAAAGTCAATGGCTCTGACAATATGGATATAGTCTATGCTTATCTACCCCCTCTTCGTCACCGACGGTGAGGGTGATATGATCCTCGTCCCTTCTCTCCCTGGTCAGCACCAGCTCAGCTGCGACAAGCTGATCCCCTTCCTCGAGCCTCTCGTCCACAAGGGTCTCCGTTCCGTCATGCTCTTTGGTGTTCCCATGCAAGCTGGCACCAAGGATGCTCTTGGCACTGCCGCCGACGACCCCGAAGGTCCCGTTATCCGAGCCATTCAGATAATCCGCCGCCGATTTCCACAACTTTTCATTTGCTGTGACGTCTGTCTTTGCGAGTACACATCGCACGGCCACTGCGGTATCCTCCGCGACGATGGCAGTCTCAACAACCAGCTGTCCGTTGACCGCATCTCCGATGTTGCAATTGCTTACGCCAAGGCCGGTGCCCAATGTGTTGCTCCCTCAGATATGAACGATGGCCGTATTCGCGCTATCAAGCTGAAGCTGATTGAAGAGGGAATTGCCCACAAGACCGTTCTCATGTCATACTCTGCCAAGTTCTCTGGCTGTCTGTACGGTCCCTTCCGAGATGCTGCTGGCTCAGCGCCTTCATTTGGTGACCGCAAGTGCTACCAGCTTCCTCCTGGTGGTCGCGGTCTTGCCCGACGTGCTATTGTTCGAGATATCAACGAGGGAGCTGATATCATTATGGTGAAGCCTGCTAGCCAGTACCTCGACATCATCAGTGACGCTAAGGATTTGGGCAAAGATTTACCAGTGGCTGCATACCAGGTCAGCGGCGAGTACGCCATGATCCACGCTGGAGCCAAGGCTGGTGTCTTTGACCTAAAGGCAATGGCCTTTGAGTCGACAGAGGGTATCCTTCGGGCTGGTGCTACCATTGTAGTCAGCTACTTCACCCCTGACTTCCTTGACTGGCTTGAGAACTAAGCATGATAAGGATTACGTATAGAAAATGGTTGATATTAGAGGCGTTTTGGGTGTTTAGGTCAAAAGGGGCGTTTCTATATAGCCGAGAAGCAAGGCACTTGATTACGTTTATTCATTTAATGGAAAACATTACACATATGGTTCATAACGCTGCTTGCCCAACATGACTGGAGTTATTTCAAGGGGAAAAGCAAACGTACGAACATACTCAACTCAATGGCAATTGCATACCGATTGATACTCATGGCGATTTTGATAAGTGCAAACGGTTATAATATATGCCAGACGCTAATAAAGCAGCATGACTCTACCTGTTATGGTAGGATGAACATGAGCCTTGAGTAGCAACTTGACGAATCATCTACAACACTGTCCAGAAGTTACCACACAAAGATTGTTGTACACTTTCGGGCAATGTGTATTCTGAAGGTGTTCTCGGACTGTCAGATCATTTCGAATCGATTCCTCTCAGTGCATGTTTCACGATCTTGGTTGATTGTAGTTGAACGTTGGACAAGCGCAAGGCCTCGGCGACGATGAGAGGAATGCATGTGTAGGCCATCGTACACAAGACACAGCACATGTGCATGTGAAGTTAACCAAGAATGAAAACACGGTGAATACGCGAGTCACACAGCACGGGGCTGGGCGGATTTATACCATACATAGTATGGCATAGTGTGCTTACTGTACTGAAGCACCCACTACCTATGTATAGAAACACTGTATGTGATTCAACCCGCCTGAAAACTTAGGGCTTTGCTAATGGCTTGTTGTCAGCCATGGACCTTTGATGCGCCGTGTTATTATGCATCTATGTGGAGATGGCCGTGCTCCCGAGGGATCTGTGAAGTTGTGGTTGAAGAAACACAGATGAAAAGATGGACTAAGCTTGCTAGTTGTTTCATGTTGATGAAGGCATCGATAGATCGGAGTTCGGATGGGAACCAACAGATACGCCAAGTCTTGTTCAACTACCGTATGCGAATATGTATTTCAAGGTTTGTTGAGGGCTTTGGATTGAGTTTCGATTCATCATGGCTCAACATACGGCTTGTATAAGCAGACATGATTTGTAGGCAGCAGAGAACGGCATTCACTCTGCTGAGTTACGCTTCACCGGGAGTTTTGTCGAGTTTGTAACACCGGGAATACTACCTTAAAAGTCTTGCCGAGTAGCCGTGTTCTACAATGCATCTAACACCCGTAGCATTGCAGATGGATGTAATCTTCAGGGTGATGCTCCCGTCGCGTGTAACTGAAGCTGTTTCCTAATGGGCGTCGTAAAGGTGATGGTAGCCGCTTAGCCGGTCTGAATGTGATCGACCGACCTGAAGCTGTGATACTGTATAGTACTGTATGGGGGTGAATAACTTACTATGTACTTGTGGAGAGTCTGAGTGCTCTGTACGCGCGTTTTCAAGTTATTATCCTAGCATTGGTACGCTTGGTTTGGGAATAATTGGGCCTGGCGGCATCGTTTCGAGGTGACTTTGACTGTGGGGTGGGTCAGTGTGTGAAAATCGACGTCAGGAGAAGATCTCTCTCTGTATGTGTATGAGAGTGTCATTGATTTTAGACAAGTATAGATGACTTCTTTCAAGATAATAGGAATTGGTTGGTAATAGAGATAAGATAATAAAGAACAACAATGATGATGCTGCTACTGCTGTTAGAAGTTCATATAAAGTAAGTAGGTAGTTGAATAGAAATAACCAAATACCAGATCTGTCGTAGACAGGGGTAAGCACCTTAGCTTCTCTTGGCCAAGGCTTGTTTCTTGTTCTCCTCCTGGTACCTGAGACCCCTGTTTTAAGTTGGTTAGAGTCTTAGGATTGGATACAGAAAACAAGGCATGTCATTGTTTTTGACGCGCCGTGACTTAGTAATATATGTAGGTATTTATAGCAGGTCAAGCAAGCTGCCTCTACTATAATTCATGCTTGGCGTTTAACTTTGATTTCTTGAACCCTTTCATGGATTACCTAGCAGAATAGATAGAGGTAATTTATTTTATTCAACGTTTGTGTGCAAAAGTCGGTTATCTGCATCATCATCATCATCATCATCATTTCAAACTTTGAAGTGACGACTACTTTTGTCTCTTTGATAACAAAAGCTGCAGATCGCTATCCATTAGATATCCTGCTATGTCTGAATTGACAAAGATCTGTAGGCGGGTGGGTAACAGTGGTGTTCGTATATGCTTGAAATGGGGCGTCTTGGAGCAAAGCAAAGCAAGCCATCGGGTGCATTGAAACGCAGCACGTCTCCAGTGATTGTCGTTTTAACTTATGAGACGGCGTGAGTTTATAGGTCGCTTACGCCATCCCCCATCCATGCTACTACAAAGATACCTGTACAGTGCAGTAGGTATCTTTGTTGAATGTATGTAATCGGAAGCCCGTCGGCACCTCTTCCATGGCAGTGGCCAACACTGACACTGTATAACCTTTACTATCATATGTATAATGGAGCTTCTCTCCACGTTTCCTCTTTTCTTTCTTTCCCTGGTTCTCAGGATCTACGTTTGTGTTTCCCAAGTATCAAAAGCAGCAGATATTCCCTGGTGGTTATCTCTCTTGGCACCTCGGCGTTTCTCTTCATTTCTGTATTCTCTCCGCAGACAATATCTCGACAACGGTCCCTTGGCTCGCCTCCAATATTCTGATTTGCACAATTCTTTGTTTTCTTTTGTTCGGTCCGCGTATTGAATACCTGACAAAATTGTGACGATTGCTGCCTTCCTTTTGTTTCCTGTTTTCATTTTGGTCTGCTCCTTCCCCAATCTCTCCCATTGAGCTCCTTCCTCTGCACCGACCTATCAGACGGACTCACTCCTACCAATCTTTTTATTCTATTTTAAACGACGCCTTCACTGGCCTCGTCTCATACAACAATGAGCCGTCGTTCTCCAAGCATATACTCCTTCTCTGAAGAAGAGAATATGGGTTTGCTCGACAACAGATCCGTCTCCGACGCTGACAGCGACAGTGGGAGAGATGACCAAGATCATCGACCTCACTATGACAAATGGGCCGGTCCCATTCTTGCCCCTGTCGACTACATTCGTTCAACTCCTTGGAGGGTTTGTCTTATTCGTTTCGCCTGGTTCTTCGTTCCCAGCTATCTTCAGGGACGACATGCCCGGGATCAAATTCGACCTGCCAAGCTCGCTCCTACTGCATACCTCGACGGCATGAGAGGCGTCGCCGCCTTGGTTGTCTTGTTCTGTCATTTCTTCTACCAGGCTTTCGTCATTGCCAAAGGCTGGGGCTGCGATGATGCCCACTACAACATTTTGAAGCTGCCAATCCTCCGACTTTGGTATCAAGGACCTCCAGCTGTCTGTCTCTTCTTCGTCATTTCTGGATACGCCCTCTCCTATAGACCCCTCAAGCTTATCCGGAGTCACAACACCCAGGACTTTTCGACCACCATGAGCTCTCTCGTTTTCCGTCGAGGTGTTCGTCTCTATCTACCAACTGCCATCTCAACCTTGATGATAGTTTCCTTCATTCGCCTAGGTATTTACGAGAAAACTCGAGAATTTGCTATGGACACCACTTATATGAGGAATGTCAGAGAGCCTCACCCACCGCGTCTTGCAACAAACTATGCTCAATTCACCGACTGGGCCAAGGACATGTTCAAGTTTGTTCATGTCTTTAGCTGGAAGACGCACGGTGGAAGTACCAGTAAGTCTAAGAGCTCATACATACGAACGTAACTAACTATTCATAAAGACTACGACCAGCACCTGTGGACCATCCCCGTCGAGTTCCGATGCTCGTTGTACCTGTTCCTCACTCTGGTGGCCACTGCTCGTCTTCGCACCCAGTACCGATTGATCACTGTCTTCAGTATCATGCTATTCACCTACCGAAACTCGCGTTGGGAGCTCCTCATGTTCCTCTGTGGCATGGTGCTCGCCGAGATTGATCTTGTTCGTGGCGCTCACGTCTCATCTCCTGCCTTGCCAATGGAAGAGAAGACCTTACCTGCTCGCCCCCATTGGTACCAGCGGATCTTCTGGGCAATTGTCAGCATTGTAGGCCTTTACCTTATGAGTCAACCCGACCAGGGAGGCGAGAGAACACCTGGGTGGGTTTACCTCACGTCGTTGATCCCTAAGTGGTGGGATGCCGAGAAGTATCGATACTGGCAATGCGCGGGTGCCGTCGTGTTCGTCCTCGCAGTGAGCCGCTCGGCTAGCTGGCAACGTGTCTTCAACTCGCCCTTCGTGCAATACCTAGGGAAGATCTCCTACGCCCTCTACCTGATGCATGGACCCGTCATCCACGCATTCGGATACCACTTCGAGAAATGGGCCTACAGCGTGACTGGAGTCGAAGGACACCGGTTCACTGCAGGCTTTATCTTGAGTTCATTCTTTGTGATCCCGACCGTCTTCTGGTGGGCTGATGTTTTTTGGCGAGCTGTTGACATTCCCACGGTTAAGTTCGCCAAGTGGTGGGAGAACAAACTCATAGCTAAGGCGGATTAGAATTCACCAAACGAAACAAACTTATCATGATATTTGGCGTTCTCGGGGTTGAGTCTTTCAGGGAGGTTGTCCATCGCAACCAAGTCCCATTGCATGGCGTCCAGGCGGTTGATTTTCATCATACAGATGGCGATACAGTTAGACGAAGTAGAGGTTCCATCTTGTTTCTGGGAGACTGAGAAGTTTTCTAATCCTATATGGCAAGAATTCTAGCTTCATACTGAGTTACAAAACAGCCAAATTATACGAATAACTGTTAAGTCATGCTGGAGTTTAATTTGTGGTTGCAGCTAGATAGCTACCCAGTCGAGCTTGACACTGGTAGACGTTCAAATTGTAGCCAATAGTGCCGAGAAAAGTACATAAATAAATCGCATCTTTTTTTGTCTAGCATCCATCCGTATACCTCTATGTGATACCATGAACTCCTTGCTGCCGTGTATACTAAAGATCACCCTGTTCAGTCTTCATCAGATCGGTTATACACTCTCTTTCCAGCTACCCAAGTCTCTTTGACTCTCAATGTCCGCAGCTCTTCTATGTCATAAGATTCTATGGGTTTATCAAGAACAACCCAGTCAGCCAAAGCGCCCTCACGAATCACGCCAGCCCGACCATCGAGAAAGGCGCCATAAGCAGGAGCTCCAGTGAACCCCCAAACGGCTTCATCCAAGCTCAACGCTTCGTCTGTGTGCCAGCCATCGGGACTGTCGTCGGTTCCACGACCGGTATGGGGACTACGACGTGCTACGGCGGCATAAATGCCCTGAAATGGATTCGGGGGTTCGACAGGGAAATCACTGCCCAGGACAGGACGGGCAGCAAGAAGAGAATGCATGCGGTAGGCGGAGGATAAGATCCGGTCTTTGCCCAGACGAGATTGCGCGTACTTCATATCCGATGTTGCATGCGTGGGTTGGATAGAGGGGATGATTCCAAGGGAGAGAATACGTTTTTGGTCATCCGGGTGGATGATCTGTGCATGCTCAATACGGAAGCGATGCCGGGACTGGCAAGCTGCACGAGCTTCAATCTGATCCTGAGAGTCATACGAAGATTGGCCAGGTGTTGAAGGAGAGGCGCCTTGGGCAGTGGCCTCATTGAGACACTGTTGAACAAGGGCTGCCTCGAGAGCGTCAACGGCATTGCGGTTTGCAAGGTCGCCGATAGCATGGATGTTGACCTGGTAGCCATCCGCAGCCCAGCGTTGAGTCACGTCGGTGAGGGCAGAGGCATTGATAAGGAGCGAACCTGACGTCCAGGGATGATCCGAGTAGGGGTCAAGAAGTGCACTTCCCCAGCTACCCAAAGCCCCGTCTTCTGAAGTTAGTTATCTTGTCGACTATGTTGTCAAAATTACGCACCTGCAAACAATTTGACGCTTTGAACAGCAAAACGGTCATCATCCCGGGCAAACTTGACAGCCTCGTCTGGGCAGTATGAGTTACGCTGGGGGCATTCCAACATGGCGTATACACGAAGAGTCCAGTCTTCACTCGACGATAGTTCGTTGTACATAGTCAGAGTTTCAGGCGTCGATCCAGCATCGTGCATACCCACGAGACCAACCTCGTTGAGCTTTTTCATAGCAGTTCTAATCGTGCGAGCTTTGAAGTCCCGATCTGGTTGGGGCCAGATTGATATCACTAAGTCCATGGCATTGTCACAGAAGACGCCAAGTCCAGGTTCTCGGATGATCTCGCCTCCTGGGATTACCTCTGGGAGGTCTGCTGGGAGGAGGTCCAGGACAAGCTGCGAGACCCAGGTGCAGTGGACATCGATGCGGTCGAGCATGATGTAGACGTTGCTCAGCTCTGGGTCTTGAGTAATATCGGCCTGCAGTAACTGTTCAGCAGGAATTCGAGATGCTTTCATTTTTACTCACAGCAGTTGGCATCCGACCAAAGAATGTTTGGTCCCATCCAACACCACGAACCCAATTATCCTTGGAACCAGCTCCTGGGTTTTCGGAGATATAGCTCCTGATCCTAGTACGCACTTCCTCCAGAGACTGGGCCCCGAACAAATCAACAGAGTGTAGAAACTCTCCGTACTGAAGCAAGTGGCCATGGCCATCCCAAAGCCCTGGAATAACATGGCCATCCACCGTTGTATGATCAGCATCACTTGGCCCGACAGCAATAAAAACTCCATTAGTGACAGTGAAGCATTGGGCCTCGGTCTTCTCGGGATCATGAGTTCGGATAGACTTGTAGCAGTATGTAACCGGATTTTCGTTTTCTGAAGCTGTGAGTGGCTGTTGAAGGCGGTATGCGACTGCAAAGGCGACGACTACGAGGGGGAGGATGAGACCCCATCGGATGAAGGAGCCTGCAGCAGTCATTATTGACAATTTTGCCCTTTAATTGACGCCAGATTGTAGCATTGATCTAATTTCGGGTAGTTACAGTATCTAGAAGCACTGAAACTTGTAAAGAAAAGAAAATTTGATGAGTGCGAGAGTGACAATTATTGGATGCAGTCAATGATAATGAGGTGCATGTTATCGATAAGACATTTGGCATATGGTGGAGGACAGTCACTCAACAAGGAGCTATACTCAATTATCACCACCAAGCCTTTACTGTATGAACATATAAAACATCTCGTACATTTCTCAAATAATTCACCTTTTTTTTTAGAGGCATTTAAGTACAAAAACGAAATCCACTCTTCATTACTGTCTTGTAGGGTTACTTCTCACTTCCAAAGAAGCCTACTTACCCCAGACATTGAGCAAACTAACTACATACTAATAATATGCCCAGAGGATAGGATCAAGATCCTTTTGCCACTTAGGAATAAGCATGTGGCGATAGTCCATGTAGAGTCTGCCCAGTCTCTCTCGCTGCTCCCTCTCGTTACCCTCCTGGTACTGGGACGCCATCTCCTTGTCCTCCTGGTACTGGGACGCCATCTCCTTGTCCTCCTGGTACTTGGAGTTATAGAGGACAGGATCGAGATCTTTCTGAATAGGTTTGACGAGCATGCCTCGGTATTGCATGTAGAGAGCTGAGATACGCTCGTACTGCTTCTCTTCGTCTCCATCAGCGAGTAAAGGACTTCCCTTGTCATCTTGTTCCTTTGCATCTTCCTTCTCCTCCACATTTTTCTCTGCGTCTTCCTTCTCTTCCTTTACACTTTTCTCCTTTTCAGACCTCTTTCTCTCAATTATCGGTGTTGTTGTTCGCTGCTGTGTCTTGAACTCCCTGATTCTATCATTGATATCCTTGATGCTGTCCTTGGCATTTTTCTCGTAGTCCTCCTTGTAGTACTCCTTGGCTTCAGGCAGCCTGTCCTTGTACCTCATCATGTCCTTGTGTTGATATTTGCCTCTGTGTTTGTCATCGCCAACCTTGTGGATATTGTAGAGTTTGCATCCAGTGGGTTTCAGACACTTGTAAACCTTGAATTTCCCGGTGATCAAGTAGACGGGTTTATACTCGTCGTCTTCCTTGTCACCGAATTCCAGTTGCTTCCCGATACCAGCATAGAGCTCGTCTTCCTGCTTCTCATGCTCGAGATCTGGATCAATCTGTTCCTGACGTTTCCCGTTCTTCTTCCCCCATCCGCAACAATTGTTCTTATCGCGTCTTTTAACTTTCTTTCCGCATCCGTGACCATCGTCCTCATCGCGTTTGTTAACTTTGTTCGTTTTGGCCTTCGTTTTCTTCTCCTTGCTCTCCGTCTCTCCGTCTTCTTCTTCTTTGTCTTCAAGTGCCTTGGTGTCTTCCTGGACCTCTTTGGCAAACTCAACAGCAGCCTTTACCCCGCGTTCGACTTCCACCTCAGCCTTTCGTAAATCCTTTCTCAGCCTATCATGTTCCTCTTGAGCTTCTCCCCACTTAAGTACAGCGATATCGAACAGCTCCTGTAGTTCGTACGCCTCCTGGAGCTTAATGATTGCCTGTCGAGTCCTTGTTTCCAGAGTTTCATCTCTATCGGTCTGTTCTTCGGTTTTATCGGTGTTTTTATCCCGGCGGTCTAGGTCTGAATCCTCTTCCGTGTCCTTGTCGGCAGAAGTACTGGCTGTTGATGTAGTATTAGAAGCTGAAGCTTTAACAAAACCCAAAGCCGTATTGGAGACCAAAGGAGCCTTGGAGACCAAAGCATTATTAGAGATCGAAGCATCGTTAGAGACTGAGGAAGTATCGGAGACCGAGGCAACACCAAAGGCCGATGTAGTATCAGAGGCTGAAGTAGTATCAGAGACTGAAGCAGTATCAGAGGCCGATGCAGTATCAGAGGCCGATGCAGTGTCAATAACTGTGGGAGTTATGGTGATGGTTGTGGTAGTCCTCGTGACTGACACATCCTCAGTCGATGAAGTACTGGAATCAGATGTGCTATCTCCAGAAGCAACAGAAGGAGGCGCTGAAGTTACAGAAGAACCCGGTGTCTCGTACGATGATATCTTGTCACTGCCAACAGTGGCTGACGAGGTCGCAGCAGACTTGTTTCCAGTGCCAGCGGTAGTGGTAGTGGCTTGGGCAGCGGCAGCGGCAGCATTAGGAGGAGCTGTTAATCCTCCAGGATACAAGGTAGGCATAGCAGCAAGAAGCTTGTCCAATCTGGTAGAAGCCGAGATCCATGAGGAGCGACTGTCAACCATCCACTTGGGTGGGCAAGGGATGGCAGCGGCATGCCCAACAAGGGCAGCCACAAGAACAAAACTATAATGCATCGTAACGATCAAGATGAATTAGGAAAACCGATTCAGAGATCGAAAAAACTAGTCTCGCAGTTGAGGAGAGCAAGGCATTATATACACCAAAGAGTGGCAAGATCCGAGTTCTCGAGTGATGCTATCTGCTCTATGCACAAAGTATATAAATACAACACACCAATAATATTATACAAGTTGACACCATCACGATGATTGTCTGGCTCGATTTGTTGAGTGGCCGAGCGAGTTCAAATAGGAACACATTTAACTAGTTAAAATTCAGCACCATCCGTGAGAGGTTGGGTAAATAATATCACATGAAGGTCAGATGGCTGTGCTAGGACCAATATATTCGCATATTATCGAGAACCCAAAAGCAAACCAGGGAGGCAAAGTATTTACACAAGCCTCGAAAACTTCACGCAGATAAAACCGAGACGGAAAGCATGTTCATCCGAGTAAATCGTCAATTGTCGTCAATTGTCGTCAATCTATATGGCAATTGTGGCGTAAAACATGTCGGTCATAATATCGGAATAAAATCATCATGCCAACAAACCCAAAGTAAACCCAAACCCCCTCCCTCATTATCGTTACAGTAGCAATTCTTATCAATACACAAAACCAATCAAGGGTAATATGTCTTCTGATTATTCCCCTCACGTTCAAGACTTGCTGAAAAGTTTCTTGAACGCACCCTTGATGCCCGATGGCTTCCTGTCGTCATCCCTTGTTTGTGCCCTGCGTCGCTCTTCGTGTCGCGCTTTGCGGCGGGTGTCCTCCGTGTCCATTCTGACATGCTTGACGGGCCGGGGCTCTTTCTCTCCATCTCTCGTTCTCTCCTTGTCTCTCGTCCTCTCTCGGTCCCTATCCTTCTCCCGCGCTGGTTCAGGGGCAGGGTCATCACGTGGACGGCGTGATGATCGAGGACGTGGCTCTTCGGCGGAAGGCTGAGTACTACGTCTATGTCGTGTCGAGGAACGTTTAGGCGAGTCCTCTGGCGGGGCATCTCTTGTGCGTTCTCTGACCGGCTCTGCAACAGGGACCTCCTCGTGAGGTGGGGGAGTAGCATCCAATACGCGTTCAGAGTTCTTGGCGGTAAATAGCTTCTTGTCAGGTGAAACTGATTCTTCGCGTGTGCGTTCCCTGTGCTCTTCGTGCCGAGGCCTACCGGAATGGCTTTGTCGACGTGACCGGTGGTGTCGTTCTCCCTCGGGCTCTGGCTGGGGCTCTAGCTCTGGGAATGGCTCACGTTCGGGTTCTGGCTCACGTGCGGGCTCTTTGCCCTTGCTTCGCCTTTCCCTCTCCCTCTCTTTATCCTTTTCTTCTTGTCGTGACTCACGGTAGCGTGGGGGCTCACGTCTTCGGCTGGTTTCCTCCCGTGTTCGTCGTTCTGACTTTTCTGCTTTGCGTCTATCGTGGGCGGCCTGCTCATCTGCGGTTCGACGTTTGTGACCAGAACTGCCAGAACTTCCAGAATTGTTATCTGCAGAGAAACCACTGTCTCGTCTGGGTGTTCTGGGAGACGTGTCGGGCAACCCTGACTCAGCCGTGTCGGCTCGATGGCGACGGTGAGCATAAGAAGATCGCTTTCTGCGCTCTCGGCCCTCGTCTTCTTGAGGGAGGCTACGTGAAGCAGGCTCTTCAACCTTGCGGGATTCGCGTGGTCGCAAGTCTTCGTCGCGACGATAGCCCTTGATTTTCGATTCTTCAGATCCACGGGAACTTCTAGACTTGGCATCGGCCTCGCCACGCGAGTCACGAGGTGGCATTTCTTCTTCGTCACGGTGACGATGATACCGAGATTCATCATCGCGATAAGAATGTCGGCGACGGCGGCTCTCATCTTCGTCTCGAGATCGATGAGCTCGCCTCTCTTCATCGGTGCGATGTCTTCGCTCTCGTTCTTCTTCACCTCGGCTGCCGTCAGAGCGTTGTGACGCATGTGAGTGCCGGCGCCTGCGGTGTCTGTCTCTGTCTCTATCGCTGCGCGACGAGTCAGATTCTCTGCTCCTGTCGTCTGCAAACAAGTCAGCATTAGACTTGTGAAACTCATCGAGTTCATCCTCAAAGCTTCCCCGTGGTGTAGAAACGACTGGGAAGTTGTAGTCATTAGGTTCTGTATTCATTTGATGTTCCAGATTAGGTACATCTCTGCCCCTGAAGTGATCGAAAGGCGATGGGCTGCCAGGAGGACTCAACGCCTCAGCGGTGGCATAAATGACTACAGCTGCAGCCAGTGTATCCTCAGCCTGCTGAATCGACTTCTTTCGGGTCCGCCTCAAGGTGCGAGATCGCTGTAGATCAATCATCTCTGCATCAGGAATCACGATGCCAGGACTGGGTGGTCTTTGGACTTCAGACTCTGCAGTTGAACCAGCTGGAATGGGCGCCCGAAATGCGGCATCTCGGAGCCCCTCATCAACAGTGACCGTCGGGTGTCTGAGGTCGTGTTTCAAAGGAGCTCTAGACGGCTCGCCGTCGGCCTGGAAAGAATGGGGCCTGGCGACGACCTCTGTCTGCGCTGCCATTCTTGAGGATTCGCCCTGTGTCTCCAAAGAAGGGCGACCGAGCGGAGGACGCACTGGAACTTTGACTGGCTCACTTTCAGTACGTGGTGGCTGAGGTCGTTGTGTATACTTTGCATCGGAAGGCCGGCTCACAGCAGGGACGAAGATGGGGTCTTTGGTGTAGACTTCTGTCACGGGACGAACTCTTAATGATCTTCGTGGTCGTTGCTGTTGGGTCAAGAATGTCCGAGGAGGCTCATTGCGGGACGAAGAACGGGTACGTGACTTAGAACCAGATCGCTTCGGGGTCTCCGGCATGGCAGCAACTGCCTTGCCTTTACCACGGGAAGGGATATCGACAACCTTGACGGCCACATTTTCAGGCCGGCTAAGCCCCACAGACTTCATCTCAGCCGCTTGAGCAGGCTTTGGCTCTGAGTGCTGAGTGTCATCTGTGTCTGGAGTCTTGACCTCATAGAGCCTGTTATCGAGCGCTTCCTGCTGGGGCAGCCATTCATCGACAACATGCGCCTCGTTCCCAATGGCTCTGGTTACCTCTGTGGGCGTGTCTGGAAGTTGAACATCCGACAGTCCTCCGCCCTTTTTTTCGTGTACTGTTTGATCTTCCTCGGTGTCCTCGGTTGACCCAGGAACTTGAGTGACTTGCCCGAGGTTACGCGATGCACCGATCCTGTCTATACCAATAGGAGAGATATCCCTAGAAACATGGGTATCGTCGTCACTATCATCATCGGTAACAGTTCCCGCTGGGGGTTCCTGGTCCATCTCGTCTTTGGTGATACTGGTGATATGTTCGCTCTCTGCATCCACCTCAGAGTCGGACACTTCTGGGTCTCGGTCTTCCAACTCATTTTGCAAAGGTTCATCATCATTCAGGGCTGCAAGGTTTTGGGCGGCACCAGGGGACATTATCAGTCTTTCAGATGAAAGTTTAGCATCAGTTGACAGGATTTCCGGCAGTACAGAAGGTGTTGGCTCGTCGTGTTCAGATTCATCATCAGCATCAGAATCCGAATCCGAATCGTTTTCTTGATTGAGGACAATTGAATGTGAAGAAGGATCTCGCGCCTGGGGTGCATTCTCCTCCTCGTCATCTTCGGACTCGGTGCCTGCCTCGGAGAGCTCTTGCAATGCATCGGGAACTGGAACCTCGTTGGTTTGTTTCTCAACTACTGACTCAGGTGATGGAGATCTTGGTATAGCAGCAGACTCATCGAGTTTCGTAGTGGCTTCATCTTGGGCAGGAGCTGAAGGTTCTAGGAGAATATTCTTGGGTGTAGATTGTAGAAGATCGGGGTTCGGGGAATGCGAGCGAGAATGGTGATCTAAAACCTCTTTCCCTATTGTGTCTGGTTCTGTGGGCACCGAGGAAGCTGAGTCAGAAAGATCTTGTTCCTCATCTTCGACTGCGGCATGATCCAATGATTCTGAGGGCTTTGTTTGATGTGCGGCCGGTGAAGCTGGTGCGAGAGGTTCAAGTGGAGCTTCATCGCCTGGTTGAGATTGATGCTCGGCGATTGTTGGATTTGAAACGAAAGTTGGTTCCGGTGTGGGCGAATTACCTCTGTCAATGATTTGACTTCCTTGGTCTGAATCGGACTCATCATCGTCGTCGTCATCATCTCCATCAAGATTTACCTCGACTGTTTCGACTTGTGAGCCATCCAAAGCCATTTCAGTGTCCCAGCGTCCAGAACTGGGTGGAGCATGTTCGGGATCTTCATCGTCATCTTCATCTGACGTAGAATCATCGTCCTCTTTGACAGCGGCCGATACAGCATCGACTGATGGATCATGATCGATGGCGAGAGCAGGTCTGTCCAGCTCCGGACCCAAGCCACGTTCTTCGGTAGGATCTCTTGTTTGCTCAAGTTCGTTGCTAACTTCAGATTTCTCGGCTTCAGAAGCTTCAGAACCATCATCAGAACCATCGTCAGAATCATCATCAGAGTCGGTATCGTTGTTCTTGAGCGCCATGGTCTCTCCAACGGTTTCATCTTGCTCCGAAGCTGGCCCACGTAGTTCATAGGAAACGTCGTTATCCTGAACCTCGAGGTCCCGCTTGATAACAGGATCAGATGACAGATCAATTGAGGAGCGTCGAAAAGTAGCACTCTGTCGGTCAACATTGCTGACGTTATCGTCTGTATCGTCATCTGAGTCGACATCTTGGTGAGAATCCTTGTAATGAACATCGACGGAACTGGCGGGTACAGGAGAGGATCGTCCATTGATAGACCTGGACGCTTCATGGTCGTCATCTTCAGACTCATCTAGTGAGCTGACATTAGATGCAACGTCACTCGCCTGTCTTTCAATGGCTGTTTCTGTTCTTGAACCAAGCCCGTCATGTTTGGGGCCATCTTGCGGGACTGTGTCGTCTTCTCGACTTTCGGCTGGCTCAGTCACCTGTGGCTGCTCCGGGATTCGGTTATGGATCGCGAGCGGCTCCTCTAATTCTGACTCGTCATCCTCAATGGATTCATTCTCCGATAGACCAGAGTCTGAGTCTTGCTCATCGGGTTCTGCAACGCTCGCCTCAGGCTCCTGGGATAGTCCTCGGGATGTCTGCAGTACATGGCCGAAGTCGGTTTCCAGAATTTTGGGTTGGTGAGTAAGATCCAGTGTATTGGTAGGCTGCAATAGCCCTGATGGTGAGTTGTTCGCGTCTGGTTCGGCATGGCCGATACTGTCTTTGCTGTCGAGAGGATGTATTTGAGACTTTTCGGCCGCTGTGCGCGAAGACGCCGAAATTTCTGAATCTTGATCAGAAACTACCGAAGCCGATACTGATGATGCGCTGCGAGCAATTGTGACTGGAAAATATGAATCCATTCTCTCAGACTTCTCATTGCCATCATGAGTATTGTAAGATGGCTCTGAGTCTGATTCCCCAGTAAGTGTCTCAGTCGTCTCGGGCTGCAGAGGCAGAGGCTGGGGAGTCGCGGTAGCAATTGAGTCGACGTTTACAGGGTCAATTTCCTTGACAGCGTCTTCCGATTGGCCTGAAATACCCTGCTCGTGTGGAGCGCCAGGTGTGGGCTCTCTAGCGTTGCTGGTGGCTGGGTGGCTCTCAACCAGATCGCCATCCTGGAGATCAAGATCCAGAGTCTTATTCAAGACTCGATCTTGTGGGTCTTCGTCCACCGCTAATTGAGTTTCTTGTAGTCCTGGCATCGTGATTCCTGTGGCAGTTTGGTTATTCTGGTCGCCCGGCGCTTCAGTCATTGATGACCGGCTCTTGAGTTTGTAGCGTTGACTTTCTGGAAGTTCCTGGGTATCATTTGAAAGCAACTCTAAAGCGCCGTGATCCATCTCTTCATTCAACTCCGTAGAATTTCCATAGTTTTGTGCAAAATCAAAAGGGGTATTTTGTAATGAACCATTTTCCTCACCTTTTTTGATCGGTCTCTTGGTCCTTGGAATTGGTCCGAGAGTGTCCTTGCTCTCTTCATCTTCTTTCGCCCTCGTATCTTCTTTGGTGGCGGCTTTCACTAGCTCGTCTTCCTTCTTTTCTGCTTCGGCAGGAGGTACATCAGCAGAGTCATCAACAGGTTTGACGATGGTATCCTCGGGCTCCGGAGCTGGTGCTTCTTCTGCAAGTTTTGCTTCACCCTCTCCTTCTGGTGGACAAGGTTCCTGTGCTGCTGCTGTCGCTATTTCGTCGGTGTTTTGGGGATCAGCGACTGCTTTGTCATCAGTAGAGACTATGTCACCGGCCGGGGGCTCTTCAGAAGCAGGCACAGGTTCTGCTATTAGAGTCTCTTCCGTAACTTCGTCAGCCGTAGCAATCTCCTTGGATTCTTCCTGGGCAGCGATGGGCAGTGGCTGATTGAGCTCGTCTTCAGCTACAGGTGCGGATGCAGGTGGTTCTTCTGCTGGCTTGGCATCGTCGCCTGCCTTGTCGTCAGAGGTTGCAGGAGCTTCGGTATGCTCCTCTTCGGCAGGTTTGTTTTCTTCCTCTAGTGTCTCGTCAGCTGGTGCGGAGCCTTCCTGTGGCTCTTCTTGAGCTGGAGCCGTCTGTTCTTCCTCGGCCAGTTTCTCTTCGGACACCGATGCATCTTTCACGGGTTCGGCCTCTGCCTCTGCTTCTGGCTCTTTGTCTCGCTCGGGAGCCTCAACAACAGGCTCAGCCTCAGCCTCAGAGACCTCAAGTTCCTTCGAACTATCACCAGCTACCGTAGGCTCCTCTGCTGGCTCGGCCTCAGGGGCACCTGATTCCTTTGGCTCATCGCTAGGGGCTGCCAGTGGCTCTGAATTATCATCAGATGCTTGAGCTGTTTCTTCTGGCCTCTCATCTATCGCTGGTGACTCTGCAGCTGGCTCTTGTTCAGCAGTCTTGTCCGCCTCCTTAGCTTCGCCATCTTCAGGTGCAGGAGCAGGGGCATCCAGTTCCTTATCAGAAAGCTCGGTCACTATTTGTTCTGTCACGCCATCGGGGTGAGTTGCGCCTTCGGGTGTGGCACCTGGTGCTTCGCTTTCTCCTAAATCAACACCCACTGCAGGCGTTTCCTCTGGTTTTTTGCTAGTCGAAGGTGTGACTTCTGGTGCTGTCGGCTTCTCACCGGAAGTTTCAGCTACATCCTGTATGTTTTCGGTATCTACAGGTGTTTCGGCAGCTGGCTTCTCCTCCGAGGTCGCATCATCTACTTCTTCTGGCTTGCTCGCTACAGAACCATCCGGTGTCTCTTGCTTGTCGTCAACTACGGGGACTTCATCTGCGGGATCCTTGTCGGAAAGTCCAGCATCTTCAGCTGTCTGCTGTGCAGACTGTGTCGCTCCCAAGTCCTTGTTGTCCGAAGTAAGTTCATCGTCAGTCGGCTTGCAATCCAAAGGCGGCAATTCAGTTTTAGGTTTCTCGTCCTGTCCTGTCGCCTCGTCAATTGGCTGCTTGGCTTCCTCCTCAGCGACAGGTTCGACTAGCTCTGTTGTTTCTTTCGTAGAAGCGAGTGGACTTTCCTCCGGTTTGCTTTCGTCTGCGCCAGAGGCTACTGGTTCTTGGGTTTCCTCAGCATCGGTGTGGGGTGTAGGTACGTCGTTGCTTTCAGGCTCCTTGGACACTTCGTTGTCGATCACGGATTTGTCTTGTACAACCTCATCGAGTGGTTCCTGTACAGCAACCTTTGCTTCAACAACTGAATCCTTGCTATTTTCGCTATCGACCTGGGTGTTTGCCGCATCTGTGTCTGAAGCATCAGGAATGTGTGAGGTCTTGTCGTTTAATGGTGAATCATCTTCCAGCTTGACAGACATTTGCGATGTTTCTGCATCGACGGCTTTGTCTGCAGTAGACACAATAGTATCGTCGTCATCACTGTCCTCAGAAGCAGAATCACCAGAAGTATCGCCCTCAGCGGGATCAATATCTGCTGCTCCTTCCTTAACAGTAGGCTCTGGCTTCGCATGAGGTGCATCAGACTTTTCTGCTGTGGACTCTGGGTCCTTCTCGTCAACAGTATCAGCTGATTCCACTACTTCGGTATCATCTACTGATTTTGTTGGCAATATCTCAGCTGTTTCTTCATTGGAAGGAGCAGCAGATGTATCGACTTTCTCTGCAGAGATCTCAGGAGGCGAAGGCTCATCCTTCTTATCATCAGTTGATTCCGTGATCAGAGACTCAGAGTCATCTTCTATCACCGGGTCTAGTGCGTCGTTCTCTGCAAGAGCTGGTTCTTGTTCTGTAATCTTGACAGGGGACGTGTCTGTGGCTTTGTCACTTTCTTCTGGTTGATGTTCAGAATCGGAATCCTCATCTTCATCATCTTCACTCTCAGATGTTGTTTCCGAATCACTCGGGTTTGCCACAGCAGCACTGTCTTTATCTTCGGTGGCTGCAGCTTTCGGTTTCGAAACCTCGACATCATCCTTCTCGGGCTCGGCGGCCGAAATGGATACTTCGGCCTCTGCCGGGGCCTTCTGAGATTCGCCCTTCTTTTCCAATGGTGGTAGCTCCTCCTCGGTTTCTTTGGGCATTTCTTCTGTAGATGGTTTGGCGGAATCCACTTCACTATCAGCACTTGTAGCAAGTTCAGTCGATTTGCCTCCGAGGCTCTCTGTGTCCGAATCGTCAACGTCTTTGTTGTTGACAACCTCCACAGGCGCGGCTTTATCTGGCTCGACACCCGACTCTGCCTCGGACGAGTCCTCATCTTCAGAAGAATCATCTTTAGGCGCATCCACTTGTTCAGGTTCCACGTCGATTTGTGACTTAGCAATAGCCTCGACAGTCTCTTTTACTGATTCAGCAGTAAATTCCGATTCTGTAGAAGACTCAGACTTAGGAGCTGGTTCGGATTTGGAGGCAGGTTCGGCCGCTGATTCAGTGGTCGGCACAGGCTCGACTGCTGATTGCTTGTCAGAGGCGGACTTGGTCTCGGAGGCGGAAGGCGGCTCGTCTAAGGCAGTGTTCTCGGCAGCTTTGGGCTCAGCAGTTGGCTTGAGTTCCGTAGAAGGCGCATCAGGTGCTAGTTCAGTAGCTTGCTTATCGGAGTCTGCCTCGGTCTCGACAGTAGGTTCAGCGGCAGGTTCAGCGGCAGGTTCAGCGGCAGGTTCAGCGGCAGGTTCAGTTACTGGCTGGTCAGATGCAGTCTCGGGAGCGGAAGGTGGTTCGTCTGAGGCGGCGTTCTCAACAACTTCAGGTTCAGAAACTGGCTCAACGGCCTTGTCGGCAACCTCAGGCTCGGTAGTAGGTTCGGTGGGAGGCTTGTCCAAAGCAGGCTCAGGGTTGACAGGGGCTTTAACCTCAGCAACGGTCTCAATCTTAGGCTCTGGAGCTGGTTCGTCTACGACTGCCTTTTCCGTAACTTCGGGCTCAGCGGTGGGTTCAGCAATGGGGTTGTCAGATTCAAACTTAGCAGCCTCTGGCTCAGAAACTGGTTTAACGGTGGCCTTCTCGACTACTTCAGGATCAGCAGCAGTCTCGGGCTTAGCAGCAGTCTCAACAATCTTCTCAACTACTTCAGGTTCAGTAGCAGGTTTGACAGTAGATTTATCGGAAGGAGCTTCAGGATCAGCAGTAGTCTCGGGCTCCGGCCCCGGAGTTGATTCGTTGGGGAGAGCCTTTTCGGCAGTTTCGGGTTTGGTAGCAGATTCAGTAGCTGGGTTATCAAACTTGATCTCGGTAGAAGTCTCAGGCTCAGAAGTTGATTCATCAGGAGGGGCCTTTTCAGAAACTACAGGTTCAACAGTAGCTTCTGGCTCGACAGTAGGCTCAGTCGTGACTTCGGCAGCTGCTTCATCAGGAGGGGCAACTGCTGGCTCAGTTGTGACTGGTATCTCAATACCACTCTTGCTGCCCTTCTTCTTCTTTTTCTTCTTGTTCTTCTTTGAAGTTGAAGCAGTTATATCTTCTGTCTGGGCGACGTCCGTGGAAGGGGCCTCTTCCTTGGGGGCCTCTTCCTTGGCAGACTCTGCCCCCGGCACCTGTTCTACGACTGTCTCGTCGCCAGCCGCCTTGCCCGCCTCCGAATGTACAACATCAGGGATTGGCGTCTCCTTCTCAACCGGCACGTTGTCTGTGTCTTCAGCATTATCCTTCTCAGATGGAGCAGCGATAGTGTCGTCGTCCTTTTCGGCTTCTTCTGCAGGAGAAGATTCTTTACTGTCGGTAGAAACAGCTGGCTTCTCGTCCTCTACGTCCTTTTTATCTTCCGTAGGCACCTGAGCGTCGTCCTTGTCGCTAGATTCTGTCTTCTCTGGATCACTAGATTGCTCAGCTTCGGTAGGTTTTTTATCGGCCTTGTCATCTGAAGAAGGGGCTTCTTCTGGCGCTGACAGTGCCTCGTCACTCTCGACTAGCTTGCCTTTGGGCTCGTCTTCTGTGTCCTTAACGGATACTTCCTCAGAGGCATTGTCGATTTCGGTCGTAGCAGGGGCTTTCTCAGGCTCTGGAGGCGCTTCAGAGGTGGTAACTTCACCTGGGTCCACTGGTTTGTCTTCCTCAGGCTTGGGATTATCTGCCGTTTCAGGCTCTTGCGCAGCTTCAAGTGTCTTAGCGTCATTCTCTGCTCCAACAGCCTCAGGAGATACCTCTTCCACGGCAGACGCAGACGAGGGCTCTTCTGCTGATTTATCTTCAGTTGGGGATTCATCTACAGGATCTGACTCTTCGGCTAGAGCTGGGGCTTTTGATGAAAGTGGCACTTCGTCTGTAGGCTTGGGCCCAGGTTCGGCTTCGTCAGACTTGTTCACTGCTGAAGCCTCACTCGCAGTCTTTGGCTCTTCTACGGCATTGTCTTCCTTTGTCGAGGGTTCCTCCACTTTTGGTTCCTCAGCAGGCGTTGGCTCGTCGACAGGTGCTGGATCCTCAGCAGGTTTTGGCTCTTTTGCAGAATCGCCTTCTTTTGTTGAGGGTCCCTCTATAGTTTTTGATTCCTCGGCCGACTCTGGTTGCTCAGCAGGCGTTGACTCTTCAGCAGGTGCTGGCTCCTCGGAAGGCTTGGGCTCTTCGGTAGGCGCTAACTCTTCCACAGTTTTTGGTTCTTCGGCAGGTTTTGATTCTTCAACTGGCTTTGCCTCTTCGGCAGGTGCTGACTCCTCAGTAGACGTTGGCTCTTTTGAAGACTCTGGTTCCTCGACAGGCGTTGGCTCTTCGGCAGGCTCTGGTTGCTCATCGGCCTTTGGCTCTTCTGAAGGCTTTGGTTCCTCAGGTGCTGATTCTTCCACAGTTTTTGGTTCCTCGACAGGCGTTGATTCCTCGACAGGCGTTGGCTCTTCAGTGGACTCTGGTTCCTCGACAGGCGCTGGTTCTTCTGAAGGGGCTTCGTCCTTCGGGGGTTCTAAAGGAGTTAATGTCTCTTCCACTGGCTGGGCCTCCGCTTCGGGCTCGAAAGTTTTAGTTTCCTCTGCCTTTGGCTCAGCCGGCGCAGTTACCTCATCTTGCTTGTCCTTAGCAGCAGGCTGTGAGTCGGAGGCTTTGTCTTTGGAAGAGCCAACCTCCTTTGACGAAGAGTGTGAGTGTTTTGACTTGTGATGATGGGATTTCTCAGACTTTGCAGCTGCTTTCTTCTTGTCTTTTTCCTCTTTCTCCTTTTTCTCCTTCTTTTCCTTCTCTTTCTTCTCCTTTTCCTTCTTCTTCTTCTTCTGGCTCTTGCTTGGGGATTTAGGTTCATCAGCCATTGAAGGTTCATCATCATCGTTGTCGCTACCCTTTTCCGGAATGTCAACTGCCTCGGGCTCAGTTGCCTTTTCTTCCTTTGGGGGAGCCTCTTCGCTGGTGGGGGCTTCAGCTGCTGGTGTCTCTGCCGTGGGAACTTCGTCTGTAGGCTTCTCGTCTTCTTTGACAGTGTTTTCCTGAGATGCATCCTCCTTGCCGACTGTGTCGTTCTGAGCTGGAGCTGGAGCTTGAGCAGCCTCCTCAGAGGCCGGTGTCTCGTCCGAAGCTGCATCTTCCTTTACGGGTGGCTCTCCAGCGGGTGCTTCCTCCTTGTGAGCTTCATCGTCTTTGGTGTCTTTGGCTGGTTCGTCCTCTTTGGACGCCGCCTCTGGTATGGGTGCCTCCTCATCAGCAGCCTCGTCCTCTGCAACTAATTCACCCTTGGTATCGGCGCTGTCCTGTGTTCCGGCCGTTTCAGGTTCGTCAGTCTTTGCCTCTGCCTCCTTCTCCTCCTCTACCTTCTCCGGCTCCTTGCTCTCCTCGGCAATCGGAGATGGGGTAATTGGTATAGGGGGAGCTTCTGGTAGCGACTTTGAGTCTTTTCTCTTACTCTTCTTGCTCTTCTTCCTACTTGATGAGGCTGCTGACGGCTCATCTTGTGCAGGAGGTTCTTGTGATGGGGGTGGAGGTGGAGGTGGAGGTGGGGTTGGCATGAAAGCTGCTTGTTCAGCGGCTGCTGCTGCTGCCTTGTCTTTCTGCTTCTTCAGTTTCTTTTTATCCTTCTTTGATAATGTTGGTGATGAGGGTGCCACTGGCACTCTTGGAAGTCCTTGTGAGTACGCATCCCCACCTACATGTATACGTCTCAGTATAAAAGACAGACGACAAACACTAAATCAAGTTCAACTCACCTTGGTATGGATTCTCGACATCATCCTCCGCGTCTGATATTTCGGGTTGTGAATACTGAATGTTTGAGAAATTGGAAAACTGTACATTGCCCCAATTAATTTGTGTCCTACCACTAGGGACAGGGTAATTATAGTTGTAGCCGTAGCCGTAACTCATACTTTCTCTTCTTTATCCGCTTCTGACATTATGAAAAAGGGATCTCAACAGGGGAAAAAACCCTGGGGAACAAGTCTATTATCTTGCTTCTTCTTGCAGCACGCCAGTTAGGCAATCGGGTGGCTGCAGTAGGGCACCGAGTGTTAGATCTTCAGGTCCTGAAGCCGCATGTATATCAAGCCTCCTACCTACCTGGGAAGTACCCGTAAAAATTGTAGCGTATACAGATAGTCTGTGTGTGTCGCAATTGGGGGTGTATAATGTCTAGATGTCGGGTTGGGGTATCATGCGGCGTACTGCAGAGGGCGATAGACAGCACAGCAAATAAAAAAAATCAATAAAAAAGTCTATTGGACGGTAAGACAAAAGAAGAATGGTTGTAAGATCAGTAACGTTGATTTGCAAGATGCAAGGCTCGGATCATAACGGGCGAATGGGTGGGAGGTCCGGAGAGGTCATTCACGAGCGGTATTCTTGAGGCGAACGGACGTTGGATGGGTCCGGTTTCGATTTCTCTTTCGCTCTCTGCGTCTGAGGGTTGCTGGCTGGGTAAAGACAGAAAAAAAAAGCATGCAGGCCTGACAAAGCCCAGTCCCCCTGCTTGCGATGGGCCACAGGCGCCCAAAAAACCCATGGATGATAGCGACTGCTGCATCGTGCCTAATGCGCAATTGGCCCATGCAGGACCGACGTTGGCTGGCGCCACGTCGCTGGGGCGGTAGAGGTTGGGTTCCATATAGAGTACAGTAAGGCGAGCCTGACCAAATGGGGCGAGCGATCAAGAATCAACGAGGTTGAAAAATGATGCATTGAATCATCAAGACGAGCCAAGTGTCGATGAGGCCTAGTTCTAGTTATTGCGGCCCAATAAAATCTACTCTTTTTTTTTTTCTTACTTGATACTGTAACAGAATCAATACTGTACTCTAGGTATGGATGGACGGACCTGCATGAGACGGCCCGCTGCCAGCATGACAATTAAGCGATTTTGAACCAAGCACATATACGTAGTGACCATGATCATGGGTGTTACGATAAGGCGGACACAGATAGAGAGGGGAGGTTTTGACCGATAAAATCCAAATGACTTGTTCAATATGCCGGTGATTGAGCCTCAAGCCATGCTAGACATGCTAACATGGTCATTATACCGCACTTGGTCCACCGCTCTCTGCAGAGTTATCCGACTTGGACTTCAATATCGATGGCTGAGCAAGTCAACTAGTCCCGCCATCTCCACGCCAAACACCGCTCCTTGCAGGCGGATCCCGGTACGGGCCTCGCTAGGGCGTCCTGGGTGGAGGACGAGGACGACATATCTCAAAAACCTTGGACGACTTGGCAGGTCGATCGGTTGTGGATAGCTGCAACTGAGCGGTTTAGTTGCTCCAGATGTGCAACGTGGCTCGCCTCTGAAGCTTCTTCTGGCCCGACCCATTATGCATCTCGATATGTACATGTATCAGAATCAGAGGCACTCTCGGGCCTCAGATTAGGTAGGTAGGCCGTTTCCCCTCGGTGGGGGTAGGGGCATCATAATCATGACAATCAATGTCAATATACATGCATAGATAGGTACCTGCCTATGAATGGGAAGCTATGTAGTACTTGACTCTGCATAGCATGGCCAATCGCGCAATCTGGGGGAGACATGTGAGTTGCATGTCTAAAGGTACGGACGGGTGTTTGCTCTGTGATAACGTCTTGGGAGCAAGAGCTGATGGTGTAATGTTCGGGCTGTCGAGCCGACTTGCGACCCACAGCCAACACGAGACTTTATTCTGCCTCTCTGTTAGTCGAGATTTGCCTGGCAAAGCACTGAGATGGTATCCAAGTCTCTAAACTATATCTGGCACGTTGCAGGTAGAATAGGTTTGAGCTGGTGATGATTTGATTAAAGGCGCAAAAGTATCTTGGTATTATTTTTGCCCACAGAACGAGGGATCGAACTCATGGCTTTTGGGTAGACCGCGGGTGCATTCAAAAGATGGCAAGCTTAAATTCTAACCTGGGAGGCTACCCTATGCCTACCTCCTAGCGTCAACGAACTGCCCAACTCTGATGCAATTGGAGATATTGGAGATATTTTACCGCTAGATATGTTCTAAATTAATTAATTATATTTTATCATGTACTCCTAGATATCCTGATATCCAAGCAGCACTCCGTGTTATGTATCGCCAATATTCGTACAGAATATCTCCCGTAATAAACCAACATTCGCTATGCTACAGACAATGCCCCAAAAGGCTATCATATTCTCGAGCTTCCCTTCCCGTCTTTGTGCAGCGGTAGCTCGTCTCCTGATCCTCTTTCGCTCATGTTGTAATGCGGGAGGCTCCCATGGCCAGTACCAAGCTCAAGATCGCTTTCGTTGGACTGTCGATCATCCTCTATACGCTGAAACTGTCTTGTGTCTGTCTTTCCGGTTCCACCGATGGTGACGAGTTCGGTCGGCCTGTTGCTGCGAGTTGCGGCCGTCTTCTTGGAACGTGACGCACTTTCGAATTGTGATGATATCTTGAGCATGAGTGGTCTCAGAGTTGGGAGACAGAGGGCGATGGTTCCACAGGCCGCTTCGACGACACACCAGGTGCATGCTGTGGCAAGGGTCCCTGTTGAGGTCAGTCGAGGTCACTTGTACGTAGCTCGTGATATCCTACATGTAGTGTCTTCCATTGTGAACTGCATAATGGTTGTAAATCGGTATATACTGGCGAATAAAACACTGAAAGACGAATGGTCAGCTGCTTATGACGAGAAAAATTGAAAAATTGAATGAGACTTACAAACCACCGAGCAGGAAGATGATTAATAGGGAGATCTTCTGAGCAATGTTGACTTGCAACTTGACAATCTGCGTCACTGGCAAACATAAAATGGCAATATCAGTTGCAATGTTGGGAATTGCATTACCGATAAAGGAAGCTTTAAGATCAATGCATGTGCCCTCCGTAAGCCACGGCATCCAGCCCCTTCTGATCGGACGGCATTGGAAGATGCACACAGCGCAGATGGCTATCCACCAGGCAACAACTGTACCAGCGATGATGGCTGAGGCCAATTTGAAGCCGCGGGATGTAAAGATGCGCAGGTACATCTGTATCAAAGCAAGTTTGACCATCATTACTGCAGTGACGTAGATGCATTCGAAGGCGAGGAGGATCTTGAAGAAGATGGCTAGGTCTTCGGGTGACACTTTTCCAGCGTGTTTGCCAAGACCATGAGAAATCACTATGAAGAATAATTAGAGACATTTGTGAGATGAGAGCATATCTTACTTACTGCCATAGTTGAGCGCTCCAGTGATAAAGACGAAGACCTAGTTAACCTATTGTTAGTTGTATGAATCTTGGCATGAAGCGAGATGCACGAACCAACGCTACCACGGTCAACCAGTCATCAAGTCCATAGCCAATTCGAACATATCGGGCCCAGAAGCGCAAGGCGACAAAGACGGCCGATAGGACTAGTACAATAGTTGTCGTGGTATTGAGCTCGCTGCTGCGGTCGGCCAGTGAGTCGTAACGCGCATGAAGCCCATCCATCGCGCCTCAAGATAGAAAAAGAAATGGGAATGAAGATTGAAAGAAGGAGGGACTAGTTTTAGACCCCGTGGAGAGAAAGGGCTAAGTTCAAAGTAATTAATCATTTGGTTACTCGGTAGACTAATGCTAGTCGTAGGGTGACATGCCAAACCACGGATACTATCTAATAAAATAGTTGCTCTACATAATGAAGAAGAAAAACATGTTCGCAGCAGAACCACCCGCGTTGAGCAGGGCTGGCGGCGATGGGAGGCTACATAGAGGATAGGTTGTGTAGATCAGGCGTCAAGTTGGCTTGAATCTCGAATTAGTTCAAGACTAGACAAGGTTCTAGGCTTATTCTCCGTGGCCCGCGACCCTCGGTTTGGGAAAACACTGTTTCGATTTTTATGAACTTCTAGCGGCCGTTATTTCCATTCGCCCTATGAGCCTATAAGGAATCGTAACATTCCACACGATTGAAAGCCCCAATGTCTTGGCCTTACAGTCCGGGCTGAGCCGCAGCCATGTTGAAGTCAAAGCGACACCAAAATCTGACAGGTAATACTCATGATTGACATGCTGCCAGGGGATCGAGTCAGTGCATGATGTATGTACGTATAGATATATAGAGGTAGAGTCTTGCCAGCCGGCCGGTACAATGATATCTATGTTTTCATGCTAATGTATTTTATCCCTGGTTAACACGGCTAAGGCGGAATGATAGAAACGTCCTGGACATGGTAAAAAACCGGGGCATTCCCAAACGACGGTACGAACTTTGAATGATGCCAGGGCCAGATTGCGTACATACAATTGTATAAGCCTTGCTGCTAGCTCATAAGCCAGGTACATAGACATGGAGCATTGTTCCTCAGTCGAGTCACTAGGTAAGTATCTTTAAGACTACCGAGAATACATACTCAGAACCCTGCGCAATCGGTCCACTTGCGGCTCCCAAAGATTGCTAGTGACATGCATTACTCAGGAGTTAGGCACATTGGCTCACAATTGTGCTTTTTTGATCTTCATATTATCTTGGTCGACGGACGGCTGGACGCGGATCTTCATCTGCATTGAAGCCCCTATCGGATACATGAAGAAATTGGAAGAATATCTTTTGATTTCCAACAACTGATACTATCTAGGTTAGTAGTCTCATATTTGACGCCCGCGTCTGGAAAAGAAATCTCTTGCCTTCGTAACTAGTTATTTCGTATAATAATGCGGATATTACACCCTGACAATCCACCACTATTTACGTGCTAACATAGTTAAATGCAACATCGTACCGCAATCCACTCCACAAGCTCAGGTCGTTTCTCGGTCCCTTCAGATTTGACAGGCGTCTCTCGCGTCCCTTAATTTTATTACCCCCGGAATGGACCTGTGAACCAAGTGGGCGGGACACTTTGTATCGAGAAGGTTATGGCGTTCGTTACAGAAACCTAAGTCTAAAACCTTTCAGCCTCTAGGTTGCTAATTCGGAGATATATACTTGACGACAACTGCCAAAGATGATGTCAGTTTCTATATTCAGTCATCCAGGCGTCAAACGCTACCTATCGAGTTTCAACCAACATACCTAGAATCGAGATGCTCAAACTCAGAGCCTTGAGAGGCACTAGTCAATTTTGCCATAACAATCAAGAAACCGGCAAAAGTACACTATTCTATCAGTCTACTACTAATACAGTATCCAGTTAATGGCCTGTCTACCCGTTAGATCCACAGCATGATCAGCAATGAATTCTTATTCATTAAGATTTAGCGAAGCAACATGTCAGAACCTAGGGGTTGATACTACACTATCAATACGTTCGGGCCTGATCTAACGACATTTGTTGGCCCACACTAGACTAGTACGACTCCATCCAACGGCCTCATCAGCTCCTGGGCTCTGAAGAACACTCACGAGCCAAGGGTGCAAACAAAAGCAAGCCAACCCCGGAGTGACATCGTTCTTCTGCAGCGTAGTGGGACTAGGAGACGGACAAACCCCTCAAGGGACCAGGCGGTATGAGATATGCTTCTTATATCGTGTCCTTCCTCCAAACTTTGAATCTATTCTAGATAGTTAATAGTACGTTTAAGCTTAATTGAATATCTTCAGTACACGACCATGTCTACCAATCCCACTATTGTCTTCGCTCCTGGTGCCTGGCACACTGCTGACTGCTACGATGTCGTGCGAAATGATCTTCACTCCCGAGGCTGGTCTACCGAAGCTGTTGACTACCCCTCTGTTGGCGCTGAGCCACCTACCAAGGGACTGAGCGAGGACGTCAGTGCCGTTCGTGCTGCTGTAGAGAGACTGGTTGAGGAGGGCAAGAAGGTTATGGTCGTCGTCCACTCATACGGTGGACTTGTTGGCGCTGAGGCAGTCAAGGGACTGGGCTATAGGCAGCGTGCTCAGGAGGGCAAGACTGGCGGTGTGATCCAGCTTGTTTACTTGAGTGCTTTCGTTATGCCCAAGGGAAACAGTATTCTGGGACTTCTTGGTGGACAGTATCTGCCATGGATGCGAGTCGAGGTAGGTCACCAGCTACAATTTCTAACCTCAAAGCAACCGGTTATTGACATATATGATAGGACGACTACGTCTACGCTGACACGCCTGAGAACGTCTTCTACCACGATGTGGACGCTGAGACTCAGAGCAAAGCTATCGCTGCCTTGAAGCACCAGTCTCGCCGAGTGTACGTTGATACCGTTGAGTACGAGCCCTGGCACGACGTTCCCTGCTTCTTCATCTTCTGCGATGAGGACCGTGCTATTCCTTTGGCCATTCAGCAAAACTTAGCCTCAATGCTGGGCCCTAATACAGGAACCTTCCATATTGCGGCTTCTCACTCACCGTTCCTCTCGCTACCTAAGGAGACTATTGAGGGATTGGAACTCGCCGCCAAGGATGGTTTGGAGAAGTCTGCCAACTAAGTATATTATTAAAGAAATAATGCGTCTTTGAATTAGTAAATCAAATAATCCAAGGGTATCGAGTCTTGATAATTTAGGTCTCTTGATGAATAGTTGCGAGTTTCCTGTACTGCATCCACTTGAATATTAATGATATGTTGCTTCAAATTCATCTTTATCTTCCTGAAATCTACTCACAGTACTTCTTTAGCTGGTGATGAATCAAAGGTTTGCTGCATGACATGAGTTTGAGTCCTCTGTATGGGAAGGTAGGAGTTCTGATGAACGCATGGATTTTCAGCCTCATATTGGCACACTCCTTCTGTTTACTATTTTGAGCTTTTCATTCCAATCTGGAATCATAAACCTGCTACTACCAGTGGCCGGTCCTGCATAGAGACGCATCGATTTCAACACAGACCATGGGGCTGTTGCGACCAACAGCTTGAGAGATTCGGGAATAGCACGCAATGCATATCCATCCATGCAAGATACCTAGTGCTCTTAGAGTTTCGTTTGATCGACCATTCCATCAGGATCATCGCATCACCGTTGCAACGTCTAAACAAGGTTCATAGTTCGGAAATCCTTCCATTCAATCGGTGGATTTCTAGAACTACGTAGATCTCAATGCGACGACATTCGATCTATTATGTAACACGTCACATAACAAAAGGAGAACAACAAATGAATGTTTAGACAATGGGAACTTTTTTCTGTCTTTGGTATCTAACAGCCTGCAATACTACAGGGAGAGAAGGTGGCTAAATTCAGTCCGCCATCCTGCTTCATCTCAACGCTGCGTCAGCCCAACGAATAAGAGTTGGCTGGTCTAATAACAACAACATAGTAGCCTCAACTGCATCCAGCAGTAAATCCTTTCAACTCATTCTATGTGGCCTTAATAGGACATGGCGTTAGAGGTCATCCCGTTGTGATTCATGTCGCCAAAGGCCGTGCCATTAAAGTGCGGTACGTTGTTCGCGAAGCCATTATCAAGTCCATGTGTCGCAGGCGCATACTAAGCACTCGCGGCAGGCTTGGGCTCAGTCGCACTAGGGGCGTACGAAGCTTGAGCTCTGTTCTTCTTGATGACCTCCTTCACGCGCTCCTCAGCCTCATCCCAGTCTTCAGTGTCTAGTTTGACCAAGTCAATACCGTACATTTCGGCAATCTTGCTCAATGCATCGAAACTTTTCTTATCGTAAACGAAGCTGATGCTGACACCGACACGGCCAAATCTGCCAGTTCGGCCAATACGGTGAAGGTAGGTCTCGGCATCAGGTTCGGCGTCGCCTCGTCCCTTCATGGGAATATCATAGTTGATAACCATGGATACACTGGAAACGTCGATACCACGAGCCAGGACGTTGGTGGTAATGAGAACCTTGTTCTCGCCTTGACGGAACTTGGTCAAGAGGTTATCTCGCTCAGCTCCATCAAAAGCGGCGTGAAGGGCAGAGACCTTGTGGCCATCTGCAACCATTCGTCTCTCGATCTCGTTGGCACTTTCTCGGGTCTATGGCCAAATTAGCATTCCGCAGCTCGACGATTGTAACTGATACGTACCTTGACAAAGATGACAGACTGGCCGATCGTCATCAAACCGTAAAGCTTGCAAAGAATGTCATACTTGATGTTGTCGTCAGGGCAGTCAATGAACATTTGAGAGATGCCCTTGACAGTAAGTTCACTGCGCTGCAACTTGAGGCTGTGCGCGTTGGGTGCAAACTTGCCGGCATACTTCATGACGTTCTCAGGGAAGGTGGCGGAGAAAAGAAGCACTTGGATATCTTTGGGGAGCATGCTATCGAGTTCGTTAGTATCTTGTTGGTTAAGTTCATTTTTACAATTCCTTACTTCTTGACCTTCAGGCACTGGTCACCTAGACCTTGCTGGTCGAGCATGTTGTCGGCCTCATCCAGGACGAGAACACGGAGCTGAGAGATGTCCAACTGTCGGCGTCGGATGATGTCCATCACTGTACCTGGGGTACCGACAATGACACTAGCTCTGACGGGTTCTCCGCGGGGCAGAACGCCAGGGATTGCAGCAGCAACCTTCTTGTTCTCAACGAAACGTCCAATGGCGTTGATGACTCCTTCAATCTGTCGGGCAAGCTCTCGACTAGGCGCAAGAGCCAGTGCTTGGGGCTGATCAGGCTTGCTGAAGTCGACACGCGACAATATCGCGGTGACAAAGGCAGCGGTTTTGCCAGTACCAGACTGTGACTGTGCCAGCATGTTTCGTGGAGGATCGCTGAGCATCAGAGGTAGGGACTTGCCCTGGACCTTGGAGGGCTTCAGGAAGTTGAGAGAGAGGAGACCCTTCAGAAGGTCATCACGGCTGTGATATGATTGTAAGTGCGGTTCGAACAGAGCGCAGACGTGTGCTTACAGGCCCAGGTCTTGCCAGGTGGTGGCAGAATGGAATGGTGTAGCTTCATTGTTCTGGAGTTCGCTGAGGGAGACTTCAACATCCCATTCAGGTTCCTGGAGGCCGGAGCCACCCAAGTCTTCGATGTTGCCGTCGGCCTGGCCAAGCTCACCAGAAGCAGCGGGGGCGTTTTCGGCGGGAGGATCGACAGCAGGAGTGTCGGCGGCGACCTCATCGGGTTTCGTAATGCGGCTCGCAAGATCGGCCATAATGGGCAATGTGTGGTGTTGTGGAAGAATGATGAAGAAGAAAGGTCGGTATGGTGGGGGAGGCGGTGGTAAACGGTGACGATTTTCACCTTGACGTTCAAATTTAGAGTGCTTCTGTTCCCGACGCTAAGAAACAAACAAAGGCCGGCTGCTTGGTGAAGCTGCAGTGACTTAGTATGATGCAATGACGCTTGCAAAAATATTGCAAATACAAATGAAGAGTTGAAAGGACCTTAAAAGCGAGAAGTAAAGGTTTATCAGGCATAAACAAGTACCTCCTCAGTAAGGTTGAGTTGATGGGAGCTTCCTCAAAGTTTTGGCGGGGTCTGTCTGAATCATTCTATGGAGGGGCATTCACAGGTCTAGCTGGAAAGGTACCTACCTAGGCAGGTGCATGCCAGTGTCAGCTTCCCTAAATTTAGCTGCTGCCCGGGCTTAGGCGTCCAATCCATTCGCTGCAGGTATTTGTTGGCACCCGCTATTTACCCGGCGCATTTGCTCTGTCGCAAGCTCACACTTCCCTTCTCAGTCTCGAAATACTTGAACACTGAATAACATACTCACTCCGAGCTTTAATTTCCCGACATTCAACGAAGACTGCCATCATACAGAATGTTTTATTAAACTGGAGATACAAAACAGGACAGCGCGATCGAATCGAATTTTATCCAGCTCTGCACACTACTTCATAATTGCCTTTGGTCAACAGCAATGGCAGCTAATCCTCCGCCGCCGCCGCCGCCTCCCCATGGAGGGCTCTCACTCTACGAAAACCTCCTCGATCCCAACGATAAATCTTCAAATTCGGCCACAATATCTTCTGCGCCTGTTCTTTATAACCAGACGGACAATACTCTAGCAGTAACCACTGTCAAGAAGGCCATTGATCCCGCCCTTCGCTTTCAACCTATACGTCGTCCACAAGTGAAACAGACAAAACCAAAGCCAACGTTTCCCAAAGCCGCTGCCCCCAAGCAGACCCCTACTGTTGCGCCTCCAGCTCCTGCACAAGCAAAGACCACGCTTGCCGACTGGGCTGCTGCTGAGGAAGATGAGTGGATGTACAGTATGGGCGAGAAACGCCAAAGAGGCGGCCGTAAGAAGAAGAAAAAGAGGCAGAACGAAGATATGGAAACCAACTGGGACGACATATATGACCCTGCAAGGCCGACCAACGTGGAGGAGTATCTACACAGCGATGAGAAGGTTCAAGAGGTCAGAGATTGGAAAGCCTTGCTCTACGGGCATCGACGAAAACGCGTTGAAAGCGACCTTTCGGATGAGGATGAGGAAGAGAACGCTCGACCTGTACCTTCGAGTAAGTTTAATCACCACTATATATATGTTCTAGTTCTGACCTTATTAGATCAATTCGCTCCACCCCCCTCTTACTCCTTTGTGCCCCCACCGCCTCAATCACCTCCAGCAACAGTCCCAGCACCTCCGCCAGACGATGCGACTGGCGATGATGCCTTTGCTCGCCGCCAAGCTCTTTCCCATAACCAACCAGCTCCACCACCGTCACCCCCTCAAACCTCTAACTCAGCTATGATATCACGCGCTCCTGTGAGATATATCCAAACTCAAGATGAAAATGATGCAACAGGGGGTGTAGAAGATGACGGGTATTCTCCACCTCCGGCCCTCGGTGCTGGTTCCCCTTCACAACGTGGTAACGATGATTCCCAAACTCGGTCTAGCCGCCCAGGACAGTCCGGTTTCGCTCAACGACTGATGAGCAAGTACGGATGGACCAAAGGTAGCGGCTTAGGCGCTGATGAATCGGGAATTGTCAATCCTCTGCATGTACAAGTTGAGAAAAGACGGAAGAAGGCCGATGCCGATGGCGGAGGTTGGGCTGAGCCAGGCAGCAAGGGTAAAATTATGGGAGGAAAGCGCAAGAATGAGAGCACGGGCAAGTTTGGTACTATGAGTGATGTAATAGTACTCAAGAACATGCTGGAGAACATGCCCAATCTACAGGAAGAGATTGCAGGAGGTCTGGGACAAGAAATAGGAGAAGAGTGTGGAGAGAAGGTATGTTGGAGTGAGTTGTCTAGGCTCTGCTTTGAAACTAACAATGATGCAGTACGGACGCGTAGAGAGATTGTACATCGACCAAGAGAGCCGCAAGGTCTTTATCAAGTTCACAAACCAGGTTTCGGCACTCAGGGTGAGTATTTCAGAACCCTTACTGGTGTTCAATCAACTAATCACATCTTGCAGGCTGTGAATGAATTAGACGGTCGTGTTTTTAATGGCAATACGATCTTGCCAGAATTTTATGATACGGAGAAATTTGAACAAGGGGTATACAACTAGACAGTTCTCATGACCAAAAGAAAGACAATCTGTTGTCAATATCCTCAATATAAGGATACTCAGTGATCAAAGTTGGAAAAGTAACTATACTATAGACACAAAAGAAGTGAAAGGTGGGTTGACTTCCCTATGTTGATGTGTTGTAAAATTCTGATCAAACTCGAGCTTTCGTCCACGACATCAAGAGTGCTTCAGACACGGATAGCTCACGACGGGACGTATTACGAATATTCTTGTCATACCTAACCCATGCATAATGAGTTTGATTCTCACATCTTGAAAGCTACCCGAGAGTGACAAACGACGGCTCGATACAGATTTGGCAGACCTCATGCTTCGCAAGAAACAATAATTAAACTAACAAGATATTATACATTACTTGGAATATTTGTAGTTTGTCAACGTTTTAAACACATATAGGCAATTTCAAGAGACAGTTAAAAGTCCAAATACAATCGATTATTAAGCTCTAACGGGTTATCCTTTACACGCAGTTACCGCCCCCATGAAAAGCAATTTGTGCCTCATGAAGAATGACCAAGCACAAGATGTCGTAAAGAAAAGTCAGGAAACATGATGACGACAGAGAACGACGCCTTTAAAGAGAAAAGCTAGTAGTCTTGCCTCATCTATGTTTAGAAGATCTGAGCGAGGGCAGCAACACCAGCGAGGGCGAGGACAGCCATGTTGATGCTGACACTGCCGGCGGCGCTGTCGTCGTCCTCGTTACTTTGGGAAGAACCAGAGCCATCGCTCTCCTCACCGCCGTCACCACCCTCGTTGGCCTTCTTGTTGTTGAAAGTGCAGCTCTCCTTGCCGTCAATCTTGCCATCGCTCTTCAGGTCGTCAAAGTATTTGCAGAACTCCTCAATATCGGTAGTTGATGAAACGACGACACTGCCGCTGACTTGGTCGAGCTTGGGGAGTTTGACCCTGTGAGATTATTTGTTAGCAAGGGAATCGGTGTATCGATAGAATTTGTACTCACTTCTCGAAGCTACCACGGAGAGCAACACCACCGGTAACCTTCTCCAGCTTGGGGAAGTCGTCAATGGCCAGAAGCTTGGTGTTGTTCTGGATAGTGAAACCACCACCAATCTCCTCGAGTAGAGGGAAAGAGATATTGGTGAGCTTCTTCATGTCAATGAGAGAGAGGGTTTCCTCGATGATAGTCAGGTTGGGGGCGCTGAAGAACTCAAGCGAGGGGTTGGCGCTCAGCTTCAAGCTCTTGGTGACCTCCTTGAGAAGGGGAACTGAGAAGTTCTTGGCGCTAGAGATCTGAATCTCAGCAGCCAACTCAAGCTTGTCCATGATGATCTCCATAGCATCGTTGCCGTTGTCGAAGATCTTGAGCTCGGAGGTGATGTTGACGAGGTCAGATCGGAAAGCGTTCATTTTTCGGTTGTTGTCGATCTGGAAGCTCTCGACGGTGGCAACGCTAAGACCGCTCAGGTCGCTGATGAAGGTATCGGTAATTCGAATGCTCTTGATCTTAGTGACACCTTCGGTACCGAAGTTCAGCTCTCCGAGACGAGGAAGCTTGATGAAGCTGAGGCCGCTAAGGCTCTTGAGGGTGGAGAACTCGAGGTTGCTGAGAGCCTCGAGGTTCTCAAGCTGGAAGTTGCCATCGATAGACTCAATAGAAGTACTGGAGATAGAGATGATGTCGCCACCGTTCTTGGCAACGAAGTTACCCTCGATCTGCTCGGGGCCGTTGATAACAACAGCGCCGGCGACCTTCTTGTCGATGATGATGTCTCCCTTGACAACTGTGCAGTCGATTGTGGGGGTGGGCTCGGTAACCTTGACGTCGCTGGTGCAGGTAGCGGCTGAACGAGAATTGTCAGTAATGTACTATAGCTAGAGTATTTGTGAATTCAACTTACCGGAGACCGCAGAGACACCGAGTGCCGCAATGGCGGAAAGAACCTTAACGGAATGCATTATGACCTGAATAACTAGATTAGATATTGTTGACTCTGAGCGATCGAGCGAAGTAGCGGTTGCTTATATGAATGCCGTGACCCAAAAAGTAGGATAGCTTCGCAAGATGTGATGCCGACACTGCTGTGGGAGATTGCAAGGCAGGTTTGTGAAGATGTTGTTTTGAGATACCCCTTTTTGAGGAAAGGAGTGTTTGAAGGTTACTAACCTATTAGGAGGAGTGAGATGGGTGAAGAAGGAAGGAGGGAGAGGAAGCGTAGAAGTCAAGTTCAAAGGATTGAAATGACTCAAGACGCTGGAGAATATGGAGAAAGAAGGTTGAGGTTGTCTGAGGCAGGTCAAGGAAGGATGAAAGAAAACAAAAGGCAGGATGGAAGGCGAGACGGGACGGATCGGTTGAAACCAATCAAGCATAGAAGCACAAGCCAAGTAAATTCGCGTCTCGGCGCGCAGCTGGAGAAGGCAGTCGACCGAGGGATTCTGAAGATCCGATGCGTACGTACCTAGTTTGTAATTGGAAAGGATCCTGTGATTGATTTTGTGGATGGTGTTTGTTTAAGAAAAAAAAACTTGATGGTTTCTCGGCGAACGATGGAGATATGCAACAGGGAATAGTATAGATTGATATTCCTGGAATTAGGTGTAAAAAGTCTGGCGTATGGACGAAAAGTCACAATGAAGCCTGACAGGAAACGAGTGGCGTGAAGAGAAAAAGGGACGAGAATATTACCAACAATGAGAGGAAGTAAGAGTTCGACGAAGGGGAAGAAAAAGAGGAGGAAGAAGACGGGGAGGGAGGAGATGAAAGTATGGTCTGGCTCTGGTCAGGCCAGTCGACCGAGATGAGTGCACGGTGGGAATTTCGGCGTCGCCTACTTACAGGGGGTGGTTGGCTACCTACTACGGCACAAGCTAGGGTAGCTGGGTGGGTTCGAATTGGATGGCAATGGCAAAGTGACAAAAACAGGGCACCAACAGGTCAGTTTCGGCTCCATCATCCAGGGGCTCTCAGACAAGACGACCAAAAAGGAACCAGTACCGACCCAGGAAGATGCCAGGGCGAGGTCCAAGATGCGAACGGGTGTAGCGGCCCATGAGCCTGGTGTGAGAAATATTATAAATATCCCACAATTTTGAGCGGCATGCACTAATTTCCTGCTAAATGGTTGAGAGACAGTAGGCATCACCAATTTCATTTTCCATCTCCATTGACCATACTATTGAGTGATCACCGACTACTAGTAGATCCATTGAGTTTGGATCTTCCCTGTTGCCGCTCAATTAGTGACATGAACATGAAGAGGGGGGGTTAGAGTACAAGATTGATGCTTCTTTGCTGGAGCCAAGGTTTGATATACACCCGTTGGACAAGATAAAATCTTATGCTTAATGGCCGCGTCAGCATGTCGAGATGCAACAACAATGACAACACTTGCTACGTGCTTTGGCCAGTATCAATTCAGACCGAAACAATTAACAAACCCAGTCCAACATAGGAATGGCGGCGGGTGCCCTCTTTGACTTTAACTACGGGCGTTACAGCTGCATTAGCGGAGTCTATCAGGTACTGCATCTCTGGTGGCCATAGCACCCATATCGTCGGTATATACTAAGCATTGCCTTTACTCTCAAATACACCTCTAATTCCCAACCTTCCTTTATGGGACATACCAGCTTAAGCGTGTGTGTTTTACAGCTTCTCTTGTCGATACAGACCATCTCTAAGAGATATTCCCAAGTTATCCCGTCCCCTAATTTAGGTACAAGCTCAACTGATGAATTTGGGCTTCTAATTCCAGCACATCGCATGCAGGCGAGATTTGCACCCCATTCTCAGCTATGGATGCTGCCTCATGTATCCGCTTTACACATGTACTAGCAGGGATTTTCAACCCCATGTCCCCAGAAGGTAAATCGAGTCACGATAGCGAGAAACTTCCAAGACAGAAGTCTTTGCTGTTTTGTCGCATCAATGCCAACCATGGCCTCAAGTATCTACTAACAGACGGAGACGATTCACCGCATTCCCGGCCGCTCAAACTCGTCCTGTTCCATTTGCCTCTATTGTTTCGCCCGTATCCGTTTACGATCAAGCCTAGACCTAGATTCTCAAGCTTCAATTCCCCTTCTTCAACCGAAACGTCATCAATTATACAAAACAATAGCTCAGCCTGGATTCATCATCATGTTACCTGTTTGTGGCAACTGTTACACGGCGGATCTGTCAAGACCGAGCGAGTTGCACGGCATATAGTTACAGTACTGACACGAAATGCCGTCCAACCACATTGCCAACAAAGGTCGGTATATCCGGAAAGTAATATTTCAGTGATTCATTAATTGATTGATCGATCTGCCTAATCTTCATGAGGAATTGACAGCGCTAAGCATAAAAGACACTGAAATTTGATATTGCCAATACGATACGAAATATGGATGTAGCAAGGCCGGCAACAGGGCTCCCGAAAGCCCCAGGGATACGAATCAAGGAAGCCCAAAGCTTCTTCTCCCTTTCTTCCAGCTCCCATTCCACGTCTTGGTCCAATCCCACATGACTGATAGTATATTGGCTTTCATTTCCCTTGCTAGCTCTCCTATATCATGCGGCTCGAACAAAAGATATTGCCTGGTTGACTACGCCGAACCCACGTGCTTTGGGGATTCAAGATGAGTCTCAGATAATAATCCTGGCCACTCCTATGTATGTGGCTGTGGATAAGAGGCACATAATCGCCGGGGCATGCCACGGATAGATCCAGTGTTGCGATTTTAGGTAAAAAGCACTTTTATTCTCGCACCACCCTCTAGCCCAAATCCGCCCCTGATTTGTTTTGTCGCGAGGCTCCGAGAGCTTGTTATCATTTGGTTTCACCCTCAGTTAAAAGCCTTGCTTCCATTGATGATCATGATGATTATAATCATCCAAGTAATTAAACCCAGAGCAAAGCAAATCTTCTCTCGTAGAGCACTTTCTACCTCAGACAATGGCTTTCTAGGGTTCGTCGTCTCGTATCAACCCCTAAGAATGTCGTCTCGCAAGACTGTCTGAGAAAAACCATCAACCTGTTGTACCCGTACGGTACTCCATACTCTGATCGCAGACAACGCTAGATGCGTGACTTTGCTCCCGTTGGCTGTTCGATTGGATATTCCCGCTGTCCAGTCTGCCAACGACTGTACCAAGAGCCTCCAGTCTGCGCCTCCATTCCATTGTGGCGTGTAAATCCGACGACGTTCGCCTCCCTCGACGCGTTGCACTCACAACTCTCCACACGCAGCCAAGACTAACTGCGGCTTCGTGTGGGATGTGGGTAGCAAGGATTATTTCTTTCTATCTTTTGCTCCTAACCAGTCATGACAATTAGCCAAGCCAGTTCCCACATCCCGCATCCATACGCCAAGGTATCCAAGCAGCTTACAGTGAGTTCGATTTACAAAGTGATCGCAAAAGGTTGATCAAGGTTTTCTTTCCGGAAGCTAAACGCATTTTGACTTCTGGGTTGAGCCATTGAACTGGCACGATGGATGAGCTAGAGCCAACCCTGAACACGTATTCATGCGTCTGATCTGTTGCAAAACCCTTCTTTTTTTTCTTTGTCTCTCACAACCTTTACATTGGAGATGCATCGAGGCCCGCTGCAGGCCGGCAAGGGCGTCCTTGGTCCGATTCGTGGCGCAACCGTCTTCACGCCGTTGGAAGAGCCAGTCTAGCCAGTCCACAAAAGAAGGCCTCCCCTGGAGCCGATCGCCGATAACGAATCAGGTCTTGCCTCGAATTAAGCTAATGAGTGGTGACTGTCTGCTGTTGATACTTTGATACCAAAACGGCCATGCACTTTTGTAGGGGAGCTAGCGTAGGGAGACAACAATCAACCGAGTCCATGCGTTTGAACGAAGAAAATATTATCCATCATTGAATGTATCGGGTTCTTTTCGCCGGGTCTGGACCAGTCGTTGAGAGTAGCACCTCACGAACATCGAATGGAGCCTATGTCATGACATCACCACTCATTGTTGCAGCGCTTGTGGGCGCATATCCGATCAACACCATGTGAATAGCATGATAATAAACATATACGCCGACCAGGCAACGGAACCTTATTGCTCCATAATGCACATGTCTGTCTCCTCAACTCGCCACATGTACCACATGAACAGACTTCGATACGGCGAAAACTTGTTCGAAAGTTCAATCATATCTTGTTCTGACATGTACTTCCATTTGCCGCCGCCTTTGGCCTTGAGCTTGGCAACATCACGCCCAACAAATGCAGCCATTCCTCTCTGAACGCCCAGATCGCCGAGCGAAAAGACGTCCATCCTTTTGAGGGCGAAGCAGGCAAACATTTCAACGGACCATTTTCCAAGACCCCTAACCGCGATCAGCTTTTCCATGACTTCCTCGTCCGAGGCATCATGAAGCATCTGGGCGCTCAGTTCTCCACTGCCAAACCTCTCCGCGAGCCCTTTGATATACTCGGCTTTGCGTTGCGATAGTCCCGCTGTCCGAAGCTCCTCAATGGTTTTGGTAGCCACTTGAGATGGATGCGGGAATCGTGAACCAGGTTGGAGCTCAAATAGCGTGAGGAACTTGCCCTTTATTGACTTTGCCGCTGCCCCCGATACTTGCTGTCCAATAATTGAACTCGAAAGACTCTCAAATGGGTCAATATTCTCTGCTAGACCCTCTGGCGAAAACGCTCTACAGTGGTGATTCTCAATTAGGGGTTTCATGCGAGCATCAACTTTGATCAGATAATCGCATGCCTCTTTCAGCAAATTATCGGTGGTCGTTTTGATCTGAGGTGCCTTGCTGGGCGAGATGGTTTCGAGATCTCGCGAGGCGACCAGTCTCGACGTCTCTGGCGAGAGGAGTGCCGCATTTGTCAGCTTGGGGTTTGCAAGTCGTGCAACCGCCGCACTACGAGGTTTCTTGCTCGAACTTGTAGTCTCAGCAAAAGCTCTTGCAGCAGCTGGCGTTGGTGTTACTGGTGGCGGAGCTGCTGGAGTTGCAGGCTTGCCTTGTGCACGCTTTCTTGGGGGCGTTGAAGGTGCCTGGGTCTCATCCTGAGTAGCTTTGCGCTTCCGGGTATTATTATTCGATTTTGCTTTGGCCAGTGGTTCAGACTTGGTCCCAGACGTGGTGCTGATGCTTGAAGAGCTCCTTGTCACAGCCATTATGTGTGCTGAAATTGGCCTTATCTTGGTCTTGAGTGCCTGTGGTGGTAGTGTGAACAATTGTATGAGCAGAGAGTGATGATGCCGTAAAAGTGCAGTGTGCATAAGGAACTCCAGTTGGTAATTAATAACCTGCTAGATGTCCTCAACACAGTTTGGTTTGTTTGCTTAAATTTGTCGAGTATCCTTGGAGGTGAATGAGATCGTCTCTTTCTGCTTCACGTTGTTGTTGGAAGAAGCATGCCTTCTGTGGCAAGTGCGCCCTGCCGATGTCATTGGACGATCTTGTAGGCGCTTCTGTGGCATAGATAATACGTCAGCGGTCTAAGATCCTGTCAACCATGCGGATGTTTGTTTGTAGGTAAACTGTCGTACTAGTCGAGAGATAGGTAGCAACATAGACATGGCTTTCCGTGTACGTATGTGATAGTTTATCAACTTATCATTTTATGTGCAGTTGATATCTCCATTCACTTTAATGCCATGATCTTTAGCAGACATGGCCGCAACTTGTTGCCATCACACAATTGGTTCCACACTGGAATTTGATATCAAGGGGCTCATGATGAACATATCCTAGCAGGTATTTCCACAATATGAGCTGAAAGTCGATAAAATTTATTTAACACATTATATTCCATCGTGGTTGATTATCTATGTTCTATGGAAGAATACCCATCTAAAGTATAAGTTGTGAAGTCATCTCATGCTACCGGGTAAGTACATATCCGTTGACACTCTCCGGGAAGTGGGCAAGCACGCACTGGAGTATGGCTCGATGCGCCCTAGAATGCTCTAAGAATGAACCCTGTTCCAGTGCGACATACCCACCCTGTTGAGCTAACGAGAGCCAAAGTGCTTCCATGGTGCTGAGCTGTCGCAACATGGATAATGTCATCAACTGGTTTGTTTTATTTACCTGACCCGGCTCATTCACATCCTGCATCAGTTCACCTACATACATTATTTACCGCGAACCGCTACACACTCGTTTCCAGTCATACTATCGACGCTCGATCAATGCGAATGTTTGCGATTCTTCAGCGACTACTTTGGATACGCTAGACCCCTTGCGTAGACACCAACAACTTTCAAAGAGCCAGCAACAACCCCTGTACGAAGCATATCAGGGTCTCGTTTGCTCTCGACAAAACAAGGGCCGATCCGATTTGTACCTACCGGAGCTCGGTGCTGCACAAGATCGAAAGCCTATAGTGCAATTGGCGAGTTTAGACTTACCAAAACCTTTGCACTATCTGGGTGCCAACAACGTGTGAAGGGCTGCAACCACAGCTTTGATATTGAGCTTGCGACGAACGATTCGACCTGGACGATATAGTGGTCAGGACGGCCACACGACGAATTCGCCATGCTTTCCAACGGTGGAATTAGCTGGAAGGCTGCAAAGGCACACATGCCACAGAGTAGAGCATTGCGCAGCAACTTGACACGATCTCGATTGCTCCTTATACTGGGTTTAACTGGCATTGTGATGCTATTATACCGTAGTCTTCGAGCAACGCCTCCTGGGCCACAGAAGTACTTACCTTCATAGCTAGACTTCAGACGGTACATTGACTGACGACTATACAGCGTTCGATGCTGGGGCCCAAATAAGTCACCTATGGAAATGACACCGAACGAACATGCCCTATGGAACGCGCACATGCAAACGCCCGTCCTCTTCAACCACCACAAGCCTCTCAAAGTCGATTCCCCCTCGATTCAGCATATCGATCTGAACCCCATTACCTCTAGCCCCAAGGCTGTTGTTCGAAACGAGCGAATATTGATCCTTACGCCTCTGAAGGACGCTGCTCCCTTTCTGAAGAACTACTTCAAGCTCATCGCCGAGCTCACATACCCACATCGCCTGATCGATCTTGCCTTTTTGGTATCCGATTCGAGAGATGATACGCTTGCCGTACTTGCTTCTGAGTTGGATCATCTGCAAAAACGAAAGGACGAGGTTCCATTCAATAGCATCACTATTATTGAGAAGAACTTTCATTTCCACCTTAGCCAAAATGCGGAACAGAGGCATGGGTTCGAGGTACAAGCGCCGCGTCGCAAAGCTATGGCTAAAGCAAGAAACTATTTGTTGGCCACAGCCTTGAAGCCGGAGCATTCGTGGGTGTACTGGCGTGATGTTGATATCGAAGAGGCGCCCAGACGTATTTTGGAAGACTTCATTGCTCATGACCGAGACATTCTTGTGCCCAGTAAGTCGAACGAAACCAAATTTCCGAAAAATGGTACTGACATCCCCAAGACATTTGGTTCCATAGATTTGAGAAGGGGGTCGACATTGAGGGTCGATGTAAGTGAACGATTCGCTGGTAATACTATTGAAAAGGTTGCTAATACTAGGCTGCAGTCGACTACAACTCGTGGATCGAGTCAGAAAAAGGTCGAAAACTCGCCAATAGCCTGCCAAAAGACACAATCATTGTGGAGGGCTACAAGGAGTTTGACACAGGACGTGAATACATGTGCAGGATGGGCGACTGGCGTGAAAACAAGGATGTTGAACTTCAGCTTGATGGTATTGGCGGCGTCAACATCCTCGTCAAGGCAGACGTGCATCGATCAGGTGTGTGATTGAAAACGACATGGGCCATGAGCTCGCAACTGACACTATCTACAGGCATCAACTTCCCACCCTACGCTTTCGAGAACCAGGCGGAGACAGAGGGTTTTGCCAAAATGGCCAAACGAGCCGGCTACCAAGTCATTGGCCTTCCCAACTACATCGTTTGGCACTACGATACACAAGAAAAGGGCGGTAACCTATGAAGGCTGCGGGCTTAAAGCTTGGTTTCTGAGCTGGCTTATTACGAAGCAGCCTCAGCTTGTCCTGTCTTTCTGGGACTACTTCAACTATATACGCAGACCCATGACGTTACGCCTGTTGATGTTTCCAACATTCGTGGAAGTGCTTTGATGCCAGCTCTCAGTTTGAGCACTGTACACAACAAAGCAACACCATCTTCAATGCTGTTATCAAGTTGCGCTCGATTCCGTCACGATCTATTACATTTCTACTACAATCTGCGTTGACGCTATTGGGATTTAATGGGATGGGTTGGAAAAAAAGCGACGCAGATTTTACGGCAATATTTGAACACTGAGTTCTAGTTACTCGTCTGGAGATACAATGTGGCATGAGCTTAATTTGGGTATAAAGAGCGAGGGAACACTGCCTTTAAACAAAGTGGTGGAGTTTAGGACATGATGTTTGTATGCTGAAGCATTAATTGCTCATGGGAAGTGAGCAATTGATAATTGTCAATCCAATATATTCAAAAAATCTGCGAATAACCTCATGTTGAATGGATTCCTGTCATGGGTGTTGAGTCAGTACGAAGCCAACTTTCCGCTTCAGCGATTGGCCATGTGAATATTGCGTCACATGGAACCCCCATGTGCACCATGACCATGAGCGAAGGCCCTCGTTCTGACAAGATGGTGGATACCCCCCGCATTATGCAATTAAGAAGAAATAGCGGACAAGGTAGCGTGCCGTCATCACACAGGCAACGATAAGAGTTCAGCAGGCTACCTTTTAACATAATACTACCTAGGACGACAACACTGACGACGACGATTTTAAACGAAACATACCGAGTACCTAAACTTTCTCTCCTTTATCAAACCCAAAAGCCCTGGATACTGTATAGGTGACGCTGTGAACCGTAACCCTCTTTCAGCCTGACCCCACTACCCGACACTGAGTCGAGACTCGCTACGCTATTTTCCTGCTTCAACAACATCAGACGAGACCGACTCTACAAGAGGAACAGGACGGTTACTCCTCATCCTCATTTATTTTAATCTTTCCCCTCATCAACCTTAGCGATCAACAACCGTAGACATGTGGGGTTGGTTCGGTGGCGCCGCGGCCCAGAAGCGCAAGGATACTCCCAAGAATGCGATCCTCGGTCTGCGAGCGCAGCTTGATATGCTGCAGAAGCGCGAGAGGCATCTCCAGAATCAGATTGATGAGCAGGATGGCATCGCGCGCAAGAACGTGAGCACAAACAAGAATGGTATGCGTCTATCTCAGCGGGCAGATAATGCGGGGCAGGGATGCTGATCTAGATGATAGCGGCCAAGGCGGCCTTGAGGCGCAAGAAGACACACGAGCATTCGCTCGACCAAACCGTTTCGCAAATTGGTACTTTGGAGCAGCAGATCAACGCCATCGAGTCGGCCAACATCAACAAGGAGACATTGGCCGCCATGAGCGACGCCAACGCGGCAATGAAACATATCCACAAGGGTCTTACAGCGGATAAGGTGGACGCGATAATGTACGTGCTCGCTTTGCGTCTTTACACTTATTTGGAGGTTGTGCATCTTACTAATACTGCGTTACAGGGACGAGTTGCGAGAACAAAACGCCATGAGCGACGAGATTGTCAACGCTATTACCCAAACCCCAATGGGCGACGCCATCGATGACGATGAGTTGGAGAATGAGCTGGACGAGCTACAACAGGAGCAGCTTGATGAGCAAATGCTCAAGACAGGAACCGTCCCTGTGTCGGATGCCGTGCACAAGCTGCCCACGCCAGCTTCTGCAGAGCGTATGTACCCCGGTCATGTTGTATTCCTTCGAGAGACTAATATGTTTTAGCTGTACCAAGCAAGAAGCAGGCTGTGGAGGAGGATGACGAGGAAGCTGAGCTTCGGAAACTACAGGCTGAGATGGCCATGTGAGGCCACCATTAGAGGAACGTGATGATTGCATAGCATTTAGTTGGTTGAAACCAAGGGTGGAACTACACTATCGGCGGCGTCTTTTGTCCTAGACAAGAGACGGCTGCTCGGTAGTATTCTGAGTTCCCATGCCCTGTCGGATTTGTTGTTCTATTGGGTGTTATGTCGGCGTCGGCGTCTGCGGCTGTTGTTGACCCTTTGCGTTTAAGAAACCGTTTCCATCTTTTGCCTAGGAATTTGGCTTTAGCATTGCTGTTGAACTTACGGAAGACGTTATTCATGACATACGATCGAGACGTATGCATCAAGAGCTTTGTCTATGTCGTGGTTAATAAGCCTGGTTTAAGGGAGAGTTTAGATCTTCAGTGTGAATATATCCAGTAAAGTTTGAAAGCAAAGTGTCTCAAAACACCTCTTTGTCAAACGTTTTTGTGTCTTTCTCATAAACCCCATTCATCTCTTTTAAGGGAAGATAGGCCATTGACCATCTCCAACAGAGTCAATGAACGCTGCACCGACCGACCTAAAAGCAAGTCTTTAGCATCGGAAATGAGAATGATGGTTGAATTCTTTGGTCAGTAAGACCTGGAGCAGACCAAGATGGGTGGGTCGAATCACTTAGAAGCTGAATGACTGAAACAAGGGCGGATTCTTTGGTCAGCCTCAACCCTGGTCTTGATCCCTCGCAACGAACCGAGATGTACAACTATATTGAACACGAAGTGACGCTAAATAGGCGTGTGTCTCTCTTCAGCCGACCTGTATGTGATCGTTTCAAAAAGAATTCGATGAGAGAAGTTCAGAAAGACCGGCTAACTGATTCCGAAACTAGCCAAGACCGGGATTGCTGTATAAAGAGTAGAGTAATCACATCCGCCGATAACATTAACGTTAAACTGATCAATAAAGGTTGTAGATCTGCAATACATGGCCTATACTACGTACTAGACTAGGTGTGTATGTAGGTCTGGCCTTGATCGAGGCTATATTCAGATTGTAATTGGACAGATATGATCTCACGTGATCAATCACTGTGTTTCCAGTTGGCTGGTTGGCTGTCTGTTGCTGACACCCAAAAGGACCCTCCCGCGTCTATCGGCGGTTCGGGCAACATCAACCAGTCATGTCACCACCTCTAACCGCCGCAACAAACATTATGGCCGTGGGGTCGAGTTTCGTATTGACCGATATGTCTCTGCGGTCAAAAAATAGCTCCTCGTGCAGCTTCTTTCGGATCCAGCCTCTTCCCTAATGACGCAGAGAGGATTCAAGAGGCCCGCTCCGGCGGCTCCACGACATCTGAGGAGCCCCGGAGCTGAATAGAAGGCTTGATCTTGCAGAACTTACAGCGTCCCAACTTGGCTAGCAAGCGCTGGCCTTCCTTCGCTGGTCTCGCTATCTCTGTCTAGGCCATGATGAGCTCTCGTGCTGTAGCAAAAAAAGACGGCGGCTGCTGAGAATGCAGTCTTCATATGCCCCCTTGTTTCCTACCTTATCTGTTCGATGTGACTGTGTTTCGCATTTCCCTTTTCTCTTTTCCTCTGTCATCTGTGATAGTTCGTACCAATTCACGCCTAATATCTCTTTGGTCTTTTCCTTTTCTTTGTTCTATCATCACGACTGCTCATGAATACATTTCGTTGAGATGCTGGTCATCTCCTTTAATAGATACCCTTCTTTATAGGTGAGTACCTTATTCAAGTCGTGTAGTCCCGGCCCAGGACTGACATTTGAATCTTCAGATGTTTCGTTGTAGAATGGCCAGCCGGCCATTTTCCTTCGTGCCTTCATGGTTGATATTTTGTGTTACCGCTGTACTGGCGGCAACTAATATTCCAAACGAATTCTCCAGCTTCGTCCCCAGCTGTGCTGCCGACTGTTTCGCTTCTTTCTTAAACATCAACTATGTCCTCGATACCTGCATAGGGAGGCCCCTTTTGGACTGTCTATGTCCTCGAAGGGGCGCATTGGGCTTCACTTTGGGTGAAGGTGCAATGCAATGTATATCAGCTGAACGATCCATTGGATTCTGTTCGACAGTTGAAGCGAGTGGTATGTCTTCTTTATCGCTTAGAACTCTGCGAGAGTCACTTACGCAAACCCAGAACGAGTCGTTGAGCGCGCGTATGCTATCTGTAATGGGAGGCCGAATGCAGCCCACCCAACACATCTCACAATCACAGCAACGTTGGTTTTGGATCCTTCAGGAAGAGGAGTTGTAACTTTTCCCCCTGTGATCGCATCGAGTACTACATTGAGCCTGGAAACCTCGAGCACTACCCAGTCGTTACCCACAACCTTAGTAATTGATACATCGTCGCCTCCTGTCATTCCAAGACCATCGACGAGAACAAGAATAAGATCGACAACAAAGGAAGATTTCTCTACTGATTCACCAGACGAAACTACTTCTGCTTCGGAAATTATCTCGATTAGCGAACCGCCGTTCACCAGATCTACAACTTTCGAAACCACAAAGTCTACTTCCACTTTCACGTTAGAGACCGAGACCACCACAGAGGTATCTGGCGGCGCTGGCGGTACGAGCAAAGACGACGAGAATGACGATTCTGGCAAACTCTCGACAGAGCAGATCGCTGGTATATCAGTAGGAGTTCTAGCCGCTGTTGGAGTAGCAGTGGGAGCTATTGTTCTGGCAAGGTACTGTCGGCGAAGAAAGTATCCTCATATCAAGACTGGTTTTCTTCCTATGAGGGATACCTGGGGTTACAAAGCAGATCGATCTGACAATGGCGGACACAACTCTTGGATGGTTCACCAACTTCGTCCCGACTTGGATCCTGGAACTCAAGCACCACCACCTCCTGTGTACAACAGAGCGAATTCCAGACCCGAGAATATTGGTGTTGCGTTATCCCCCCCTTCTTCGAACCGAAACACGGTAAATTCTTCTCCCCTCAGAAGACTGTCGAAGCTACTCCCTGCAAAGCCAACCTTACCACACACATCGTCTGAACCCACTAGCGAAAAGCCCTTGCCTCCTATCAAGCCAGAACTGGAAGAGAATGGACAGCCAGATCGAGGCGCGAGCCCCCAACTTCCGCAGCCAACACTAACTGCTGCCACTGTTGCTGCTTCATCACCCAGATCTCGACCCATGCCACCAAAGCTGCATATTCCTCCGGTTGAGATACCTGTAGGAGGAGCGTTGGGAACAAACAACCGTGAAAGCAATGTAACTGAGTTCGAAGAAGACCGTACGTCGATGTCTCCTAACAATGTCAACACACAGGTCTGGAGACCCCCACCTACGACTCCTCTGTCAGCCACCACCTACTATGTTGCTGATCAGTACGGTAACTGGATTCTTGGCAATCCAAAACGTGCTTCTGTAATAGCTAGAGGGTCACAGGACTCCAATGGATCTCAAGGAGGCGCCCCAAAGCCACCGTCAAAAGATGACAACGGCGCTCTTGGTAACATGGGACAAGCCAATGCTCGAACACTTGCTCCCCCAGCAGAGATTGTCCCTGCAGGTGCCCAGAACAAACCCTACGGACCGCGCCCACAGTACCCTTCGCCCTTCTTCTCATCACAATCTCACCCGCGACGCAGTGCTTCTTCTCGACGCTCGCTGACCAGGCCATTGGCTCGCCCACGCGAAGACTCCAATAGTAGTAGTGCCACAACCATTACTACATCGACTGAGTCTTCCACGAGCATACCTTCTGTGACACTTGAGCAACAAGTCAGCCTTTCTCCTGTTGCCGAGTCTCCTCAATCTGTGCGAGTTCGCCAACAGCAGCAACAACAGCCGCAGATACCGCCCCGAGATCCTCGACGGGCGAGCCAGGTGGGCAACCTGTGTGATAATGTCAACGCAAGATTGGCCCCTCCTTCGCGGCAGATATTCTACAGTCCTCCTGGCCAGCCAAGTCCGACATTGGGTATGATGCAGCCTCCTTCTGCATACAACTCAGCACGACAGCAGCCAGGCCCTCAGAACACTCAAACTATCCCGAATGCAGAACTCGAGACAACTTCTCCGACAATGCGTATTGTTGAACCGTCCCCCGAACCAGAGGACACCACTGAAGAGCCACCCGCTGTCAACCCAGATCAGATTCGGGCCTCTCCCTTTTATTTTAACCCGCCGTATCCTCAACCTCTCCAAGCCCGTCAACAGCCACAATCGCAACACCGTCGCTCTGCTTCAGGGTCTCAACCTCAAACCTATCGACCTTATCAAAGGCCCCCCTCTTTTCAGCCATCTCCCCGCGAGCAACAAGTAGCTTGGCAGCCTATCCAGCGCCTGCACTCTCATCACCATTCGCAACAACGCCATCAACCTCATCAACCTCAGCAGGAGCAGCATGGGCAGCATAACGTGTGGCATCCCACACACCGAACTTCGCAATCGTACCAATCTTTTCAACATCAACCTCCTTTGCAACCCTACCAGCGTCCACCGCAATCAAACATCTACCAACAACAACCTCATATGTACCAATCATTCCAAGCACGGCAAAACCAACAGCCCCAGCCTCACAGCCAGGGAGGATACCAATCATTTCAACTATATTCTGCACCACAACAGACCCAAATCCATCCCTCACAGTATCAAAACTATCGCCCTCCCCAACCAATGACCACACCACTTGCACACTCTGGGAGTCAGGATTCACTTCTTTCCAAGCGTGTAGGTTTGGATCGTGCTGCTGATATGACTATTGGCATCGATCCCGCCAGTAAATCAAAGTGGAATCGTGATGATCAAAACAAGACACCTCCAAGTTATCCTTTGTCACCTCATTGGAAACCAACATTAACCCCTACACGACGAGGAGACGACCTGGTTCTGAATGTGCAGTAAGAAAGGAATCTTTCGCATATACCAACACATGACTTACCATTTCCTTTGTCTTATGAGACTAAAATCAATTCCCTCTTGTATAATAGTATTGAGATTTCGGAGACATAATGAGCATTAGCCATAGACTGGGAGAAAAAGGCATCAAGACTGCACACAGGTTATTAGGGCAGACATACTTGTATACACTACACTACCTTAGACGTTCATTCTAATTTTCAAGGTTATGCTCTACCAACTTCTGTGTTCTCAATTTGCCTCAGACATTCTTCCGGGAGCTGCTTGCCCCGGCTTGATTCTCGCCTTTGTCCTCCTCCTTGATTGCTTGACCCATCACGCAGTCTCTCTTAGCAAACCGTCGTGACTGCTGGGATGACTCGCCCGGTGTTCCGACAGAATCAAACGTATCCAGCTCTAGGTCATGGAAAGTTTGTTCACTGCTTCTACTTTGATTGCTGCGTCGCAGGCGGCTTCCATGTCTTCTCAAACTTCCTCGCCTGAAAAATCCCTGGGCATTCTGTCGCATATCGTCAACATGGGTCTCTAGAGCAGCATCCAAAGCCTCCAGCCCATGATTCAGTGTTTCGCGGTTGATATGTATACCTGAATCTATGAGCCTGTTTCTCCTTCGAATGTCTTCCCATCTTGTCAAGTTCCCCATTTCGAGCACATTCATTCGACGATTTTTGCCCATTGGGTTGCCCGTCATTGCAGGTCGCCAAGCGTGATCCTCCTCCATTAAAGCACGTATGTCGTTGGGCATAGTGGCCCGGCGTTTGGAAGATTGTCGTCGAGCCTGGGTCAGCTTCTCCATCTCTTCAGATTTTGATCGAGGTATAATGAGTACATTCTTGAACCTGATGAGTACGAGTAGTAATAAGACCGTCAACAAGAAGAGGATGCCCGCAACAACGGTTGTTGCGACTTGTTGCCCAAGCTTCCGGGTCACATGGCCGCCTAGAGCAGTCGAGCCTGCTGCTAGGGTATATGAGAGGGAGTGAATTACAGCAAAACCCGCAGTTATTCTTGGAAAAGACGAGTAGTTGGTCCTCCGATGGTCTTGACCCGATAGATCACGGTGGTGGCCAATCATGCCGGGAGATAGGTCTGACGTATCGAACGTTTCCATGATGAGGCCATTGCATTCAGAAATTGCAAGACACGACAAGAAGCCCATACACAGAGCAAAGAAAGCTGGTACAATAGAACTGATCGGCGGACCAGAAGAGACTGCAGCATAACAGGCAGCACCGATGGGTAAAGATATCGTGAAGATGGCTCGTCGGATGAGATGCGATGACCATGCAACCTTTTTACCTATAGTCTCTCGATTTGACTTGCCTTCTCGACGGCGAGACCGTGAGAAGATACTGGCCTTTTGAAAAGGGATCGCAAGCAGAGCGCCGACAGCCACGGCGGCGACGTGGAGACCGACGTATGGTGATCGTAGGCGGTAGAACCGAGAAACAAGTGAGCCCATCAAGATGATGACAAGGACGATCTGTGCATATATCCATGAGACGTAAATCGCTATAACGGCAAAACCAGGTTGCTCGAGCATCTCCAGGGATAAGCGAACCCCATGATATGCCTCCTGACCCCACCACTTGGGACCTGTCTTGACTCGATGCATCATGACTTCTCCTCGGGCTAAACGGCGCGAGATGCTCCCTCCGGTTCGTACTTCTGCAATAGATCGACGGAATGCAGACCTTCGTACTTCGGGACATATTACATTGAGGATCAATACCACTGCAATCAATATGATGCTGACATAGAATCCCCAGGCTGGGGGATGTCTGTCAATAATGGAGGCACCGATGAGAAATCCAAGACCGAGGGATCCGATCCAGCACCAGGTCCAGATTCCAAGCCAGATACCCATACCACCTCCATGTCTCCTTGCGTCAAACTGATCAACGACCTCTTGATGGGGGTGTCTACACATCAGGGATGCACCAAACAGGTCTGTTAGAACTGAGTGAAAGTTCATGCTGGCAAACCCTAACGAGCCACCCATCAGCGTACGACAGGTCAAAAGCATGGCCCGCCAGTAGGTAGTATTTGTCAATCTTTGATTACTGACAGCGATCGCTTGGGGGAAAATTAACGGCATTGCAATAATGAGGCTGGACATGATGTATGGTTTTCGACCGTGAAGTAGAGGCAATGGCCAAAAAACGAACGAAGGCAAAGCGAGAGCTAGGAAACAACCGGTGTTGCCATGAACGGTAACATGCGATTGATCCACGATATAGTACTGGATTGAAGGTACCATGCCCGTATAGATTCCAAGGAGTACTCCAATGAGGGCTGTACTCAAGCAAGCGACAGAAGCAACAGAACGTTTCCGAACAGGTGACCAGTCTCTCGCAATGGGTTGCCTTATGTGTGATTTCGGAAGGTTGAATCCACGCGTATCACGTAGACTGACATGTGATCTCTTTCGTAGGTTAATCCCATGCTCATAGTGTAACCTCCTATCAGAAAGGCCGTGATCTGGCAGGGCATCTTGTCCGGTTCCACTTCCAATGCCCGATGGGAGGCTGATAGATGAAGCACACTTTTGAATTTTGGCTTCAGTATCTTGCCTCTTGAAATCAGACTTGAGAGAAGTAACAGTGCTGATGAGGTCCTCCAGTGTAACAGATTTGCGTTTAGGTTCCGCCGTTGCTGCGTTACTGGGCGATCGAGACAAAACACCATGCAGTGCTTGTCTTGAGGAGCTTTCCTGGCGCGTACGGTCGATGTGGGTTCTTGTTCGAAGCTCCTGATACGTTCTCGAATAACTCTCGACAATATCAGCTAAGCGTGGATGTGTTGGCACGGTAGTGTAAGTGGCAGCACATCTATATTGTGGCTTCCCATGACGGATTTTACCGTCTTCGGCTTCTGTAACCACTTCGTCGTTTTCTTGGGTGTCAGGCGATGTGTTTGGCTTAGCAAGTAGATTAGGATCCCCTACTTCAGGAAGAGGATCTTGGTTATCGTGCATCGCAATCTCTGAACGGCCGGCTGTCTCTAACGCAAGCGAGAGGGCCTCGTCAACAAGTCTTTCGAGATCACTGAAAGTACGCTTGAACAAGAGGCCATCAACACGATGATCCGGCTCACCAGGTAAGGGCGACCAAGATGATAGCTTATTCAGAACTTGACTGCTCGGCAGTACGGGCTCTGATGGGCGTCTATCGTCAGCTCTAACCGATTTCGTTCGGAATGATATCTCTGGAAGTATGGGATCGAGCGATCCGCTTAGTTGTGACAAACGTTTTAGCCAGTGGCTTTTCCACAAATAATTCATCATTGACCCCAAAGATCGGCTTCGACCTGATAATTGCGCATATGCGATCGGCGGTTCACAGGTTTTACCTGGTGAGGATAGTTGCGTATTCGAATCGTGGAGATTATTGTGGCAGTCAGGCAGCTTGTCCAACTGGGCCTTTGGTATTCCGGCAACGCCTAATGGGGTATCAGTGCATACGCCTGTTTTAGCCTCCTGACTACTAGGGCTTATGGAGGCTAGATGAGTGTTGGAATTTAAGCAAGATGCATTTCCAGCATGGTCAGAGAAGTAATCCAACTGACTAGATTGTCTGTGGTGTCGAGTCGCATCATCCTTATGAGAATGTCGAGAAAGAACGGGTCGAAAGTTCCAAGACGGGAGCGCGTCAGTATGACTTTGAGTGTCCGTGTGAGGGACTGGTCGTTCTTGATCCTCTTGGTTCAAGTCTTCCACCTGAAGAGTGCCAGATTTCTAATCCTCGTCTGAGTTGACATTGCTCAAGTCAAGTGGTGTTTGGTTTGGCAATGGCTGGATCCATGTCTTATCCCGTAATCTTATATGCACACTATCTGTGGCAGTTTTATTTTGAGATAAAGAGGGCTTGTGGTATGTAAGACCGGATAAAGGACTGAACACCTTGATCGATGTCGTACTCGACGTACCCAAGAGAGGTTTCGAGATGGTCGAAGTTGATTGATCTTTAACAGTAAGATTGCCAATCCGGGATGGCTTGTGAAGCAGTTGTTGAGATGTGATGCCTTCTCCCTTATCCTCCTTTTTTGGAATGTCGACGGATGGACGTCCACTGGGCGGAGGGGTGTGATCGAAATCTCCGACTCTAACTACGTCTTGTCCTTGAGACTCCCTCCGGGGGAGAAGACCCCGAGTGTGGCCAATAATTGTGGAAAACATTGTAGAAGCTCGGATGTTCTTCCCGGATGAAGGAAATGACGATCGCGAGCTGTGTGTAGTAGAAGCAAGATTGCCCGTCGATGACGGATGAGACCCGCCGTTCTGGAGATCTTGTTTCAACAAGGGTTGCGGCGTAGGGGGATTATTGACAGAAACAGTTTCGGCTAAAGCTTGAATGGCCTGGGTTGATGAAGTGCTAGATCGAGACAAACGAGCATCGGACATGAGGGTGTTCCTAATAGTAGGTGCACGAGAAACAGTATGAATATTGTTTATTGTAGTAAAAAAGGGGAATGCTAGGTAGGATGTAGGCTGGGCGGGAAGAGGAGAAGGAATGGAAGCCCGACGAAGAGTATTGTGATGGCGATGAAGGGTTACGAAATACGAATGTTGCGGTAACGTCCTCAACCGTTTTGTTAATCCCAAAATGACAATTGGTAGTAGGCAAGTACTTTCCCTGATACAATTTCCATTTTCTCTGAGTCCGTGTGACATCATCACACTTGCTCCTTCAATTGTCCTCGCCTGGAAGTCACGGTCATAGTTCACTTAGCAGGAGCGAGCAGGTCTACCAACCGGGTAACATTTTAGTCTAGAGTCATGATCAACATGACAATGTGGAAACCTCGTCTATACTGGAACCTGACTCGCAAGGCAGAAGATGACATGAACTCAATAATACAACGTTGATCACTACCATGAAACCTAGATCCTGAGTTTCAATACTGAGCCGTCGGAATGTCTATTTGTCGCTTATTCACACCCTGACCTCAGGGTATCAGAAAAATCGACCGCTATAAGCATAAGAGACGAAATTAGTAGGTTGCTTTATGCTCCTTAGACTATAGTTCTTAGACTACTTATTTTTATACCCTAAGACTGAGGAGTACATCTTTTCTGCTACCCACTAGCCTGAGCCCTTACCCACAGCATAAGCGCAGCCGCGCTCGTTACTCCTGACGTAGACATCCCTGTCGGTTCGGTACAAAAACGCCTTGAGTTCTCCACTACACGTCATGCCCCTGCATACAAACTGTCCGACACAGCATCTACATGGATCGTCGAGCCTAATTCCTGGAGAGTTCGCCACTGCCCAACCTACATACCTCCATACCTGCCCACAGGATCCTGTCAGCACGGGACCCAGTGGAAACTCGGTCCATTATCTGGCATTCCGAGTGCCGCATCCCATCACTGTAACATCGAGCAAATTGCCGTTACGTAGTTAGGCCTTTCGGTATGCTCACCTCAGCTGTGCGGACGAATCAGTTTCTCAAATCGCCGGACGCAAGCTTCAGGCAACGGTTCTCTTATGTCAGCTTGATGAATTCAGAGGGGTGAGCTGATGTTAGACCGGCCAATTATAGTGATGAATTCGAGTTCCCCTTGGACACTACATATCCTGTCAAACGTCGTAAAATGTTGTTGTTTTTGGATTGTTACATCCGAGAACTTGGGTAGCGAACAACTCCCTCCCATGCTGTACAACAACATTACAAGAGTGATGTTACGAAGTTCTATTCTGATTCCGTGATTCGACTCCCGCTGTCGTTGCACACTCATACACTGCATATCATCCTACACATCTAGACTAAATTAACCCCCTCGATGTTCTTAACGGCTCGACGGATTATCTCACGCCATCGAATAGTTCCTTGTAGCGCGCCAGTGCGCCTAATCGCGCCCCGTCCACTAATCATAGCAGCTTCCAGCCATCCTTGTTAGCTGCGCCAAAAAGTTTCCTAAGTAAAACAACCGAAATCCTTTTCAGCAAGGTTTCACACCATATGATATGATTGGCCTTGCTTACGCCCAGGACACCCAACTCTTTCGCGTGGCTCGATCTGGTAATTTGCTAGGATGTAGAGCCTAATAATAGGTCATCGACGCTATCTCGCCTAGCCATTGGCTTAGACAATGCTGGAGCTGATTGTTGCTACTGCAAGGCTGTAAACCAAACTAGTTCTATCTTGTAAGTGTTTTTAGACTTGTCTGCCTTGTGGCTGCGATACTCGAATTTGGTTGTTTAACGAGGCCTCCGTGCGATTATCCCAATAATGAAAGCTATCCAAAGGTTCAACGTTTTACAGGTTTTCAAAACCGTAGTAGGAGGAAGAAATATTTCTCGAGCATATGTTAGTTTCCCCGGGCTTTTTGATACCTACCTAGGTACCCACCTGCAACCCCCCTGCATCTTGGACTGTGCGATTAGGACTATAATGATCTTGGACTTGATCAGTTCTGCTGTATATTATCACGGAAATAGAGTGAAATGGGGATAGTGTGATAACTTGAGGAGAATGAGAAGAGTGTTGATTCTATTTGCTATATCATGATGAACGCTCTGCGTTTCCAATTGTATTGTCTGCCATATGATCAGGAATCCAGTCCCCAGGTAGACACATAACAGTTGTTACTGTTACAGCTGATGTGTTGTGATAGAATAAGAGTTTGATCAGCATCGAGCTCATCCTAAAATAAGACAGAATAATGGCCAGCCATCCATTGTCTATATCAAACGCTAAGCTCGTACAGGCCCGCTATTTCAAATGCAGTCCGTCATAAAACCCCTGAGACCCTAGAGTGGACCGTCCTTTATCAAAAACGACGTCCAAGAAGAAGAGAAAGTTGACAAAGGTGGGTAGAAGAAACATAAGCAAAAAAAGAAACAAACAAGATTGCAGTCCAAGGGCAGAGGGCCATTACCTGTAATGCCACTGCTTTTCCACGCCCAAGAATAAAACCATCGCCATCTAAAAGTGCCGTGAGGCTCTCAGCAACTGCTGCTCCAGAAATGTAACCCCGTGTTGTATATCCCGACTGGTTCCCAGCCAAATGAAAATGAAGTGGTACCAAAACAAACCCCCCGCTATGAAAAAAAATACAATAATTAGACGCCATCAAAAATGTGAGATGAGGTGTGTTTTTTTCTGGTTGTCGACGAATGCCCGATCCGACGAGCAAATAGCGAACGTTTGAGATGCTCATGGAAAAGGCCGTGAGGAAGAATCATGTCTCATTCTCAAGTCTTTAGCAACGTTTTGGTATCCTCGTAATGTAATGAGTGGTCGATAAGACAGTCTAGTGAACACCGTAGATGCAGCGAAAATGCTCTGCCAACAGAGAGGAGAGCTGTGATGGGTTGAACGAGATCAGGTAGGTGACCCAATCATCGAATTTGAACAGAACCAGTTGTGGAGAGTGACAACTTATTGCTGTAGACACAATTGTTCATCGATAGCTCCTTGAGCTTGAGTAGCCACTGTGGTAGCCGCTGTCGGAGTAGCTGTGCGGTGATGCGTACTGGGCGCCATGGTTCGCGTGTGCTGAGCAGAGATAACCGACAAGTATCGTTCGCTGCTGGATAGAATGGCCGGGGCGGCCATATGATGCGCAGCGGTCGATAGCGTGTGTGTAGTAGGGGCATTTGCATCCCGAATACAGTTCGACAAGTTGATAACACATGGTTGCAGTGTTGGGCCGGAAGTTGTTGGCCAGGTGTCGATACAAGGATGTAAGAGGTTGTAATGGCTCAGTCAAAGGTCTGTCAAAGTGTTTGGGCCAACCGATTTGTAGGTTCGTCAAGATGAGCAGGCTGTTGGTCGCAACGAAAGTAGAGAGTAAGGCACAAGAAGGATGAAGTTTGTGAACGAGACAGCCGGTATCAATGAAGAAGTGCTTGCTTTATGAATTTCGTGAATAAAGAGATGGGAAGTGAGAATAAGAACATTGACTTCAAAAGAGGCATCGCAGCCTTATAGGCCTGCTTGTAGCCTGGAGGAGAGCGTCGAAGCTCATAGCGACACTCCCCGATATGAAGGGCCACCCCAAAGAAGCACTCCCTCACAAAACTCCAGCAGGATGTGCGGCAAGGCACCAGTGACGCCAGAGACGCCAGTCAGAGTGCGTGAGAGCGATAGCCGCAAGTTCAGTCAGACTGTCTTAACAGGTGACAAAGGCTGAGGCGCGTCTATTGCAGGCATGGAATAACTAGTGCAGACCCACAACCACCAAAGATGCCTTGGGCCTGGAGGGGGTAGGGGGGTTGGATGGATCTTTGAGATTGGGGGCTTTCTTGTCTCGGAGGCTATGGCTCTTTAGGACTTTGTGTGTCAGTTTCCCTGTGCCCTGGTTTATTTTGCGCCATCGGGTGTTGCTTGTCCCGAAAGATCAAGCATCGTAAACATATACTATTTTTTCCTTCTTTCTTTTAAGTGAGACTCACTGCAGGAGAACGCACGGGCTTGTTCTCAAGGCGCAGCGCAACCTGTGTAGGATCAATGAGCCTGGGTACCCGTACCGCACCGTACCGTGTCGACAGGGCAAGGGTCCAATTGAGACCGGTGGCAGGGGTAGAATAGAGTCCTGTAGGTACAGACACCATGTGTAAGAAAAAGGCGGCGACCGATTCTCAGTCCTTCCATAGGAAACTGTTCCGCTCCCGTTCAAGATGAGCGGGCTCGGCGTGAAGAGTCATCCCACCCATTGGTCTGAGACAGGGAGGTTGAATTGACCTGCAGCAGGGCTGAAGGGGAGGGTTACAGGGCCTGGAAGTGATGTGATGCAATAGCAACAGTTGAAATTCATCAGATTCCACTGTATTTCACTGTAGAGTAGGTATAGTATGGCACACTACCATCATGTCAATATGCATGTAAGAAACAATATGGGACTTGTTCTTCTTCTTTTGGTGGCAGCCCGGAGTGGCCAAGAACTTGTCCGTGCCAGTATAGAAACAAAACACCATTGATCAGCTTTGGTACGAGAAGGCAGATTTATGACGTCAATTCGATATAGTGAGAAGGAATTGAATATGCAAGCGATTGAAGTTCTAGAACTTGAGTAGTGAGGGGCGCACAAGGCGTGCTAGAGTTGTCATTGATGGTGTTGTAAGTGTACTGAGGCCGGCATCATAGAAAGAACTCAATAATAGCTACAACCTGCATCATGGAGAAAATGAAAATAGCGTCAAAAATAAATAAATAGGGACTTTGGAAAGTTAGTCATTCAAGGCAATGGTTCGCCCGGCTCCTGCCCGTTGTAAATCGAGCGCTAGTGACACCTGCCGAGTTGCAGGAACGAAACCTTGCACACGTGCCTCCACTGAGGCAGGCAGATCAGGCAGAGCTCAACTCTTTTCTCGCATTGCAGCTCTTGAATGAGTAACAATCTCCATTCTTCTCCCTTCCTTTTCTCCATCGTGCGCAATACGATGGGACTTTGAAACAGAGTGACTGACTAACTGATCAGCGACAAGCCAAGGACTGATGCCTGGATCGCCTTACCAGTACGAGAGATCAGCTGGACAGGTAGGTGTTTGCTTATTTCACCAAAGATTCTTTGAATTAAAGAGAAAAAACACCACATCGGGATATCAAAATCTCACAGTACCAACATGTTTCAACGTCACTCTCAGCGCCGTTTCTCTGCGCCGACCCTAGTCGCTCGGCACTTATGGTGGTGGTGGGTGAACCACGATGGAGGAATTGGAGATGTTTGGGTGGCCTTTCTGCGGCCAGACGTCCCGGTGCTAGGGCACTGGAGTAGCTTGAATCTACTAAGACTCTGTAGGGGTTACCTACCCCCTGGAATCTGATTCGGTTTCTTGTTTCTTGTTTCCTGTTTCACGCCCAGCCAATTCTGCAGTTAGACATGCCACGACCCGAATTTAGAGTCATGAAGCTACCGGCAAGCGAGCCTAGAATCACAGGGGTCAATCATCTCAACTCTTGCTCCCATTATCTATCAATCACACTACAGCATGGTGAATTCTGTGATATCAGAGCGGCGATCATGTATCCTTTGACCATGGCAGACAATCGAGTCGGTTCAACACTGAATTATCGACATACCGAATTCATGTTTACATACCTCTCAAAGATGAGGTATACCAGCCATTCTACACATACAACTCTTCAAGTGCTGCCTGCCAACTGCAAAATACCGGAAACAGACCAATTCGGGGACCACATTTCATAAGCGTCTCCCACAAACACCCCAGCGCCATGCTGACACTCTTAGCAACTGGATCCCCTGTCAATCGTAAGGCTGTGTCTGCATCAACCCCCAGTCTTGGCAATGCTTGCTCTTTCACCTTGCTTGCTCGCCGACTTCACTGTTCTTGCTAAACAGCGGGTGTGTTTTTATGTGTTCGTGCTTTATCCGCCATCCAGATTGGTCGCTTAATACGTCAAGGTTTAGGAAGTTTATTTGCAGTTTGCTCTCATTTGAGCCCGCGTGAAAGGACCAGCTAACAGATCTGAACAGATTCGTTCCCGGAAAGAGGGTTTGCTTTTTGTAACCTGCCACAGATGTGCCCAATTGTACCAGGTCTCTTGTAGCTTCCGTCCACGACCGGGACGGTGGAAATTGGCAGTACACCAATCAGGCTTGTCGCACGGCGTCCCGGTGCAACTGATATGCAGCACTACCTCAGCCCTGGAATATTCTCGAGCATCATACCAGGGCTATCAGTCCGTACTGGGAAATAATTCCATATCCTGGGGTGCGAAACTACGCGGTCTTGCATGCCGAATACTCTAAGGGGGGGAAACAAAACTTCGGACGTCCGACGCCCAAATTCGCCCAACCAGCGTCCGGCGTCTTATTCCCCCTTGAGGATACTCCATCCAGCATGTCTTCTTTTGTTTCACACACGGTATTCTGACATACCTAAGTGAGATTACTGGAAAGCTACCGAGACTTTTCCTACTCCTTGCATTATATCTTATTCGAGAAGACATTCCTATTGGAACGGGGCACAGAGTTATCCGCCGCTGCAAATAGGAAGTCTGACACCTGACTGCCTGAAAAGGGCGTATGCCTCACGTGAGCTTTGACAATCAATTTGCTGACAACGAGGCCTCACACGAGAAGAACAAGCCTTCTAAATTGAGATCCCAGCGATACTCAAAGCTACCAGAACTATCACATCGAGAGGAAGGGAAAACACATGTTGCAAAGTCACACAACGTTTTGCATCAGGTTGATTTCAATATACGTACACTTCTGCTGTGCATGGAAATACTTACTGCTGCAAATTGCTTGTTGCGCTTTTGAGTACTGTCAACATATGATCGAATGTCTCACTGTACCCCCACACTGACAGACAGCTGCCGTTCACATGTCTTGCCATAGGTACCACCTTCTAACGACAGATATCCAATTGGTTTACACATAGCCAATTGCCCCTGATTGGGAATCATGTCTCAGGTACGTTTCGATCCTGCTTGTCGTCTATCTGGTGTCCCTTGTCTGTTGTTAGTATCATGGGCCGATGGTTCGGTAAAGTAGCAAAAATAGCAATGTCATTCATCAGCTAAGTCGTTATGAGCTAATGCACGCAACAGTAAGAAGTTTTTATGAGATTGAAACAAAGAGTCATATCTGAACAGGCATCAAGAAACCCCCTGTTGAAGTCAGTATGCAGGTAGGGAAAGTTAGTGACTGGTTGGCCAAGGTCCAGTAAACGTCGATACCGAAGGCTCGGAGAAATCACGCGAGAGCACAAACGAACGTTGGATACCCCCATTAGTTCACAGCAATAGTCATTTGTGCCTTTTCTGCCTAAAGAATGACATTGCTGTATAGGCCATCAACTTATTGGAAAGCTTTCCGTCTCGTCTGGTGATCAAGTGTTACTACACTATTGTCGTCACATCGTACTTCCTCGCCCACCTTTACCAAATTACATTACAATTGCTCATAATAGCCCCGACAACTTACTACTGCCATGATGGAGGGTTCAATGACCTCACATATCTGTTGCACAATGATAATGACCCTTCAGCCTTGCGCAGAACCTATTGAACAACCCTGTCGTCTACGGGGAACGGGTCAGTGCCCCTGCTCATCCGGCGGCGGCGCCCAATAATCGGAGCCCGGAGAGAGGAGCCACTGCATGCCCCACTGGCTGCGCCTCCCGCCGTGGCTTGCACCCCGGAGTCGCCGGCGGACAAACTTGACTTACATGATGCTTTTCCGGCCATATCATGACAACTTCTAATCCTCATCTGTGCTATTGCAGAAGTTATCCTACACCCAAATAATTTCATCCTGTACTTGTTGCAGGCGGATGCAAGGCGTCCAGATGCTCCACCTTCGTGCTTCTCTTCCTATTCTTATTCTGGACACTCGTCCTGGGCATCAGTCTGCCTTGGATCAATAGACCAAACCATGCCAGGTACACATGCAGTCGTCTGGACGTATTACACACGGATGTAAGGTCCCATATTCGGACAGATCCCGTTGCTAATCTTGTCATTAGCAGGCTCCTACACGTCACATTTACCAATCATGATGCCTCCCGCTCTTTCTGACTGTCATATTTCCCACTTTCCGGGACTCAGAGCCCCGGGTCGAGAAACCTAGTTCCCTGCACCATCATCTGAATTGTTTGACGCCGCGGCTGTCTATCGATGCGGTCACAACCTCTCCCCACTGCCTCTGTCACCGTCTAAAGAAAG